TTAAGTTTCACATTTAAATTCTTTTTCTTAAAATACTTTACATTATGAATCTACCCATTCACATAATAATTGAATTCCATTAAGTTTCATTAAAGAAATACATGCATTTTTATTTAATTTTTGGTCACATTTTATAACTTAATCTTGTTATATTGAATTACATTGACCATCTTAAAATATACCTATTTTTCAATATTGTGAAATATTACAATATTAATCATTTGTTGTTATAGAAATACATGCTTTATCATTTAATCCTATATCATTACATTTTAATTTTGATANTAATAGAAGCACACATTACATTATTTAAACCTAAAGATAAATTTTTGCAACTAATGGTATTTAATAATTGTTTTATTTAATTATTATCAGAATTAACTTAGATCGATTTGCATTACTATTTTTTTTCATCATAATAACATCCTATTTAATTATCCTCATAAACTTGAGAACAAGATATTGGATTGGCATATCCTAAACTTTCACAAGTTGTTAATTTTTATTCTATCTTTATTAATGCACATCCTTTATTAGTCCATTAACATGTTTATTAATGTTTTTAAATACTTAAACATCCTAATTAATTAAGAAATGGAGTAGAACATTAATCATTTACTGAACTTTGAACACATAAATTAGTTTTAATGTCATATTTACAAATAACATTTGGTTTAGATATAGCTTAACAGACATTTCCATTTAATTTCATTAATGAATTTTTTAATTCTAAAGGACAATTAGTATTTTAATTAATAAATATTGCTTAACAATTATTACCATTCCATAAACATAATTAAGAATTGTTTTTCAAATTAACACAAGCTTTTTCATTTAAATCCATATGACATTAATATAGATTAAGATCTTCTTAATTTAATTCTAAACATCTTCCTTTATAAAATGAACATCTTTTTGTTTTTATTTTAAGACAAGCTTTCTTAGATAATCCTGGAGCATTACATCCTAATTTATTAAATTCATTTATTTCAAGACTCTTACATTTTTTTTATTTTTCATCATACATACAAAATTATTATGATTATATACAAACTGAAGCATTAACTTCATTTTAAGTTTCACATTTAAATTCTTTTTCTTAAAATACTTTACATTATGAATCTACCCATTCACATAATAATTGAATTCCATTAAGTTTCATTAAAGAAATACATGCATTTTTATTTAATTTTTGGTCACATTTTATAACTTAATCTTGTTATATTGAATTACATTGACCATCTTAAAATATACCTATTTTTCAATATTGTGAAATATTACAATATTAATCATTTGTTGTTATAGAAATACATGCTTTATCATTTAATCCTATATCATTACATTTTAATTTTGATAATTATCCTCTTCCAACTTCAACACATCTATAATCTCCATCATTTCCATTATTCATACCTATTTAAATATATATATATTACATAATCCAGACTGAATTTATTGACAAGTATAAGGGCTAACAGAAACATTATATTAATCGCATTGTTGAGAACTATTATTATTCTCTTCATTTAATTCTTGGCATTTATTATTCCAAAAGCATTTTTTTTTTTATACATCCATACATGCTAATTTATTGAACTACCCAAAACAACCCAATTTTTATACTTCAGCATAATCTATAGTTTGGCATTTTTCAAAAAATGCACCTATTCCATTATTATAATTTCTTACAGTATATATTTTCACCTTAACTGTTTGTTAATTAATTTATACAAGCTTCCCTATTCAAATATTGTGAACAACCTAAATTTTATTATGAAGTCTCTAAGCATTTTCCTATTGATAGGTTAAAATGACCTAAAAATGAAATGGATATAATACATTTAAAAATACTGGTATTAGAGATACATTATATAGGGGAGTTTGGATAATAATTACAATTATCATTTGCAATCACTGTTGGTAAATAGCAACTTATCAATAGACATATCGAAAAAATTCTGTAGCATAAAAATTTCATTTATTTAATGAATAATTTCTATTAAAGTAATCAATCAAATATACCCTTCATTTATAGTAAGATAAAGAAACCACACTGGAATTGTTAATTTTTTTTATAAACTGTTTCATTGAATTAAATTCTGACAGAGGAAAAATGTTTTTGAATTTTTTATAAATTAGCTTTTACTTTAGTATCAATAGCTTATAGAAACCAAATAAAAACAATAAAATTTTCGATATTCTTAATAGTTTATGTTTATAAGCTTCTTCATATAAATTATTTTATAAATTACTTAAAAATAGATATATCTATTTTGTTTCATTTATTAATTTATGTTTAATTGATGATTAACTATTTAAAAAAAAAACAATCCTTTAAATATTTCTAATAAAAATAGGTAAAATTTGTTCTTATATCATCAAAATTAAAGGGAATAACAATTATTATAAAAGAAATTTTATAAAAATTTATCAATTTTTATTTTATAATTAAATTATATTACCCAAGAATATTAGATCATAGATCTAAGAAATTTATATAACGTTCTAAAATAATTCTAATCAATATACTAATTTTTTTTTCATTTTTGAATAAAAAATACTTGATAAGTATGTTCCAATTTTTGAAAACCTAATATTAATTATAAGCTATATTTTTAAACAAAAAATAAATAAATAAGATTCTCATTTTTTCATAAATAATCATTTTAATTATTTGATTGATTTTAGTTTAGGGAAGACTTAAACTTCCTCAAAGTCTCCTTATAATTAGCCTATTAACTCTTTCAAGATATTATCATGTGTCAGTTTATGAATGCTTTATTGACATTATGGACATTATGCCAAGTTCAAATCTAATTAACCTGTAGAACATAAATCAGTAAGACTATTTTCATCAAAGGCTTCAGGATGCTGACAATAGATACCTCTAATGGGATTTCTTAATTTCTAATTTGTTATTAAACACTAAAATTTAATAGATTAAATATTTACTCTCAATTTTAAATTAAATTAATCTAATTCTTAAATTGGAGATTCTAACTCTTCAAATCTCAGAGATGGATAAAGTTTATTTTATAAAAAAAGTTAATATTTTTCCTTATTCAAAAAATTAAAATTCTTAATTGTATTTATAAAATTGAGCATCTTTGTATCCACATAAACTTATTCATGAACACTTTGATCCCTATGTCTTTTTTTAGGTGAAAAAGGATTATGACATAAAGGACAAGAGACTGAATAAGTTTTGACTCCATTCCTATTTTCTGGGTGTTATACTTAATTTAATATGCAACTCATGTATCTAAGATCGCAAACATTTACTTTATCACATCTAATACATCTACAAGGTATTTCAATTTTACAATTGGTAATTTAATCTTTAATAATATTTAGATCTCCATTTAATGGATGTTCATAAAATTTATCTGTTAATTCTTGATTTTTTGTGGAGGAATAAATTCTATCTGTTAGATCATAGATAGATTTAATATAGTTCATGGTTTCTGTTGTCGTTGGAACTAACTTTTTGTAAGCAACAATTTGAGGATCATAATTTGTTATCGAGTATGTATCTAATAATGTTAAGGATTGTCGTTCAAATATAAAATCAGATGAAAAATTATAGCTTTTTAATCCTATCTCATATAATTCTTAATCCAACTATAATTCATTTAAATTAATAATCTCCTAACATCCAAGAAATAGACACTTAAATTATTTTTCTGAAAATATAATTATTATTACGATCTCGCTATTGCATGTACCAATTTAAATAAAGAAAATCATAACATTCTAAATGATTACATTATTTCCCTCTCACTGGAATTTGTATTCTCATATTCCCTAATTAACAAAGATGATAATATTTAAAGGATTCATTCCCTTTAGTTTACTTTCTTATTGTAGTGAAATTTTGTTGAGTATCATTTTATTAACTAAATATTTATTAAATTTGATTATTGTATTTAAATTACTCCTTACCTAAAAATCCAGGATATAAAGGAATTAATATTTAAGTGGATAAATAATATGTTATTGGCTTTGATTTATCGTTTAACTATTTTTTATTATATTATTTATACTTGTTATTAAAGTTATTGGAAAAATAAATTTGGAATTAAAGGTATATCTTTTTTAAAATGACTTTTTGCTCTGCATAGAGGACACTAAATATATCCATCTTACATAAAATTACTGTCATTCTAAATCAAATATTTCAATATTTATCTAAGATCAAAACAATCATTCAAATGCTTTTTTTCTATTATGCATTGCATAAATGACACCTTTGATAATTAATTTTTATACAGGTTACTCTAACCATTCCCCACTTATGGAACATGTAAATTTAATATTAAAAACGGGATATTAGGATTTGCAATATTATAAAAACTAATCAAACAATTTCTGATTTTCTTCCTATTAATTCTTCCAAGAATCCTTAATTGAATAGGAGATTTTATCTATATTATTAATAGAGATTTTTATTGGTGATGACTACTTTTAAGGACTCTTTTAATCCATTATTTTGGATCAAATATTTCTAAAATTAATATTGTCAAAAAATACTTAAAAAAATCAATATTTTAAACATTTTATAGTAATCAACTTTAACTATGTTTTTTTAATATTGAAATATATATTTTATATATAGCATCTAAGAATAAAAAAATTAAGGAAAATCAATCAAATAAGTCAATAAAAGATATAAAAAAAATTTATCTATAATATGAAATATTTGAATAAATTTAATGTATTTTCTTTTATTTTAATGATAAATCTCATTAAATAAGATGAGAAAATAAATTTAACATTTATTTTTTACTATAAAATCAAATGTTAAATTTAGAAATTCAATGTCTTAAGATTGAATATATGATGATTATTTTATTATGGAAAGTTATCACATGAAATCTTTGATTAGATTAAATGATTTATAATTAATGTGGTGTATTTATTGTTTTTATTAGTGAATGTTAATTAATAAAATATTTAAATAATATCTTTAATATTTAATATTTATTTAAATTACAAAAGTGCATGACTGACAATTAAACACAAAATTGGGGAGATTTATCATCCGATGAAGAAAATGAGAAACCTTAAGTTGATTCTCAAAATGCTAAAACTCAAAATTAATAGGGAGGAAATAAACAAAGAAACAATTAATCACAACAAGGCTCATCTACCAGATAATAAAGATAGAGGCAAGATTAAACATAAGGAGAAGATAATTAGAACCTAGAAAATGATAGAAATGATAAGGATACCGATAATCCTGAACACTCTAATTAATAGGGAAATTATAATTAGAGAAATAATCAATATAAAAAAGGTTATAGAGATAACAAAGATAAAAGAACCAGAGGAGATGGTAATTATAGAGGAGAAGGTAATTACAGAAGAGATGGTAATTAGAGAGGAGATGGTAATTATAGAGGAGATGGTAATTACAGAGGTGATGGTAATTATAGAGGAAATGGTAATTATAGAGGAAATCGAGATAATTAAAAGAATTTTAAAAATAGAGATTATAATTCTAACTAAGATGATAGATAAGATAGAAATGATAGATAAGATAGAGAAGACAGAAATGAAAGAAGAAAAAATTAAGATAGGGATAACACTGGTATTTATTTTAATAATCAATTTAGGATTTCTTGAGTAAAAGAAAGAATAATTAAATAATTATAACGGAGATAGTATTAATATATTACTTCATTATAAAACTGGTGAGATATAATTGAAATAAGAATTAAAAGATATTGAAATGAAAAATTTTATTACTAATGATGATTAAACAAGATTTGATGTAGATAAAGAGAACGCTCTTAGACTTTTGGATGTTTTTAAATTATAAATTGTATAGCATCTTGTTTTATAAATATTGTTTAGGAATTAGATGGAAGAATCCATAAACTTTATATGAGAATAGGTTCAGATCATCATGATAAAAACAATTATGGAAATAGAGGAGGATATCAAAAATAACCTTATTAATAAAGATAATAACATAATGATGAACAAAATGAATTTGGAAATAGAGACAGAGACACAAAATTCTAAAACAAAAGAAATAATTTTGAACCACCTAAAATTATTAGAAATACATCTTCAAGAGTTGATGATAATGTAATTTAAGTTTTATCTTATTAGTTATAATAATAAACTGAATAACAATAATAGCCATAAAATGAAGTTTAATAGAGTTAATAAAATGATGCCACATAATAGTAATAAACTTAAAAGATAGAAAGAACAGATGATAAGCCTATTGGTTAAGAAGAAAATAATTAATAATTTATACAAAAGGAGTAGAATCAATCTAGAAATTATTACAAAGGTCATGATAATTAAAACAGAGGCTATAAATAAAATAATAAATAATATAATAATTATGACAGAGAATAAAATAATTAAAATTAAGATTAAAATGAATAGGGCAAGGATGAATAAAATTAATTTAGAAATAATAACAATAATTATAATAATAAATATAGAGGAAATAAAGATAGATAATACAATAGAAATTAAAATGATAATAATGATTAAGAAGTTTAAAATAATACAGAAGATAGTAATAATCAAAGAGGAGGACAAAGAAATTATTAAAATAATAGAGGAAATTACAGAAATAACAATAATAGAAATAATAGAAATGATGATAAAGATAATGAAATTGATAATGATAATAGGAACAATAATGATGGAAATAATTATAGAAATTATAATAGAAATAATAATAATAATGATTAAGACAATAATAATAGAAATTATAATAAAGATAATTATAGAAATAATAATAAAAATTATAATAATAGAGATAATAGAGGATATGAACCCAAATAATAATAAGGTTAATAAGGAGATGAAGATGGTTAAAAAAAATAGAATTTTAGAGGAAATACATAGGTAAATTAAATATTAAAATATAGAATGAAATTAAAGAGTTTGCATTTAGTCAACATTATGATAAGTAAAAGAAAGAACCATAGAAAGCAGGAATAAAATCAAATAATATATTCGACGCATTAAAGTGAGTGTACATCATTAAATTAATGTTATATGTGTTTTTTGATACGATAACCTAACTTGTTATTTCTTTTTCTATCAAATATTAAAATCAGAGTTTTAATAATCTTATTTTACTGTCACTTCTAAATGTTTAGATTTCTCCAAGTGCAGAAATTTCTTTTCTTTCAGATGTAATATATCCTAGAGTATCTTATCGTTTTATAATATTAACTTTAGGTAGTACAGGTTATTAAGGTTTAATTAACCCAGAATCAACTTTTGCTTTTATTTTACTAAGATTATATTTTTCTTTTTTTGGTTCCAATTTAAAGTTACCAATTCTTATTAATTCGTCTGAATTCTCACTTACTTTTTTTGAAACCTATTGTTTGAGTCTGTTCATTGTGTTTTTACCATATTGTAAGGCAGTTGATCTTCTTAAATATTACCGTTCAGTTGGATCAGGATCTAATTAGACTTAATTTAATAGAAACTTAGAAATACTTTATTTAGTATCATGTCTATTAGCAAGCCAAGAAAATGCTACACCAGCAGTAAATTTGGTTTATATTTTTTCAATGATTTAATCTTCAATGATGGTTTCTTATTAATGTAGACTATGATCTTATTTTTCTTTACTATCTCTAGTTTGATCTGGCATAGTTTTAGGTAAGTCATCTGATGTTTTTTATCTCATAATGATAGTTCCTTTCTTTGATTAATTAGGAGTGGCACTACCTAAACGCTATTTTCGCAACTTCCTTCTAATAACGTTGAAAATAGGTTCTAATTTGACTGCTTTTAATTTTAATTATGCTACCATCATTTCATCTTTTCTTTCTAAAATTTTATCAATTAATTGAATTCTAAGTTATTACAAAAGTTCAACCTCTCATCAGCTGAATTCAGAGTTTTAAGAGATGCAATAATTTATTTTTTATCATTAAAATCTGATAATTAGTTATAAGCATCTTGAACTCTTTATTTTTTTATGCTAATAGATTAAGATTTATTGGAATCATTTTTTTAATGTAAAGTCTTTCTTTAATTTTCTATAAAATTTTATGGTCTATCCTTATTTTCAGTTTTATTCAAAGTAGGAGTTAGAACATAGTTCAAAGGTCTGGCTGACACAAATAATGGTTATAATATATTTTTTGCAGTATAATTTGGTCGATTTAGCATTAGTTTATCGAAGCTCATAAATATTTGATAAATAAATTCATTTAATTAAATGTCATAGCAATCCCTAAGTTAGTTTTCATAACATAGTCAATAATAACAATAAAACTAATAGCCTGCTTAGAAGATAGGAAGTTCAATAGAAGATATTACATAGGATTTGGAAGAATTATTTGAATCTCTTAAGAGTAATCATTATTAAATAAATTTGCAGTTGAAAAGCAAGGATAACAAATAGATTAGATAGAGAAATCAACATTATTGGCATTACTTTTATATTTAAACATTGATAAATCAGAAGCATAATTTTTCAATTATGTTGTTAGAACATTAGATCAAATGCCATCAGTAATTATATATTAAAACAATATTAGACTACATTAAATAAGGAATAATTCAAATCTTTATTTTTAGATCCTCAAATAAATACAGAGAATTTGAAAAGTGAAGAGTTTGCATAAATATTTAGTGTTTTTGATTTATAAAAAAAAGGATCCTTTAGTGCAGAAGATTTCTTAAGGCTATATAAAGAGACATCTGAATATTTGAATCTAAATGAACATGATAAAATATAAGTGGAGGCAAGAATAAAAAAGGATTTTGAAATTATTAGTCCAGAACACAAGGAAATCACACCTATTGAATTTTTTAAGATAATAAATAATTAAGGTTGATTCTAATTTTTAATTGAAAATTAATTACAATATATCATTATTTATTTACAGTATATTAAATAGTATTAAATGGATTAAGATTAAGAGATAAAAAGGAAAATAAGATCACATTCAGTTGAAAGAGGCATGAATTTATTATAATTTTAGAGAAAACAGAAAGTTAGTCATAGTTTACAGATGAAATTGAAGATGATAAAATAGTCACAATTGGAGTTTGTTGTATGGCTAAAAAGTCTTAATCTAAAGAAATGTAAGAAATTCTGAATCGTATAAATCCTGAGTTTTTTTAAATTGAGATATTTCCTGAATAAATGATTCTTGAAGATCCAATTGAATCATGGCCAATAGTAGAAACACTAATAAGTTTTTATTCTGATGGATTTCCTTTAAATAAAGCTATTGCCTATGCTGATTTAAGAAAACCATTTATTATAAATGATCTAAAGAAATAACAACTTCTATGGGATAGAGAAAGAGTTTATACATTATTAAAGAAAAATAAAGTTCCAGTACCTAAACATTATTTTGTATTTAAAAATCCAAATAAATATATTATTGATGATTATAATAGAAAAGAAATTGAAAAAAAGTGTAAACCTAGAAAAAATGAATAGGAAATAATTGAGGAGGAGGATAATGTTGATAGTGTTATAAGTTTTTTATAGAATGAAGATTCATCTTAATATATAAAATAAGTTTAGACAGCAAAATAATTATAAGAATTACTATTGCCTTCAAGATAGGATACAATGGAAGATAAAAATAAAAATAAAATGAAATAAGGAATGAGATCTTATGATGCTAGATCTTTATCAACTGTAATTGATATTAAGAAAGATAATAAAGATCTTTAGATTACTAAAATTGAGGAATGTGATGATTATTTATTAATAAATGGGTAGAAATTAGTTAAGCCTTTTGTAGAAAAACCATTTGATGCTGAAGATCACAATATATACATTTATTATAATTCAAGAGATGGAGGTGGATGTAAGAAGTTGTTTAGAAAGGTTGGTAATTAGAGTAGTATATTTGATCCAGCTTAGATTAGTATAAGAAATGATAATGAAAACTATATTTATGAAGTATTTCTACCAACAAATGGATTTGATATTAAAGTATATACTGTAGGAGAGTTTTATGCACATGCAGAAGCTAGAAAAAGTCCAGTATTGGATGGTAAGGTGCTTAGATCTTAAAATGGTAAGGAAATGAGATATCCTGTATGTTTGACAATGGAAGAAAAAATGATGGCTATAAAGATTGTGAATATATTTGGTTAAAATATTTGTGGATTTGATTTATTAAGAAGTAATAATAAATCATATGTTTGTGATGTTAATGGCTGGTCATTTGTAAAAGGAAATCCTAAATATTATTAAGATTGTGCTGCTATTTTATAGAATATGATATTGGCTAAATTAAGACCTACTTTATTATTGAAACAAATTTCTGATATAAATTTAGTTAAAGGATTTTATAAGAATTCTTTTAGACCAAATTCAAAAGATATAGATAATAAAGAATAGAATTCTGAATTAAGATCTGTAGTAGCAATATTTAGACATGGAGATAGAACACCTAAATAAAAAATGAAAATGAGATCTACTAATGAATAATTTCTATCATTTTTTGATGATGTACCTGATCCATCAAAAGAAATTAAATTAAAACATCCAAAATAACTATTTAAATTACTTAATTTAACAAGAGAATGTATTGCCAAAACTTCTTGTTGTGATGATAATATTATTAAATTACTACAAATGAAATCAGTACTTGAATTAGGTGGACATTTTGAAGGTATTAATAGAAAAGTCTAAATTAAACCATTAAAAACATAAAAAATAGAAAAAAATGGTTCAATAGTTGATTTTCCAGTAGAAGTTTTGTTAATTTTAAAATGGGGTGGGGAATTAACTTAATTAGGTGAAGAACATGCTGTTAGATTAGGTTAAGTATTTAGACATGATATGTATCCAACTGAGAAAGATGGATTACTTAGATTACATTCCACTTATAGACATGATTTAAAAACATTTTCATCAGATGAAGGTAGATGCCAATATACTGCAGCAGCTTTTCTAAAAGGATTATTGGGTTATGAAGGAGAGGTAACTCCTATTTTAGCAACAATGGTTTAAAAGAATGAAGTTGCCTAAGAATTATTAGATTGTAATAATTTAGAAATTGAAGAGGAAATAGAAATAAAAAATATACTTTAAAAAATGTTAACAAGTGATGAGGAAATGTTAGTGTAGATATATAAATACTTTCCACATTTTAATATGACTTAAACTTAACATGATTTAATTAGCAAATTTAAAAATCCAAAGTCTATGCTTATTTAATTACACACATACATTAAATAATTAACTAAAAATATAAGGTAAATTTAGAATAAACTAATTAGACATCATATCCATTTAGATAAAAACTATTATATAACTCCTAGTGATATGGAATAAGGAGCTTAGACAATGTTTGAATCAGAAAATCTAACATTATTTTTTAAAAGATGGTATAAATTAGAATATGATTTTTTATAAAAAGAGAAATTCAATATTTCTAAAATTCCAGATATTTATGATAGTGTTAAATATGATATGCTTCATAATTAAGATAAATTATAATTTTATGAAAATTCAAAAGAGTTTTATTGCTTAGCTGAATTACTTAGTCATTTTATGGTTCCATTTGAATATGGAATTACTACTAAATAAAAATTATCTATAGCTAAACGTGTTGTTGGTCCTTTATGTGATAAAATAAAATAAGATCTTTTATGGTGGAATAAACCAGAATCAAAAAATTAGTAATAAGAAGAAGATTATTGGAAATTTAGATAAACTGATGAAAGTGATTTGAATAGTCCATGGAGACATGTTAGAACTAGATTATATTTTACATCTGCTTCTCATTTATATTCTTTATTTAACTTTCTTTATTATGGATTAGGACATTATTTAATTGAAGATGAATTTAAATAAAAACAATTGTAACAGATATTAATGCTTTAATATTTATCAAATATTGTTATTAAACTATATGAAGATTTATCATCTGAAAAAGAAGATCCTAATAGATTTAGAATTGAATTAAGTGTTTCTGATGGAATTTAAATGCAATTTCCAATAGATAAAAATATACCATCTAAAAGTGACAATATACATATTAATTAATCATTAAGATTAGATTAATTAGAAGATTTCCTTAATCAAATTATTGATTGTGCTTTTGGTGATGATATTCAATCTTTATGATATGATCTATATATATATATAATTAGATAAAAAATAAATTAAAATAATGATCAATAAATTTATGGGGTATTTTAAGAATAGGCCACCATTTCAAAAGAGAGTAGCAAACTCATCCCTATTAAGTTAATCTGATGAAATATTGTTGGATGATCTATTGTTCCTAATTTCTTGTTTTGAAAACAACCATTCAGAATTTATAACTAAATCACCTTCATATTATATAGAATAATACTTTACATTAACTAATGAATAGTAATGTATAATTAATAATTGTTTAGGGAATTTGCAAATTCTTATATCATTAGAAATAAAGTGTTATTAACATGTCATTTAATGCTTCATGAATTTTAATTGGGTATTGATTTTGCTGATCATTTCCTTAATTAGAAATTTAATGCTTTATTAAATAGAAAATCACCTGTTCTTGTTAAAACAACTTCATAAAAAGAAGAATGGCTATCAGCTAATATTTAATTAAGTTACTTTTAATATCTGTAAAAACTTGCAGTGAACATCTAAGTTTTTCATGCTTGTAAAGTGCAATAATATCCATTGTTTTAAGAAGGATAAAAGTTCATTGATATTTAAACTAAATTACTTTGGTTATTTAAGATTAGTAATTTGGTATTTGTTTAAATTAAAAATTATAGGTTAATAGTGGATTAGGTTAAATGGAAATCTTAAAATAAGCATTATAAATGGTTCCAGAAGATATGTTATTAAAAGAGATTGTCTTAGTATATTGGTCTGATATAATAGTGTTCTACAATTTCCTTAGTAAAGAAGTATTTCAAAATGAATAACAAATAGATATTACAATTATTAGATTATTATAGACATTTAGCCACACATATTTGTCTTTAATTTTATGAACTCTATTTATAATTGTTTCAAATTAGAAATTCAATATCTGATCTTTATAAATATCGTAAACATTTTGATAGAGACAATGTTATTAAATAACCAAAATGGTTTGATGTGAATAAACCAGTTCATAAATAAATAGAAGAATTCATGTTAAAATAAAAATTAAATATGGGCAATCATACAGATAGAGCTGCATTAAAACCATAAATATCAAATAGAGGATCTAAATCTCAAATAGCTTTCGATTCAAGAATAGACTTAAGTAAATTACCTAGATAAAATAATACAATAAAAACTCATAGAGCAGGTAGATAAGGAGATAGTGATGGTGATGATGAAGATTTTGAATAATTAAAATAAATCCTGTAAAATTAAAATATCTAAACTAAATTAACAATGAAAAAATAATAATAAAAATAAGATTCTTAAGTTTCCTTTTAAAAATAATCTCAAGAAGAAGGAACAGATCTACCAAAAGGAGATTGAATCAACTTAAATATATATATATAATTATTTCAATATAAATAATAAAATTTTTAAATTGAATTTAATAATAACATTTATTTATCTTCTATAATCTATACATGCAATAAAATTATTTATTTGATTCAAAGTTTTCCAAAATCTACTCTTATTTTTCTTGAAATTACATCCAATTCATTATTACCATTAAAAGTTAAAATAGCATATTATTATGCTGGTTAAAAGAATTAAGGATTAATAAAAACTGTTTAATCAATTAATTTAGCAGATTATGTAAAATGTGATGGAGTAATAATGACATCTGGACATTGATCGAAATCTAATAATTCTTATTTTGATAAATCACAAGGAAATTTAGTAGGATTAATAGGAACAAAACTTCTTTATTCAATTATTTATTTTAAAGCACTTTCAATTTTATTTAATTTTTAAACACCAATTTTTTCTGAACCAGAATTTATCTCAGATATAACTTCTTCATTTATAATTCCAATTGTCATATCTTCAATTTGTAAAATACATGGGTTTCCAACTAACATTAAATTTTCTACTTAAACTTTCTTTTTTTATTATTCTACTTTAATATTAAGAGGAGGTTGAGGTACTGGATGAAAAGTATTAATTTCTTTAGTTGAATTTACTAAAATAACTTAAACTTTTGGAAGTTCTTCAATTATTGCTTATAATATTAATTCAAGAAATTCTTCATACTTAATAAATATAAATTAATTATTACCTCAAAATTGTACTTATCCAAGTTTTCTTAATTTTATACATCCAAAATAGGTCCTAATAACATTAGTATATCACATGAAATTTATTTTTTCTTTATTTTTTCAACTAGATTGAATAATCCTTTATAACCAAATTTACCTTCTTTTTCAAATGGTCCAGCTGCTATAACCATAACAATAGAATCCTATCTTTGTTATAATTAATAATTCTTAAAATTTGATGGTTCTTCTTATATAGACAAATCATCAGGATAGACTTATAAGAATTTATTTATTTCTAATTCTTTATCAGTAGATTGATTTATAACTACTCCAACTATTTTACCAGGATATAAATATGCTCCTTCATTTTCAATATTTGATAAATTTAATTTTTTTGGTATTTGATCTTCTTTGAAGTCTAAATAAATAGCCTATTTAGAATTTGATAATTTTTATGTGCTTTATGTATCACTTTAATTTTCATAAACTTTTTCAAATTTTAGAATTCTTCCAAAATACACATTTGGTTCTGGCTCTTTTTAATTAAGTTTTTCCCATTATTTATATTCATCTTCAAATTTTTATATTCTCTATGTAATGCTTACCTTCTTTTTTTCAAAAGTTGAACATAACATATTCCTTAATTCATTCTTATCATATTCATATTTTATGGTAATTTTTCTAGGATAAGAATATTAACTATGAGTAAAATCAGGCCATTATTTATTGAAGCAATCTCCTAAATAAATAAAATCATCATCATTTTCAACATCCATTTAGTTTTAATTCTCTTAAGCTTATATCTCTTATAGTTTTGTTAAGTATATATTTTTTTTAACTGAACTAAATGCAAATATTTCTTCAAAGGCATCACTCATGTTTAGATATTCAAATAATACTTAATTAATTTATGGCGCAATTTTTTGTAAATAATCATTTAAGTATATTTGGAATGGTTGAAATTACAATAGAAAACATACAATATCTCATGAAATCTATAATGTTATAATACAAATTTTATATTTTTTGTTTTATTTTATATATTTTTAATTATGTAAAAGACCACTTTAGTCAATTTCTTACATAATGGATCTAATTTTTATCCTTTTGGAGATAAACCTGAAAAATTGAATTCTACTGAAGGTAGATTTGTACCATTTATATTTGAAAGAAATCAAGTTGGAAAATTAGCTAATGCTGAAATTTATAATCTTAATTCAAATCAAAAAAGAATTAAACAAAGAACAAGTGAATAAACAAATTCATTACTTGCAGACACTATTATTAAATCAAAATTACATACTGAATAAGACACACCAAAATATGATCCAATCACAAAGTATATGACATTAATACCAACACACCATTAAATTGATGATCTACATAAAACAATAGATATTAAATCATATACTCTTAATCATACTTCTGTTGAAAGAGGGTTATAAATGAGGAAATAATAGAAAGGCTTAAATCACAAACATTAATTAATTAGTAGAAGTACTAAGACTCTTGCATCTCAGATTCCTGCAATAGGAATTTATAATCCAATACCAATTAATAGACATTTACCAAATATTTAAATTAAATCAAAATCAATCCAAAAACTACCTGAAATTTGGGAACATACAACTTAAGTTACAACTCCCAAAATTAATATTAAAAATAGTGAATCTGAAATGATGTTTGCTAAATAAATAGCATAAATCAATAGAGAAGTTGACTCAGAAATGAAAAGAAATCCTAATTAAAAATTCTCAACATTATAATTTGATGTGCATGAAAATATGAATTTAGAAGAAGCTGAATAAATGAGAAATAGAATGAAACAATATTTTTAAAGTGTTAAAGATAGTCTAACTAAAATTAAGAATCTCATTAATGTTAAACGTTGAAAACTTAGATATATTTATAGATTTTATCTCAATTAATTGCTTAATAATTAATATATATATAAATCAATAATAAATTATATATTCTGTTAAAATTCTTAAAATAACAATATTATTTAAAAAATACTTAATAATGAAGAAGTATTTTAAAAACCATATAGTTTAAATAAAATAAAAGAGAAATATTGAAATATAAAAAAGGGATGAAAAATTATCTTTAATTAATAAATAAATTAGAAAATTTATAATTTTATGGATAATTAAAAAAATAAATCACTTTAAACTTATAAAGATTCATTTTTCATATGTAATTAATAAGGATAGCTCTTTATTAAAAAAATGATTATATAACTGATTTATAATTCAATACTAATTCCTTTTTTCTTAAATAACTTCTTATAATTGTGTTCTATATGATGAATTTATATCTAATTCTTATGATATATCATATATTATATAAATTTAAGCCTACTGTTAAACAAAGAAATACTATAAACTATATTAAAATGGATTTTATTATTGATTAATCAATTTTTATTAGTGAATATCAAAAAAATCATTTATTTAAATATTAAAAATTAGAAATAGATCAATTTAAATATATTCTATTATATTTTATTAATATTTTGATCTTTTGATTTGTCTAATATATTTAGATGTGACACAACTACAACATATATTTAATTATAATTAATGATAATTTCATTTAGGTTGAATGGAAGCTAATTATTGTTTATAATATTCTATAAGTTCTTGCCATTTAGCTTTATTTTTGTCCAAATTTTAAAAGAAAGGTTCATAAGCTGGAAGGAATCCTAAGACACATGCAAATGTAGGTTTCACAACATAATCAATAAATCTGAATATATAATTAAACAAAAGTTTACCCCACTTATGCTTCAGCCATATTGGTTGTATATCGATTACATAGATATGATATTGGTAAACCAAGGTCTCTCTCTTTATCTCCCTATAACCAAAATTCAGTTAAGACCTTTTCTGTCCATTATTTGTAGATTTCAAAACTTTTTGTAGGATTGGATACATCTGATGAATGTACAATCAAGTCCATTAATCTTTGTTTATCTTTGCCATTAGGTTCAAAATCAGCTATTTTTGCAAATTTAAATAATAAATACGGGCAGCAATTCTACTATTAGTGACAGCAAGTTCAGAAGCATGATGAGCCATATCTGTAGAAAGTACCATTAAGATAATTGATTCTCTGATGCGTCTGTATTTTTGAAATTAGAGATTTTCAAATATATTGACTTTTTGATTTCCCCAAGCAATTTTAAAACATTAAGATGGATGAAACATTTCTAATACACTTTAATCATTATATGTTAAAGCTAATTCATTTCTACTATTGATAAGAAATGCATTAGTAAGACCTGGATGTCCATAATCATGAATAGCTCCAGCAATTAATACACATGCAATATCTTATTCATCTAATTAACCTATTTCAATAAATTTGCATTTGCTTAATAAGAAATTACAAGTTTATGCAACATCTTAAGCATGTACTTTATTGTGATATGGATTATCTAGATATCCTTTCATAACTTCTTCAAAATATCCTCTTACTACTTTAGGTTTAATTAAAAACACATCAAAAAGATTATAATTTTCAAAGAAAAATAACATTAAATTTACAAGACCTTCTCCTCCACATAATTTGTCACATTCAAAAGGATCAATATATAGATCATCATGTTATTTAAATAATATATCCAGTAACTATATAATATTATTTTAAACTTACTCTTTTTGGTATATTTAGTTTTTAAAAATTAGCAATTACTTTCTTTTGTTATTATTATTATTATTATTATAATTATTATTCATTAGTTAAAACTCTTTTGACTTCAGTTTTACCTTATTAACTTTGATTTAACCATGCCATTGCCTATTTAATTAATAATATATTTAATTACTTCAGCATTATCTTCATCCAATTTACCCATTTAATATAATTGATTATTTCCTATCTTGTCAATACAATAATTAATATCTAATTTCATATTTTCATCTTCTAACACTTCCTTCAATTCAGCCAAAAATCTCACTATTTTCTCAGCTGGTGTTGAAATAGTTGAAATCGTTGCCAATCTTCTAAATGTCTATGCCTTCCTAATTAAAAGAAATATTCTTAAGAATCTAAAAACTGCTTAGATTACTTTGATAACATTAGATGTCTTTTGATCAGCCAATTCAAATATCACAAAAAAGAGTGACAGTAAAATAATTAGAGTGTCTAAAATCAACCATTTATCTTTATAATATTTCTACATTATTTATCAAATTTACCTTTATGCCCCAAGCATATAATCCAACAAATATTTCTAAGATGAATATTATCAATATTCCAAGTTCAATCCAACTCAAAATTGATGAAACATTAATGAATTCAGTTTCATCTAACAATTCTTCAAGAGCCACAATAATAAATATTAATATTGCATAAGCTCCAACTAATGCTATAATACTAATAGTAACAATCTTTGAATTAATATAATCTTGAAACTTTTGTTCAGATTCTGTATACAATCTAACTGTTCACTGAATTTAATATACCTCATATTCAACTTCTTTCTAGGAACCTCAATCAATTTATCATTTCTTTTTGTAGAATCCACTCTCATAGTCTATTTATCAGGGTTTTCAAGACTTCTCTATTAAGAATCAGATCCTGAGGGTAACATTTGTATTATTTCAATTAATTAAATTAAGTTATTCAATAATTGTATAATAGTTTTAGTGCTTAAATCAATATAAATTTTATTCATATATCTATATTCAATTGATTAATACTTTAATCTGTTTATATTAATAACAATTATTATCTTTATCACTAAATATCTGTTATATTAATTTATTAAATGAAATTATCTCCCATATGTTAAACATTGATCCATTCCAAATCTAATCCCTTGTCTCCAGTTATTCAGAATATTAAGAAGCATAGTATTCATAGTATTGAAAATGATAAAAAAGAGAACAAGTATAAAATATTATTAATGAATTTTAAGTAATCAGTTAGAATTAAGAATTAATCAATTAGTAGAAGAGAACAAAAAAGTTAATCTATAATTGAATGATAAAATTAAAGAAAATGAATAATTAAGAGATTAAATTATGGAATAAGAAATTCAAATCAATAAATTAAAAGGAATTGAACATGAACTCATGTTAATCAAAGAAATATCTGATATAAGATTTTAAGATGTAATATATTACATTATTTAAAATAGTATCAAAAATGCAAATAATAAGCAGAACAATTATATTAAGAGTTAACAGACATACAATCTGTATTTTAAGATTCCTCTACTAAATTAATCTGTCAATCAGAAGAGATTCAATAATGGAAAATTAGATACGCTGAATTAGATTCAACAAGATTATAATAATTATAAGGTAAAATTAACAATATATTAATAGAATTGAAACAATAAATTCATAAATAATAAGATGAGGATGAATAAAAGTAATCATATCTAAAGGCTATAACAGAAATGGAAAAAACTATATAATCTTTATAAGATTAATTAAAAGAGAAGGAACATACATTAATATTAGCAAATGAAGATATTAATTAATGGAAAATTAAATATTCTAAGGTATAAATCTAGCAAAAGTAAGTATCTAATGATAAGGAAAAGGATTAAAAAATATAAATGTTAATAGATGAAATTGAAAGATTAAATGATTTATTGGGTTAAAGAAATGATGAAATATATACACTCAAAAGATTGACTGAAAAAACTGCTTAACTTATTTCTATAAGTTAAAGAGCATAAAGGTCTGCTAGTGGTCAAAAATATAAATGAAATTTTTAATTTATTCTAGATTTATTACTTACGTGTATATTCAATTAAGTTTATTAAAACAAAAATTATATTTTCATTTACTTAATTATGAAACCTGAATAAGAAAATCAATTTAAAGATGAACTTTCTTAATTAAGAGAAGAAAAGGCAAAACGTAGATAAAAGAGAGAATGGGAGATAAAAATTATGGGGAAATGCATTGTATGGCTAATATATGCATATGTAGCAGGATTAATAATAACCACTATTAATTACATTTTGGTATTCAAAAATTCAAGCATATAAAGTTGGAAAAATAATTTCAATATGAAGGCATTGTCGAAGATAGTTGTTAGGATTTGAAAATACTTAAAAATATTAATGATTAAATATTCCCATTATTAGATGAATTGACTGTAATAAATTATTCATAAAACAGTTCAAAAAATATTTCAAAATATTTAGGGTAAATTTGGAAAACGATTGTCCTTTTGGAATTGGTGAATATATTTGCACAAGTAAAAAATGTGTTATTTGTACATGCAATTAATCTGAAGTATTATTTATTATTAATTAATTATCTTAGATACCATCAAATTGGTTATCTCCATAATCTTGGCCTATAAATAACCCAAAAGATGATTTTGCTTTTTGGGATTCAGAGAGATTTTTATGTAAATTTTAAAATTATATAATATTATAGAACCTTCTGAATGGATATGGCATGTAGAAGATGTTGAAAATGATAAGGGAGTCTATGTTGATCTTAAATTAAATCCAGAAGCTTTTACAGGATATTAAGGTTAACATATATGGGATGTGATTTATAGAGAGAATTGTTATTAGGGTATTTAATTATAATTATTTTATTATTAGGTTCAATGGTTGAAATGTGCAAAGAAAAAAGAGCATTAAATAAATTAATTTCAGGTTTGCATACATCTATATCAACTTAATTAAGTGAATTTTATGTAGATCTAAAAACTAATAGAACTTATCCAAATTATTCTTTGTATTTTCAAAGAGTAGGAAATCATCCAGAAAGAATTAAAAACCTTTTCTTTTTATATTCTGTTTTATTTAGAGCAATAATTTTGGCAACTCCTGGAATTTAATCATTTGATATCAATTCTTTATCTTTTGAAGATGATTTGAGATCTAAATAATTGTTAAATCAAATTTTATCTTTAAGTAATTCATAATGTTCCAGACCTTTTGATGAATAATAATTTTTTAAATAAATTACATTTGTAATAACATTTATTTAAAATTTAGGAATAAAAAAAGGATTATTAAAGATATATTCATAATATCAGTAGAATAATGGATTGTGTAGAATGTTAAAAATGTAAAGTATTTGGAAAAATGTAAACTTATGGTTTAGGAACTGCACTAAAAATATTATTTTCAGAATCTCCAAGTGAATTTTCTGGTAGATTAAAGAGAAATGAATTAGTTGCATTAATCAATACTTTTGGTAAAGTATCAAGTTCTGTAAATTCTATTGATTTGATGTATGAGAGAAGAGCAAAATATCATTTTAATTTAATTTTTACAATTGGTATTATTGGAGGAGTCTTAATATTGTTTATGATTATCATGCGAATATTGTATAAAGAAATGGATTAGAAAATATAAAAAATGTTTTTAGGAATGCCTTCAGAAGATAATCGTTCAAATGTTGGTTCTAAGAAAAAGCGTGATTGAGATAAACCATTTATATATATATTGTACGATTGTATGTATCAATTTCATTGTTATGCTGTTTCTGTTTATTCTTCAGCTCTTCTTGGTCCTCTGTTTCCTCCTCTACCGAATGGTTTGTTACCTCTTGGACCTCTTCTTTCAGGAACATCTTCTTCGAACTTTTTATCAGCCTTCTTGAAAGTAGCTGGAATAACATCTTCAACAATGCCTTATTGATAGATAATTTCTTCATACCCAACTTATCTCTAACATATTTAACTCCTTCAGCCTTGAGATAATAGTAGTAGTATTGCCATGAGAACACTAAATCAACAAGTTTCTTATCTCTCAAACTTCTCAAGAGCATCCAAACTTCCAAATTTTTTACTCCTGTTTCAGAATGAACTGGGAGAGCCATATCCTAATGAAATCTAATTAAAAATTACCTTCTTAATGACAATAACACCTTCCATTAATAAATATTCATAGACTTTTCTTCTGTCTTATCTCTTGACTTGAACCATGCAAAATAATGGATTTGATTTATTTTAAATTTTAAAATAAAAATAAACAAATACACTATTAATGCTTTTCAGATATCTTTTTCATTGATCAATTCATTATTATTTGGAATACATTCATATTGAAATAGATATGTAATTACATAAACAATAAATTACTTTTATGTATGAATTCATTAACATATTAAGTTCTTTATAATAAATGATTGAGCAACTTAAAATAATAAAATAAAATAGTATTTAAATCTAAACTCAAATAATTTCAATTTTTTATAATTAAACCTAATTTATTTATAATGATTTTGATTTATATAATGTAAAAATATAATAAGAGAATTATATCTATATTTTAAATAATGATAAAATAACTATAAATAAGAGTATAAGTTATGGAAATATTATATCTACATACTCAAATGAAAAATCAAATATATTTATCAGAAATCTTTAATTTGTAATTTAATTTAAGAACCTTATGTATATCAATAATTTAAAGAGGATTTATTGATCTTTAATTAGAATAAATTTTTAATTAAGAGTATTTCTCATATATCTTAATTACTAAGTTTTAAAGTGAATATATATTTCTATGAAATCATATATTTTTATATTCCTTTTAGAAGTTACATTCTAAAATTTTTGATTTAAAGAAAAAAATTATAGAATTCATTTAAATTCATAATAATTGCATTCTAATTTATTGTTTAAATATCCTAATAGGATATATTAATAGAAATTTTGAATGATTTTACTAAATTTGGATAGAAACAATAAGAAAAAATATATATAGAATGTTAAAGGTTGTTATTATTATAGGATTTTTTATAAATGAGTAAAGATGAGAGTTTTAGAAATTGAAAAAATTCAAAAATAATTTAGAATCTGAAATTGATACTATTATTAATTATTTTAGAGTTAGGTATGATAATAAATGATTATTGTTAATAAAGTAGAGTTTCATGTTAAGATTAAAGATTTTAATTTGAGATGGAATAGTTGAAAGATTAAGAAATGATTGGTGCATAAGAATATATACATTTTAAGTGATATAATAATAAATTTAATATATAAAGATATCTAACAACCTACAATGGATGATAACAATAATCAAGATGGGTATTATGTTGAGTTAAATTAAGTGAACAAATAGTAATATTTGAGGAGAAGATTACTAAGGTGAATGGAGAGGTGGCAATTAAACGTTATCAAAGAGGCAAGTTTTTAGGAAAGGGAGGATTTGCTAAGTGTTATGAGGCCACAAATTTAGAGAATAAGAAGGTATTAGCTGCAAAAATCATTGCTAAATCATCTCTTACTAGAAATAGAGCCCGTTAGAAGGTATATATATAAGTTATTGGGTTAGTTGGTGTCAGAAATCAAAATACACAAAAGTTTATAGAATTCAAATGTTGTCTAATTTGAACATGTCTTTGAAGATCATGAAAATGTTTACATATTATTGGAACTCTGTTGCAATCAAACACTGAATGAATTAATTAAAAGAAGAAAGAGATTGACTGAAATTGAAGTTTAATGTTATGTTGCATAGATGATAAATGCATTAAAATATCTACATAACAATAATGTTATTCATAGAGAGTATTTTTTATAATGAAAAAATAGTTTAAAACTTGGGAATTTGTTCTTGAATAAAAACATGGAATTAAAATTAGGGGATTTTGGTTTAGCTACTAAACTAGAATTTGAAGGGGAGAAAAAGAGAACTATTTGTGGAACTCCAAATTATATTGCTCCTGAAGTATTGGATGGAAAAGTAGGTCATTCATTCGAAGTTGATGTATGGTCACTTGGAGTCATTATTTATGCAATGTTGATTGGTAAACCACCTTTTGAAACTCCTGATGTTAAATCTACCTACAAAAAAATTAAAATGAATCAATATTCCTTCCCAGATCAAGTTCAAATATCAGACAATGCTAAATAACTTATTTAAAAGATCTTGGTTCTCGAACCTAGTAAAAGACCTTCATTAGATGAAATCATGGCTCATTCCTTCATGAATTCAGGTGGTACCATTCCTAAGTATATTAATCACCTAAAATCTCTAGAGTTCTACCTCTATCCACTTTAGCTTGTCCTCCCTCAATTTAATATAATAAATAGTTCCAATAACCAAGTAGAGCTTCTGAAACAGCTTAGTCTAATCCAAAGATGGCCACCGTGAGACCAAATATATCATCAGAAAGATGTACTTGACTATTCAAATTTATTAGAGGATCAATTTGGAGCCACTTCTGGATTGAATACTGGATACAATGGTGGATACAATAGTAGTCAGAGACCCTCCTCATAAAAACCATAGGATTTCAAATAATCAGTTAGCACTAAATCTCTTAACCAATTTTATACTAGTGGCACTATATAAAATCAATAGACTAGTAAACAAAAAAATGAAATCTTTGTAAGAAGATGGGTTGATTACAGTAGCAAATATGGACTTGGTTATCTTCTCAGTAATGGTGCTACTGGAGTCTTTTTCAATGATTCAACCAAAGTCATTTTAGATCCCAGAACACAAGAATTTGAATATTTAGAAAGAAAAGGCACTGATAAATAAGATGCCATTGAAAAACATTCTATCAATAGTTATCCAAAGGAATTACAGAAAAAAGTTACACTCCTTTAACATTTTAAATCATATTTGGATGCTGATTCTAAATCAATTACATAAGCTGAAACTAATGATTATGATCCATCCCAATCTGTTTATGTGAAGAAATGGATGAAAACAAGACATGCTATCATGTTTAGACTTTCCAATAAGATAGTTTAAGTATTTTAATATTTTATATTTTTTTTAGGTAAACTTCACTGATAAAACTGAAATCATCTTGTCTTCAGAGAATAAATTGGTCACCTATGTTAATAAATTAGGAGAAAGGAGTCATTATCCCTTAGCTACTGCCCTTGATAGTTAAAATCATGAGATGGCCAAGAGATTAAAATACACAAAAGAGATCTTAACACATATGCTTAATGGAAATACAAATGTTGACTTAAAGAATCCAGAATGATCACTATATATTTGAAAGTGAGATGATATAAATCATATAATATTTAAATTAATATAATTCAGATATGGAAAGTAGAAGCAGTAGTGAAGACAAGAAGGAGAAGAAGAGAAAGCGAAGTAGATCAGAAAAGAAGGACAAAAAAAAATAAAAAAGTAAAAAATCTAAGGAAAGAAAGTCTAAGGAGAGAAAAAAGTCAGAGAAAAAGAAATCAAATAAGAAATCAGAAAAGAAGAAAAAAAAAGAAAAAGAGAAAGAAAGAGAAAAAGAAAAGGAAAAAGAGAAAGAGAAAGAGAAAGAGAAAGAGAAAGAAAAGGATAAAGAGAAAGAGAAAGAGAAAGATAACAATAAAGTTGATGCATAAAAATAAGGTGAAGAAGGTGAAACAAAAGAAGTATAAAAATTTATATTTCACTTTAGTAAAGAATTGCAAGATTAAAATAAGAAAGAAGAAAGAGATCCAGATCTAATTCTGCTGTCAAACATTATTAAAAACAAATTCTAGCCAATAATCCTGTAGCAAAATCAAGTAATCAAAATTTCTCTTATCTTAATTAGATGCTCTTGGTTATGATAAATAGGATTGCTTTTGGGATGGATTTACATGGGTACCTAAAACTAATTTGCACGATAAAGTGAGAGAAGATAAAGAAAAAGTAATGTCATTGACTAGTAGAATGAGAAGAATTCAAATTTGCAATATACCGACAGGTTTAACTAATCGAGATCTCTATGCTGAATTGAGTAGATTTATGAATAGAAATTACTTAAATGACGTTGGTAATGCTAAGCCTATTCTATATTGTCACCTAAACGAAAAAGATCGAACATGCACTTTAGAATTATCATCTGTTGAAGAATCAAATCGAATGCTCAAATTAGAGGATATCAAGTTACTAGATGAATCATGTAAAATTCTTAGATTAGGTGACAGTCTCTATGGTATATTATAAATACATATTTTATAAAGGTTAATCTGTAAATCAATCATAATTAGTTTAATAAGCTCATAATATGGCCTAAGCATAAGCAGCCGCATATCTTGCTTTAAAATCACTTGGATATGCCAGAGGATAGAGGGAAGAAGATGAAATTCTGGCTTAGGCAGGTATCCCATCCAGGATTATAAAGGTTGGAAATTTCTTAAATGTTGCTATGGCAATAAATCTAAATAAAAATGAATGGAATGAAATGCGAGAAGATTTAATTGAAGGCTTTTCATAATGTGGTCATATAGAAGATGATTTCTTTGTTAAACCTTATTAAGCAGGTCTTGGAGGTAATTGTGTAAATTAACCTCTTTAGCCGAAGCAGGTTCTCTTTTTCTAGTTTATACAACGATTGAAGATGCTTAACGCACTGTTATATCGATGTATGGTAGAACATATAATTAGAGAGGGCTCAAAATTATATTTATAAATGAATAAACTTATATTAGAAGTTACATACCATTAAAATTAAAATAACAACCTGAAACTGAAGAAGCACAAATAAATTAAGAAAATGATAATTATGATAATGAACATTTTGAAGATTAAGAAGATTATTTAGACTAAATGGATAATGGACTTTTAGAGAATAATAATAAAGAAAATTGATAAAATTTATATATATAATAATATTTTGTGGGGGAACAGACGAAATAAAATTATATTATCAATTTATTTTTCATTTACTTTAAATTATTTATTCTATTTCATCTAAAATTTCTTATTTGTCATCAAAAATATCTTTTTAATCTAAATTTTCCTCTTTAGGAATCTTTTTATTTTCAATAAATGCACCATTTTATTTTTATTCTATATCTATTTTATTATTATTTTTTAAATCTAAATCATTTGCATCTATCTCCCTACCTTCCTTCATATAATCAAAATACAAAACATCATTCTATTTTCTCTCTATTTCATCTCTTTCATCTTATTTGACTTCCTACTCTTCTATTTATTTCGATTTAATCCATTCTGGAAATTCATCATCTTATATTAATCTATAATTAAAATATTCATTGTCTCTATTTTTTTTATTTAAAATTTTATAGATTTATTTCTCTTCTTCATATCTTTATCTATCTAATTTTTTAAACATTTCTAATTCCTCCTCATTTATGGCTATCCATTCATTGATTTAATTGTCATCTGGTATATTCCCCGTTTCAAATAGATCAACTTTATTTTACTATTTAAAGAAATCTTACAATCTTTCTAAATTTATAGATTTCTAATAATATTAATTAGCTTATATAGTAACTGCATCCAATCCCATCTTATGTACTTCCTTTGTTAGAATATTTACCTCTATTGATATTGCAGTTATTAATCTTAAAATTTTAACTTCGCTTTTTTACCCAATTTTATTAGCTCTTTCATAAACTTATAAATCCATCATTGAATCCCAGTCACTATCAAACAATAATACAATATCAGTTTATTATAAATTTAATCCTAGACTCATGGTATTCAATATAAATATGTTGTATATTGAATTTTCTTAATTAAATAAGTTAATTCTACTTTCCCTTTCTTCTGATTTTAAGGATTCATCTACACGTAAATATTACCAACCTCTGTATTTAAAGTATGTTTCCATAATATCCATTAATTAGGTCATTTAAGTAAATATCAATAATTTATGTTTAAAGTAAAGTAATTTAGGAATTATTCTATCTAATAATTCAAACTTTCCACTTGATCTCCATATTTCATCTGTAATTTTATTCAAATCCAAATTCTACATCAATAAATATGGATGATTGCATATTTTTCTTAATTACATCATAATATTTTATATAACTTATTATCCACTTTATCCAGCTTACTAATCAATAATCGTGATTCCTCTTTAATTAATTTAGTCATAAATCTTTTTTTACCAAGCTGATAGTTTTACCTTAATAACATATTCTGTCTATTGTTGCAACTCTTTTTCAACATCCTTTTTTAACCTCCTTAAAAGAAAAGGTCTTAGAACTTATTGTAATCTGCTAACAATCAATAATTATTTTTCTTCATCCAATTAACAATCTTTCTCATTAAATCCCATCTGGCTTTAAGGCATTTAAAACCACTTCTCAAAATCTTCATCTGATGAAAATACTTTTGGCAATAAAAACTTCAACATTGCCCTTAATTCTGCTATATTATTTTACAAAGGAGCTGATGTTAATAGTAATCTCCTCTCGTGTTAATATTATTAACCTAAAGTTATATCTAATTTTTTCATCGAATTTTTCAAACTATGACCTTCATCAACAATTATATATTTCCATTGATATTTTGATAATTCTAAGTTATCTTATAGTAAAAATTCATAAGTAGTAAGACAAATATTCCATATTGTTGTGCTCATTTATTTAGAAATTTACTATCTAACTTAAGGTGTTCCTTTATAAATTACTTTCTTTATTTTCGGAGCCCATTTTTCGAATTCATTCACCCAATTACTTAAAGTCGACAATGGGGCAATAATAAAGAAAGGACCATAATTTTTCTTGGTCTCTATCAAATAACATAATAAGGAGATTGCTTAGATAGTCTTACCCAAACCCATTTCATCTGCCAATATACCATTTAAACTATTATTATATAAACTCACTAGCCAATCCAATCCTTATACTTAATATTATTGCAATTATCCTCCCTCTAATAAAACAGGTTATTTAGTCACCACTTCCTTAATACGATGAGTAATATTGTAATATATTTTGTTGGCTTATAATTGAGTTGGTTATCCAAATTATTATTTTAATTTTTACTATTTACTACTTCATCTTTTTCAGTTATTTTTTCACTTCTCTGCATTCTTATTTTAGCCCCAATTTCTTTAATTTATTAATTTGATTATATCCTCTTTTCCACATAAACTTAAATTATATTACTAAATATAGTATATCCTTATTAAGTATATAATAATATACTTACATCATAATTTAAATCCATTACAAGAGGTGAATAAGTGGCATTTTATCAATTTGATTATGAAAATATTGAATGATATTTTAGAATAAGTATAGATTTTCAATTTCTCGCTAATCTTTAGGATAAGTTAAAGTTTATTTTCATTTTCAATTTAGTTATTTCTAAAGTGTTACTATTAACTTTAAATTTAAACTTTTTTGCAGCATATAATTTGCTACCTAAAAAGTTAATCTTTTTTTTATTTATTTAATTCTAAATAAATATAAATGAATATTTACTTCTTATTACAATAACAATTATATCTCTATCTATTGAAAAATTTATATGTTTTATGTATAAATGATATGCCTAATTCCAAATAATACTATTGAAAGTATATTTATTTGATATTATCATATATAAAAAATTTGATAATGTATTTAACATAGTATTAATTTAAGATATTTATTTATATTTGATAAATAATTAAGTCAAAATATTGAAGATATATTATTTTTATGTATAAATTTAATTCATTTAAACAAAAAAAGTCTAAAGATAAAAATCTATAATTATAAAAATTCAATACTCATATTTATTCTTCAATTAAAAAGAATATTAATAATAAATTAAAATATTCTTTTATTCTTTCCAATGTTAGATATATATAACTAAATGATATAATATATTTATTTTTGATAAATCAAATCTCAATCTTCTTTACTTTTTCTCCAAGTTCTGGAACTTCTTATGCAATAACTTTAAGTTTGTCTTTATTTTAAAGCAATTCTGCTGTATTCATTTTATTTGTTTTCTTTTTAATTTTACCTTATTTTTCCTCAATCTAACTTTTTAATATATCTGCATGTCTTAAATTTACTTCTTTTATATACTAATTATTATTCTAAAAATTTATACATCAAATTTCTTTTTCTCATGATCATTATAATTATTCAAATCTTATTTCCAAATTTCAGCTTATCTTTTGTTTAATTCTTCTTCTTCTTCTTATCTTCTCTTTTTTTCTTCTATTTAAGAATTTAAAAATGATCTTAATTATTATCTTTAATCTAATTATTTAATTTTCTTCTTTTCCTCTTCTATTTTTTCTCTTTCATTTTATGCTATAATATTTCTTAACATTTTATCATCTTCTTATCTTATCAATTCCTTTTGATCTCTCACAACACCCTCAGCAAACATACCCATTACTTTCTTCATCTTTTCTTCTCTTTATTTCCTTTCCAAATCTCTTTATTCTTCTAATTGATTTTACAAATTAATGTATTGTTATTACATTTAAGTTTCAGCTTCTTTCTCTAATTTAGCATCTTCTAATGCCTTTTTTCTATATTCCTCATTTTCCTTCATCATTCTTAAGAATCTTTCTCTCTCTTTATTTCTTCTATTAAGTTATTCTCTCTATTCCAATTCCAATTCCTCTCTAATCTTTTTAACAAGTAGACTATCTAACTCTTTTTCCTTTTTTTATTCTACTTTTCTAAATAATATCTTTTTTATTTTAATACTTTCTTTGTTGTTCATCTCTAACTTATTTGTCTCTCTATAATTTTTCATTAAATATCTTGCTTTTAAGATTATCTTATTTCTCTTTCTCTCTTTAATCATAAACATTTAATTAATAATGATGTAATTTAACATAAGCATCTTCATCTTAAACCTCCTCTTATTTTTTATTTTATTTTTCATTTAATTATCTATCCAATTCAGACTTTATTTTCTTTTTGAATTCTTATTTTCTAACATTTTCAAGTTCCTTCTCCTTCTTATATAATTCAGTATCGAACTTAACTAACGTAGCCCATTCATCATCTTCATCACCTTCCATCATATACACAGATTTTGGAGCCTTATTACATTATACATATAAATGAATACTTTCGATGATATTTCTGAATGAGCATCTTAATTATATTATTACAATTATTATTGTTATTAATTTGATTTTCTAGATTGACTACTAGGTGGCTTCTGTTATTGAACAACTTATGCTTACTATTATTAAGTGACTTAAATTATTCATAGTAATCTAATACCTTAAGATTCCTATATTGATTTTTCAGCTTATGATTGTGTAGTTGATCCTGCATTTTGAATTGCTTATTAAACTTATTATTTAAGAGATTTCAAAGTTACATCAGTCACTCTAGTTTTTGTAAAATAATCATTCACTATTTAAGTGATTATCTATTCTCTAAAATGTAAGTTACTTATATTTTGTTTTTGTTGTTCTTACCAAAATCTTTAATAAATCTTTCTAAAACTGTCTACTTTAATTGTTCCCTTTACTACTAAATAAGCGCCTTGTCAATAGTTTCCTTCTTCTTTGATTCATTAGTCACTGTGCTCATTATAATATTTAATAAAATTAATTAATAACTCATCTATTCATATTTGTGTTTATCAATTTTGAAAACTCTTCATAAAAACAGTTACCCATTATATATTATTCTATCCTATTATAATCAAATTTAAGAATTAAACTCTCCATAAAGATAAAATTTAATACTAATTGTATATGTATTTTTAACTGTTTTGATGTATAACAAATAAGTTAAATAGATAGTGATTTTATTTGATATGAAAAGGAGAATGATTAATTTTTTCATATCAAATAAAATCACTATATTTATTTATAAATTGTTTGTTAAATGGAATAATTTGATTCATTCAATCCTGTTAGTATTAGAAACATTCTTGCCAAGATTGAAAATATTGGTTTTATCAGTCCAAATAAATAAATTAACTTATATTCCAACATTTTGGTGATGTGTCATGACTTAATCATTTAATTCATTAAATCTAAATAATAATCTTTGATTTGCTTCTTTATTGAATTTACAGTAAAGTATTAATGATATCATATTAGTTTTAAAAAAATCAATCAAAAAGCAAAACTTATGAGATATTTAATTCTTACCTTAATTCGTTAGAATAACATAATACTAAATTATCGGCTATATTTTTATATTTATTCTAAACTGATTAATGTAGAAATAATGCCTAACTCTATTAAAAGTGTAATTAAATAATGAGAGATTTTACAAAAATAAAAAAGGAATAACAATTAGATGATATAACACTAAAATTTAATGATATTATAACCATATCTTAATTGATTTTTGATGATATTACTGTTGATTAAATAATTCATCTTTTAACTGATGAAGTTATGAAAAATTAATAAACTCTTAATCCTTTACTTGAGTAATAATATTATATCAAACTCTTTTTTTTAGGATCTCTGCAAGCCATTTAATTTAACTTTTAATCCTTTATAAATAAGCCTAATCAAATTTTAAACCCTTTTCAACACCTAAAAGAAGTCCCAAAAAAGATATAAAATGTTACAGTCCTAAATTACAAGGATTTTATAGATGGGGATCTCCATTTTTTAGTTAAAATGAATTTTATAAAAATCCTTTAAATAAAAGATTATTAGAAGATTTAGAATAATAAGCTAAAAAATATCCAAAAACTAGATTAATAAATAGTCAATACAATTATTATAGTCCTTTAACACCCAATAAAACAAGATCAGATTTTGAATCTAAAGATTCTGTTGTTTCTGATTTTATCAAAATAAAAAGTAATGATAATTCAAAAAAGCAGAGTCCCTCTCTAATATATCATACAGAAAACAGTTTCAGTGAAAAGAAATAAGATCCAAGTATTTAAATTTTCATATTAATTTTAGTCAAATAAAATGGTTGTTTATATAATTATGAAGTACCACAAACTCAATAGGAATTATTAAAAATTATTTAAATGTATTCAATTTAGTACTTTGATCCATCAATAGAGCTTCCATAGCCATTGGATATTAAGATTAGTTATGAACATTTGATTGATCTTTATACTGAATTAGAATAAGAAGTTACATTTAGAAAGACTACTTATAGAGCTAAATAATATTTTGCATCAATAGATCCAAGATATTTATAGATAAATAAAAGTAATTAATAGTGAGTTAATTTTAATAGATGAAAAGATTGAAGCAATTTCATAAGTAGAAGGATGGATTTTAGGAAAGAATGAATTTGGACATATTGGATGTTGTGCCGATTCTTATATCTAAAAATTATGAATTATTTATTAAAATTCTTTTAAATTAAAAATTGATATAAAAAGATTAATAAGAGAAAATAAATAAAAACATTCAATTAAGTGTTTAAACTTTATAAAATTACATTTCTTATTTTGTAAGTTAAATTCTTTTTCCTTTTTCATCAATTAATGGATGTCCATCTTAAGTGAGAATAAATCCATTTTCATCAATTTGATAGATTAATTCTTCATCATCATCTTCATCTTCTTGTATGACAGACATTCCTTAAGCTAAAATATAAAGGAATTTTTTTACATTTAAGAAGATTGAATTCATTTTTATTTGATAATAATTATTATTATTATGTAGAATCTTAAACAATAATATCATCTAGACTATCTAACATATCTTAATCATTAAGATTTTTAAATGGAGAATCTTATTTATCAAATCCCTATTAATCCTTTCTTTTTGTGATTATTGTTTTTAATGGAGATGGCATATTTTCTTATATAATATCTTATTTTAATTGATTTGAAGCATTAAATAAAGTTAATTCTGATTAAATAAGTTCTATTTCTTAAATTTCACTATTTGATTAATTATTTGAATTCAATAAAACACTAATATGCTCAGGTAATTTAAGATCATTTGTTTTTTGATTGATGGATTCAAAGTTAAATTTTTTAATGTATAAATCAGAGTTTACTAAAGAATTATTATTATATTCTAAATGTTATATTTATTTATCTTAAAGTTGTTATAATTAATTCTCTTTTCCACTAGAAGATAGTTTAATTTTAGTTAGATTTGAGGATTAATTAATTAATTAAGAAAGTTTGGCAATTTCTGCTTCTAATAATTGAAAATCAGACTATTATTATTTTTAAATTTTATTGAAAATTTCTTTACATTTACTATTAATTTACTATTTTAATTAATTTTTAATTTAACATAATTATGTTTCATAATCTTGTTGTTTCATTCTCTATTGATGTAATATAATTTATTATTATTAATGGAGAATTTCAATTTATTTATTTTATTGTTCAATTAATTTTAAGAATTCTTCTTTCTAATTTTTAAGTGCATCATCAAAATAAGATGTGCATTATAATAAGTTTAGATTTGAATTAGTATTTTAATTAGTTTATGAAATTTATATACTGTTTGATTTACTTTATAAATCATTTTGTTGTTATTATTTCAATCCTTTAGAGAATAATTATTATTTAATTAGATTATCTCTTTCTTTTAATTACAATTAAGAATCTTAAACTAACAACATTAAATCAAATATTTACAAATTTTATTTTTAGTTTATGAAATTTTGGAATTGGATATTGTCTATTAGTAACATTATTATCTATTTATTTGTTCTAAAATTAATTAAATGTGTTACAAGTAATGATTTAATTTTGATGCAATGGACTGGATGAAACTGGAGATAGTCTTGGTTACTAATGCATTAGATAAAACTTAAAATTTGAAATTTATTTATTTATTATAGCAATTTATATGTATTCTTTGTTGATGTTGACATTTAATTAATTTAATGAGGAATTTAATGAGTATAACATAAGATAACAATTGTAAACAGTATCCCAGATTACTTGCTAATGATGGTTCAGAAAATTAGAGAGTTAAGTTCTAGAAAATTGAAATTTAAGATAAGTTTCATAGAAAAGTAGAAACTAGTTTTGTTTTAAAGAGTTTACATAAAACAAATAATGAAATACATAGTTTTAGATTAATCAAAATAATTGATACTCCATTTAGATAAAGAAGAAAAAGTGAGTGTGATGGAGTAATTTCTGAAAAAATTGTATTTTTTTAAGTTATGGCAAGCAAAACATAGATATGAAGTACCCAAAAACAATAATTGAGTAACATCAATTTCTAGATAGAGTTAAAGACTTACGTAGAAGAGCAATAAAGGGAAGAATGAAGACTAAATTTTAGAAATCTTTCAAGAAAATAGATACAACAAAACCTAGTTAATTTAATCCATAAAATTAACATACTATGTCAACTCGTGATTCTATTTTTGGAAGTTTCTAAGACATTAAAGTATACAGAACTTTTGCCAAAGATCGTACTTACTATTAACGAACATTGGAGAAAAAAGGATCTGATTTAATGTCTGATTCCCCTAGTACACCTAGTATTCATATTCGTAGAGTAACATAGAAATTAGGATTCGCATAAAAATAATAATAATTTGTACTCCTTTAATTGAACAAGTACAGTCCCAAAATATTTGAATAATTAAAGAAAGATCCCATATTAAAAATTCTTTCAGAAACTAAAGAAATTTAGTCTTAAACTCCACCTGTTCCTTAAACTGCTGCCTCAATAATCTAACATAAATTTTAACCTTACTTTTGTAATCATAAGACAATGAATCTAAGAAAATCTTGTTTTGCATCTTCTTTTTAAAGAGTTAAGACATTAATCTGAATATCTTTATTGATCATAAATATATATATATATATATATAATTAAGTATCAATTAATATGGCTACTACTTGTTTTGATATCAATAATATTTCTTTTCTTCTTTTTAATGTTACCATATCCAATTGTACTTATTATTATTATATATCATTATACTTAATATAATCCATTGAATTTCTATTTGAATTAATAGAATATCTATCACAAACACTAATTACTTTATCAAATTTATCTATATAACTCTATTTTAGACTACTATTTGTAATCTTGTCCAAATTACGTAAACTAGTTTTTTGGAGTTAAGTTACATTATATTTCTTTGGTTCTTTATAGAAATTAAATATTTCATCTTATGTGCATAGACTTACATTCAATTCATTTTATGTAGGAACAAAATCATCTTCTGAAATTGAAGGCTATTTTTTGTAAATTTCTGAATATTTAATACTTAATTAATTTCATTTAATAAAAATACTTGCGTGCTTCTTCCAACTATTCTTTAGCTTATATTTCAAATTTGATTAAATATTCTTGAATATTAGTTTTGATTATTTATTTATACTTATTTAGATTTTTCTCAATATGTGAATCACGTAAGGCTGTTGTCTAATATTTATCTGACCATAACTCAGTACAATGAATTCTACCACTATTTATTAATGGAATATTGTGTTTCTATGGTTATAAAGGTTCGAATTTTCTTTTTCTATATATAGCAATAGTATCTTTTCGATCTTCTAATTATTTATCCTTTAATAAAAACTACAAATAGACATTTAAATAATTAACTGGTAATGAAAGCATCATATTAAAGTTAACCTTTCTCTTATTTGCTAATTATTGTAATGTAAACTATTCAATTGGTGGCAACATTCCTAATTAGGATTTCATTATTTCAGGATTATAGGATAATTCTTCTTACATTTTAATATTTAATTAATTTATACAAGAATCTTTTATAAGTTTATATATATATATTGTAAACATTCAATTAACAAGGAGTTAGTACAATTATGATCGTCTAACTGGTTATAAAGGTACACTTCTTGGAGAATCATTAAAAATCAATTCAGATTATTATTTATATTTTAATGGCTTTACTTTGACTTTTCTTCCTCTTTATGTTGCATGAATTCTCCTTAAATCCACATCTTTTATATATTCATTAGTTGTTGATTCTGATTGTCTTGCAGTAGAAATAGATGTCAATTTACAAGGAATCCTTTTCTTTTAATTATTCTTACGAGAATATTCAATACCTTCTATACCTTTAAGATTAAGTGTATAAATAGAATTATGTTGATCAATTAAAGCCTTAATTCTATCACACTCCTTTTTAGTGTTACTTGATTGCCTTTATTTAATAGTTATTAAATCATTTACTTCAAATAATCATCATACTTTTCTTCAACAATAAATTCCTTTCTTATTTTCGGATCAAGTAGTTTTATATAGTTTGCAATCTTCGAAGATGCTCCAACAAAATTCTTATATCTGCCCAAACTAGAGGGATCAAATAGTAATTCATTAAAGTTAGGTCTACTCTATAAATATGAATTATACAATTTCCCTTCATATTCTGCTAATTAACAATACAAACGAATTTTAGTATTGTTCATCTTAGACATTTATTCGACATGTATCATTGAATCATACTGCATATTCAAATCTGTATTGGTTTCTGCATTACTAAAAGAAGAAGCTTTATTGCTAAAATACATAATTAACTATAAAATTAATCATTCTTTTTTTAATTTAATTGGAAAAGTCTTTTTTTATTTACTATTCTATCTCTATTTTATTTTCCTAATCCTATCCTCCTTCATTAATTTTACTATATATAAACCAATTTAAACAATCAATGCTCCAATCAAAAAGAAAGCAGTTAATTCTAATGATTAATCATAATTAAGTTTAAAGAAATAAATTCCAAGATAATAACCTAATAATCCACTTATAAATAGGCTAAAAATAAATGATAATCCATAATTCACACTCTTTTCATATTCTTTAATGGACTCTTATTTTTTCTCTTAAAATATATCTTTAGTCAATTAAGATGATTTTTATATGAATACTCTATCTTTACATCTCATTTCTCTTACTTTTATTTCATCCAAGATTTCTTTTGGTCTGTGATCTGCTTCTCATGCAATTTTATAATTCTTATAAGTTCCTCTACATTATGAACTTAGTGCCAATAATCTCTTCGATATTTAATTAATCTATAAGATCATCATTATATTAATATATATAAAGTTTAATCTCATTCAAATTTTCATAATTAGATGGATTAAGTGGATCTAATATTTATTTAAAATGATTTTTAATTTCTTTTGGCAATAAGTCAATATATAAAAGAGCCATCTTTTTAATAAATAAATTGAAATAAATATAATGGATTTTGGAATTTTATATTAAATAGATGAATAAAGATAAGCATATTGTGTATTTTTTATAATTGATGTTCAAAATTTGATACATCTTATTTTAATGCTAAAAGAACAATTGAATTAGAAATAATTAAAAGAACATTGAATGTCTTCATTATTAATAGTATCTAAATTGTTTTTTTATCAATAATTAAAAAATCATCTATAGATTTATCATAATATTTAATACTTAACTTAAAGGAGTATTAAATTTTATATAAAATTAGATCATTATATGAATAATATTAATAATTGATATGATTTAGAGATTATTTTTCTTCTTTTATATAAAGAAGAGATATATATTTACATATAATTGAAAATAATTCATTTTCTGTTATATGATCTCAATTTTCTGCATTCTTAAGAGCTTCATCAAGTTTCTTTTCTTATTAAGCAAAGGCATAACCAGTATATTTTCTATTTCTAACTGGTCTAACTGGGAGAAGAGCTGATGTATCATCATATACATCATCTTCTTAGAATAGATTTTCAAATTTATCAGGTGGCATTAATGATGAAGGAGGAGTGCTTCCAAATCTTGACTTTTAAGATGAAACAGGTTCTTATATATCCCTAATTTTTTGGATTTCAAATAATTATTATTCCGAAAATATTGACCATCTTTATAATGCTAAATCAAAAAGAATTGTTAAAACTAATATTCCACTCAAAATAAAGTAAAATTAAATATTTGAAAATAAATGAATGAATGTATGTGAAACATCCAATTTGTCTGTGAATTATGATAGTATCATATAGGTTAACAGATACATAAATATAGATCCAAATATAAATAGTACAGATCCTATAGAATTCATATAAGAAAAGACAAAGACTTTAAGATTTACTATAATAATGGCATAACAGAATACAGCCATACCTACTGATGAAAGAAAGAGGATTCTTCCTTCTTTATCTATGCTTGTTTATACCATAGATGGAAATACTGCATAAATAACTATGGCTGATTATATACCACCAGAACAAAACCAAAAAAAGAAAGTAAGCAATGTTACTTTATTATTAGTTTAATATAATTATGGATCTATGAATAATATATAAATAGAATACTTTATAATAGAAATTTAGATGAATATTATTAATCTAGAATTGCATAAACCATAATAGGTACACTTGTATAAAACATATTATAAAATTGATAAAGCCAAGGATCATATAAATTAAGAGGTGAAAATCCATTGTAAAATGAAAACCAAAAGTGTGGTAATACAATAAGTAGATTTTTATAAAAGTTATATCCTACTAATACTTGATTTCTTCTATAACATTCTCTTCCATGATAGAGTAACAATTATTGTAATATTTTAAACTCACCAATTGAATAATCTGCTGCTCTTGCTGCTTAATTACCTTCTACACCTTTTATACCTATTCCAATATTAGCTGCTGTTATCATATTTACATCATTGGCTCCATCACCTACAGCCATAGTCACTATATTATATATATTATCCTTAACCAATTACACTAATTCTTATTTTTATTTAGGTGATACTCTACAAGCTAAAACAGTATGACATTATTTAGCCAAATCAATAAGTTTAATTTAATACTTTTCATCTAAATGTATTAATGAATCACCTGAAATGATTAAAGCAGTTGAATTATTTTAGAATTAAGATTTTAATAAATCTAAACCTTAATTAATTTTAAATTATGCTTCAAATTAATCATCTGCTTAAATTACAATTTTTTATTATGAATCATTTAACAAATTACAAGCATAACTAATATTTATAGCAGTTTCTAATTTATCTCCTGTCAATACCCATATTTTAATACCTGCATTCAATATCTTCTACATTGTATTACCAACATCATCTTATAATTTATCTTCAATTCCAGTTCCTCCAATCAAAACTAAGTTTTTTTCTATTTAATCTTGTAAATTTAACAATTATTCATCTCTATTAATAGTCTACAAACCTGCTTACAAATAATTACTTATCCATTCATCGTATTATTATTTGCTCAAATCTTTATAGGCTAACAATAAAGTTCTTAATCCCTTTTCAGCATATTACTCTAAATGTTATTCTGTGATAGATAATAACTCTTAATTTTATCTATTTTATTTATCAAGTAAATTTATTATCATTGAATCAGCTCCTTTACATAATAACATAATTTAATCATTTTAATCTTAAACAATAACAGACATTCTCTTTCTTGATGAACTAAACTCTAATACTTATAATAACTTATATTTTATCAACTAATCTTTATACTTAACAATCATCATTCCATCATCTAATCCAATATACTCAAATCCACAAAATTTAGCTCCCATAAGTAGTGCTAATTCATCTGGTGAAGATGCATTATACTTAATTTTGCCCTACTCATATTCAACCAATATTGTGTGACATAACGTTAGATGCATAAAGTATTCTATTATTCTTGTAGAATGTTCATCATTTTAATCTAAATCATTGAAGAGTTGTTTATCTTTAAAATCTACATTTGTTACTTAAGGCATTTGTATTAAATCTTCATTGGTTAATATTTAACTTCTATTGCTTACATTTCCATATGATTTACCATAAATGGATATCATTTTGAATTCCATTAAATTCTTTGTTATAGTTCCAGTTTTATCAGTGAACATATATTTTACATTACCTAATTCTTCATTAAGATTTGAAGTTTATACTTCAGTTCTATGATTTTATGAATTACACTATTTATCATTTTCTATCATCATACCTTGTAAATATTTAACCTACACTAGATACCAAATTATTTTCATACCATTTCTAGAGTCACTAATAAAGATATTGGAACAAAATTAGTATAAATCAATAACCAAGTTCCCCATCTCTCCATTGTTCTAAATACTATATTTGTTTAAAGATCATTCTCATCTAATTCCAAATATGGAATATCCATAAAATTATCTAATTACCAAAAAACTGAATATTATGCTGAGAATAAACAAATTACTAATTATCTATTTTAATATGATATAATTTTACATAAAAAATACTAGAATAATAAAGAAATTCATTTATGATTCTAAGGTGCTTGACTTAGGTCTGGCTTTTGTTGAATTTAACATGATCTTAGTATCAAATCCTGTATAAACAACTAATCCATAAATCCAATGAGTGTTTCTCAATGAACATCCTCTAAGAATAAAATTAACTTCATCCAATTAATAAACTTTTCTATGTAATGCATCATAATTAATAATGGAATCTCTTGATTAATCTCCATCACTATAATGATCAGGAGGCATTGTAATTGTACCATTGAATTTATACAAATATGGATTAGGTTTATCATAATGGACTAAGATATGCTCTTTTTGTAACAGATGATCATTTAAACCTCTAGTGAATTAAAGACCTTTATGTTATTTCTTGATTTTAAGGTTAGTTTCTCCATCAAGGTTTTTAGTTTCAATGAAACATGTTCCTTTTTAACTTGTTTTGATTACTATTACATCAGCAGGAAAATATTCTCCTTATTCAATTCTAATAATGTCTCCTACCAAAATCTGTTACCATTTCTTTTCAACCAACCCGTAAGATGTCAACACCAATGCTATACTTTAAATTAAATTAAAATAATTAATACCGATTATTCTCATCTTGATCAGAAATCTAACGTTTATGATCTTCTAAAAAATCTTTGAATGCTGAAATTGCAATGACTACAAATAATGGAAACCATATAACAGGTTAACCGTCTGTAATTGAAACTAAATCTATAGTTTCCAAATATCCAACAATTAAAAAATAAATATTTGCCATTTTTGAAAATTATTCCATTAAGTTCAAAGGTAGAAATGTCCATAGTGTATATTTACAGGTTCTAATTGTATTATCTGGTAATTCATGATCTTAAATATTTGTAATAATAGTTCTATCTTGTTGTTAATGCTTTGATACCTTTCATATCTCTCCAATGAGGTCTAGTTTTGAAGCAACATCCTTAAAGTTCGTATTTGTTGTCATATGGCAAATACAATGACCATGGATCATGTTGCCCCAATTCACTTTATGAGTTTTACATGGATTTTGTAATAATAATTTAAAAACGACATTATATGTATAATGATGCAATTATTGTGTATTAAATGCTGATTAATATTGGATACACATTTTAACTAAATTTATTATGAGAGTTGGTATTAATTTGCATCAGAAAACTTTACAACATACTAAATGTCCATTCTTAAAGACATTCAATATAAATATGACATCAGAATAAGCTATAACCAAATACACTAAATTTTGCCCTTATCTTCATTTTAAGGAAATGAAGTAAATTATAATAAGATTTCTAGATCTGAGGCAAAGAAGTGTCCAATTGACCATACTTAATTTTATAGTAACCAATTCAAAGGGGTTATTCAATAGATAAAAGATGAAGGACGATACAGAGAATTCAAGAGTTTATTACGAACAAATGGAGAATTTCCAAGAGCCATCAATAAGACTCCTTCTGGAGATTAAGCAATTACATTATGGTGCAGCAACGATTATTTAGGTAAGAGTAATGAGTTAACAGTAGGAATGTCTTAAAATCCTATGGTAACATAAGCCACGAAAAATGCAATTGATCTTACAGGAATAGGAGCAGGTGGAACACGTAATATAGGTGGCACAAGTATCTACCATGTTGAGTTGGAAAGAGAACTAGCTGATTTACATAGGAAAGACAGTGCTTTAGTTATGAACAGTGGGTATGTTGCTAATATGGCCACATTGGATACACTCGGTAAAGTTTTAAAGGATGTGACATTTTTGAGTGATGCCAAGAATCATGCATCTCTAATTGAAGGAATGAGAGCTACTAAAAGAGATAGAGTCATTTTTAAACATAATGATTATAAAGATTTGGAAGAGAAATTAAAATAATTAGGTATTTTTATATTGTACAAAATTAGATATTTAATAAAACAAAGTCATAGTATTTGAATCTGTTTATTCTATGAATGGTACTGTTGCACCAATCTAAGAGTTTATCAACTTAGCAAAGAAATACAATGCTCTTACTCTTATTGATGAAGTACATGCTGTAGGTATGTATGGTGATAGAGGGGCAGGTGTAACAGAAAAACTTGGATTATAAAAAGAGATAGATATAGTTACAGGAACATTGGGCAAAGCATTTGGATGTTCTGGAGGTTATGTTTCAGCCAATTCAGAAATTGTAGATGCAGTTAGAAGTACTGCTAGTAATTTCATTTTCTCAACATCAATGTCTCCAATAATAGCAGCAGCTTGTTTGGAGTCTGTTAAATATCTCAAAACACATCCAGAAATTAGAGAAAGACATCAATATGTGGCTTCTCTTATTAAAGCTAAGCTTAAGAGCAAGGGCATTCCAGCTCTCAATAGTGCTTCCCATATTGTTCCAGTTTTTATAGGAGATCCTGTTTTGTGTAAAGAGGCTTCTGAAAAACTACTTAATGAATACAATATCTATATATAACCGATCAACTATCCAACAGTTCCAAGAGGGTAATATGATATTCCTATATTATTTTAGATAAGAGATATTACGTATATCTCCTACTCCGTTACATACCGAGGAAATGATTGATTAGTTGGTTGACTCTATCGAATGTGTATTTAAGAGCCTAAATCTGAGAATGGAATCTTAATATGCAGCAGAACAAAGGGCAATCTTCTAATGATAGTAAATTATTTTCATTAAAAATATACACAAAAATAACAACTAAATTTCCTTTAATAATGATATTAATTAATAATATAAATATTAAATGTGGAGAAGAGCCTTATAAAATTGTCTAAAAATTGCATTCATTGGATCATCCATTACATTTACTTCTAGCTTTGTATTTTCTTAAGAATAATTATATGCATGGGTAATCTTATAAAAATATATTAAGGGATGGAATAATTTTGGATAATTAGGCATAGGAAATTCAATTTCTTAATATTCTCCTTAGTTAGTCCCAATATAAAATGTTTTATTTGTGACTTGTAAATCAAGTGTTTCTGCAGCAATTGATAAATCTGGAAAATTGTATACATGGGGAAGATCAAAATTTGGACTCTTAGGCAATGGATAAGTAGAAAATATCAATATTCCTACACTTGTTGAATGTTTAAAACATTTAGATTTTAAATATGTTGCATGTGGCAATTATCATATGGCTGCAATAACCACAGATGGACAGTTGTATACATGGGGTAATTAAGATCATGGCAAACTTGGTTAAACATTTGATAACTAAGCCAAATTACCATCTAGAGAAAAATATGAATATTAAAAGAATTTGGGATCTGCTAAATTACCAGAATTAGTAAAATTAAATTTTAAAGTACAATAAGTAGCCTTAGGAGATCAATTTACAATAATTCTATCAGATGAAGGAAATGTTTATTCAGTTGGATTGAATAAAAAAGGTATTTTAGGATATGAAACAAAAAATGCTGAAGAACCTAATTTTAAACAAATTTAAAATTTAAAAAATATTGTATAGATTGATAGTGGTACTGATTTTAGTGTTGCACTTGATTCTGATGGAAAGTATATATGAATATTAATTAAGTATGTTCGCATGGGGTAGTAATTACTTTGGTTAATTAGGTACTCCAAGTCCTTCAGTAGTATAAATACCATAGCAAATCAAAGGATTGCCAAAAATTAAATAATTTTCTTGTGGTGAACAATTTATTGGTGCTTTGAGTAAAGAAGGTGTTTTATATACTTGGGGTTTTGGAGGAGATGGTTAATTGGGAACACCTAGTAAATAAGATATACCAACACCTCATAAAATATAATTCGATCAAAATATTGATAAGGTCTCATGTGGATAAGCTCATGTAGGTATTGTAAGTAATAATAAACTATATATGCATGGAAGGGGAAAAGAAGGTTAATTAGGAAGAGGTTCAGAGACTGAATCCCCTAATAGTAGTAGATATTCTCCTTTATTAGTAATGGAAAATGTGATAAAGATTGCATGTGGTGGAAGTCATTCCTTTGCAATAGTTAACTAAAAATGAGTTTATTTTTAATATATTTTGTCTTAAAAAAAAAAACAAGATTTAATAAATATTAATAAATGCTTTAATTTTTTTGAATAAACTTTATATGTTAATAAATTGTAAAAAAACCATTTTCAACAATTGCAAGAAGATGGTGCTGGTTGTGGCTAAGCAGTTTCCTAATTTAATTTGAATTAACTTGATTAGTTTTCAGCATTAACTTATGGTTTCTGACTTTCATTTTCTAATCTTTTCTTCAAATTTAGACCTAGTATATCGAAAATATTTTCTAAAATTTAATATGTATTTTTATATTACATATATTTTTATTTTCTAATGCACTAGTCTCTATGAATGGCATTTTATACTTTGTTGCTAATGCTTAACCTTCTGATGATTGAACTCTTCTATCTTGAGAATCCATTTTATTTCCGACTAAGATTGAACAACTTAAGGGATTATTATTGCATATTACACTTCATCAGTTGTATTTTCTGTTATAGATTTGATCCAAGTTTCGACATTATTGAAAGAATTTCTATCTACTATGGAATAAACAAATATGATTCCAAATGCTCCTTTATAATATGTTTATGTAATGTTCCTAAATCTCTCTTATCCTGCTGTGTCCCAAATTTATAATTTGATTTTCTTATCTTCAACCTTTTTAACATATTTATCAATTGTACAGTGATTGTTTTTATCTTAAAATCAACACCTATAGTTGCCATATAATTTTATGAAAACTTTTGATCACAATATTAAGTAAGGATATTGGTCTTTCCTACTCCTGAGTCTCCTAAAACAATTACCTTTACCAACCAATCGTAATATCCATTTGACATTTTAACAAATTTTATCAATAATATTTATTATTTAATATTTGATATTCATTTAACATTATTTCACAGAATTTAGTACCTAATAACAACTATTTAAACAATAATATATATATATTTAACTTTCTTCTTTTATTTTGGCTTCAATTCTTAATTAACATTAGTATAAATTCACATATTATAGAGAATCTAATTGGGGAATACTTTTATTATGAGTGTTGGTTTTAGTTTTAATAAATAACTTAACTTTAAAAAAAAGAAAAATATTCAGATTTAGTAAAAATAACAATGATTATTTTATTAATTTTTTCTTAATTACACATAAAGATTGAAATGTAATTTATAAAATAATTATAATAATAGTATTTTTTTAAAAAGAATAAAAGAAGAGAATTTTATTTTTCTAGGTGTTTTTATATGATTTTATATAATAATAAATAAGACAGTTCTTAGTGCTTAAATTATGATTAAATAGGGTTGACCAATTTAATTTAAACTATCATTAAAATAATATGAACTCTGGATTGAATAACTAAAATTCCTTATTGCAGCAACTAACTCCAGCATAACTTGAAGAGTATTAGCAACAATTGAGGTAAACTTCTAACTTCATATTCTATATACTATATTACTTCATATGCTCAAATCATATATTTGGCAATTAATTACTTATTTTAGATAACAACCATTTTTCACCAATCCTTTGAGTAGCAACATGAAAACATTACCATTTCTAAACATTTTTCAATAGTTATAGGACAATCTTATTAGAACCTCATAACCACAGGATCTGTTCAATTTTAATCGTGGTAAGATATCATCAATTCCACATCAATTACAATATTGTGACCTTATAGTTTTTTGAATTGGCTTATTTTTGCTTAGGTTTGGGAGGTGTAATGAATTCGATTGATTATATGAAACTTTTATAGAAAAGCTTATAGATGAATAGCAATGCCATAAATGCGTTTAATTAGAATTAGTTGTTATGCTAATTTGGAATGATGGGTCAAAAGAAAAACAATACTTCACAAAATCCAATTACTGTTGAAGATGATGAACCCCCTTAAATTTAGAAATGTCATAATTCTAAATGCAACAATAAAGGAGATCGTAAGACCAAATCAAAAAAAGGAGAGACTCTTTAATTCTGTGACAAATGTTTAAGGTTATATAATCGTGGAAATTATTGTGATTTTTGTGAATAGGTATTGGAAGAATTTCTAAGATTTTTAGGTATATTCGAATGGGTCATATGATCAAGATGAATAAGAATGGATTCAATGTGATGAATGTGAGAAATGGGTATATATAAATAGATATTGATAGAATCATCTAAATTGTGAAGCTAAATATAGAAATTAGAATATTAAAGAAGAGACTGAGAATAAAGTTTATTATTGTTTAAATTGTTCTAAAATTAAAAAACAATAACATTAACAATAATAATAATAATAATAATAATAATAACAATAACAATAATAATAATAATAATAATAATAATAATAATAATAATAATAATAGTTTCAGTAATAGAAGAAATAAGAGAAGACAATAGAAGAATATCAACCAAAATAAAGAACTATTATAGAATAAGAGGATGCTAGAACAAGAGAGAAAAATATTAATTTTGTAGCCACCAAAGATAATAAAGTTTAATTTAGTAAATTTATAAATTTAAAATTATTTAATAGCATTTCGATTGAATCTATATGATGATGAAATTAAGTCAGATCTCGATTTTCTGAGAAATTCTGGCAAGAAGAATATTAAGAAATAGAATTAATAAGATTCTCCAATCATAAAATAAAATATAATACCTTAACAACAATAATAATAATTATTTTTATAACAATAATAATTATTATTATCATAATAAGTATAATCTATATAAGAAGAGAAAGTAAAAATATATTAATAATTCATAATTAGAATTCTGATTAATAAATGAATGGTAGACGTCGAACTAGAAATATTAAATATAGAGTCAATTATCGGAATTTAGGGGGGGAATGATTTATATGAAATATATTTAATTGAAATTCTAATTTAAATAATACTCACATATATATCCAAATAATTAAAATGTCTGATTTGAGATTTGATAATAAAGTAGTTGTAATAACAGGGGCAGGACGAGGACTTGGAAAAGCTTATGCCTTATTTTATGGATCAGTTGGAGCCAAAGTTTTAGTAAATGATAATGGTTGTGATTTGGACGGAAAGAACACAAATCCTAAATTTGCAGATGAAGTAATTAATGTTCTAAATTTAGGTTGTAGCAACAATAAAGAGTAAAGGAGGTATAGCAGTGGCTAATTATGATTCTGTGTTGAATGGTGATAAAATCATTGCACATGCTATAAAAGAATTTGGAAGACTTGATGTTCTTATTAATAATGCTGGCATCTTAAGAGATAAGATATTGGCTAAGTTGACAGAAGAAGATTGGGATATTGTAATCAAAGTAAGACTAATGTTTATATGATTAAAGACTCATCTATATGGAACATATTCTGTAACTAAGGCAGCCTGGCCAATCATGAGAGATTAAGGTTATGGTAGAATAGTTAATACATCTAGTGGATCTGGATTGTATGGAACATTAGGTCAAACCAATTATGCAGCTGCAAAGGCAGGAATAGTTGGACTTACATTAACATTAGCAAAGGAAGGGGAAAGAAGAAATATATTGTGTAATGTGTTAGTTCCAGTTGGAGCATCTAGAATGACAGAAACAATTATGCCACCTGATGTAATGAGTGGAATTGATCCAAATAATCTTACACCAATATGTATATCTATTTAATAATATTTTTAAGTGGCTGTTTTAACTCATGAATCAAATAAAGAATATAATGGTGGTATTTATGAATGTTCTGGAGGATTCTTCTCTAGAGTCAGATGGTAAAGATCTGAAGGAGTTTCCTTAGATTTACCTGTTAAAATTTGTGAAGTTCAAAAGAATTGGGCTAAAATTAATGATTTCAATGGAAAGAATGAATATCCAACTGGAAATGCTGACTTATTCAATAAAGTTTAAGAAAATCTAGAAAGATTGGAATAATAGGCTGCCTAAAAACCAAAGTTATGAGTTTAGAATTTACATTATTAAAATGAATATTATATTGATTTCATCATTAATTTACCTTACATTACAATAATGTACAGAAATTGGAGTTGCCTAATGTAATGGTTAGCTTAGATCAGGTATATAATCTTTTTTATACTTCAGGCTTATTACCTACTTATTTATTCGAAAAAGCATTTTCAGTGGGTTTTCCAAATAAATTTTCGACTCATGTTTAGATTATACAGAATGGATGGAATTTAACAGCTTATGAATTTTTTTCAGAAGCATTAATTGATAATTAAACATACACAGGATAATAAGGAGTTGGTGAGGGTGGTTAGATTACAGTTTCTAATCCAACTATTCTGATTGAAGTTGTTTTTTTATTTTAAAATGGAACTATTTAAAATGGATAAGGAGTTGCTATTCTAGAGAGTGTCTCTTCTGCATCATATACATTTGGAATCACTACAAAAACAAATCCATATAAATATAATTTTTAGTATGTGAACTCATCTGTCAATTTTAATAATTCTTTATTTAAGGCTGTATATGCTAATTTTCCACATGAAATTGGATAAATTCAAGAAATTCTTTAAGCTATCAATACTAATCCATTAATTCAAACAGCTTTAACTTAGTATTACACTAGTTCATCATTATCAAGTCTAAAGTCTACCTTAACTAGAGAATTAAATGGATTTGAAATTATTAAAGGTTAAACTTCAACTAAAACATATCAAAATGGTTCATTAAATTTCAATTATTAAGTTGTTGTCAATAATGTATTAATTCAATATGCTCCTGTATCATATGCTATATCAGCTGAAATGAACATTTAGTAATTATAAACTTAATATACTTGTAATTAACCAATCAATACAGTTTGTACTGCAGCATCAAATACTAATATTGAATAAATTAGTATGGATGAAATAATCAATACATTCAATTATGCATTTTAATAAAACTACTTTCAAACTACATTGAATGCTTTGTATTGGAAAGTTCCTTATTTTTCATGGACTACAGGAGGATTATAATATATCATGAATAATGTTTATACTTCATATGCTTATGCTTCTTAAATTGGAGGAACATGTATTGCTACCTCAGCTAATTATGTTTCTTATAATACCAAATACTTTACTGTAGCAATGACATTTACTTGTAATTTAACGGTCAATCCAAATCCAATTTTAAGTTTTACAGTTGATTTTGAAGAAATTTAAGTAGAACTAGATTTTAGCAAAATTAAAGAGTAAGCTGCTTTCAAAATAAAATCGGCTAATCCTTCCAACATAACATTATAACCTTAAGGAAAATATACTATTGATAATTAAGATCTTATATTATGGTATATATTTATAATAAATATTTAGGTATATTTAAGAAGCAATAGATAAATCATTTGTTGGGTAAAGCTTTTTCGCTGGTTTAATTGATTCTTAAAGAAACATAGAGAGTGAGGAAATTACATATTAAATATTGAATGGAATCATTACAATAACTAATAGTAATAAATGATTTATTTATTCAAGATATTATTATTCATTCCTATCAATATTTAATAATATTTTGTATTGAGATAAAATTATATCAATTTAACAAATTTAAACAAAATTAAGAGTTTAATAATGGAATATATTTATTTTAATAGTTAATGATCCTAATTGATTAACAAGATGTTTTTTTAAGTAATTTATATAAAATTAAAATTCTTATTCAAAGTAAATTAATGGAAATGTTGCAGAAACAATTAAATAATTACATATATGAGGAAAAAAACATAGGTGGAGGATAATTCAGTGAAGTGTTTTTGGGATTTGAAATATATACAAAGGAGAATGTGGCTATTAAAGTACAAATACATTGAGTTAAGCAAATCGATTGTTCAAAAATGAGAGACTAAATATTGATGTAAATGATGAGAAATGAGATTGGAATTCTGAAAATCATACCTAAATAGTAAAATATTTTGAAATTTTATGATGTATTTCAAAATAATTAACTTGTTTACATTATTACTGAGTATTGCAATCAAGGTATAAACTCTCTATTTAATCATAGGGGACTTATAATAGTTTATTTAGAAACAATAAATAACTGAAGATATAGCAATTGATTTAATCATTCATATATTAAATGGTCTATAACATTGCAAGAATAATTGTATATATTTGATTATAAGAACCTTAGATATTATTCATAGAGACATTAAACCAGCAAATATATTTATGAATAATGGAATTCCTAAATTAGCAGATTTTGGATTTGCATTATGTAAAAACGTTTAAAATGGAGTTGAAATACAAAATTATAATGTAGGTACACCTATGTATATGGCTCCAGAAACTTTAATAAATAATTAATATAGTTTTAAAAGTGATTTATGGTCTGTTGGAGTAGTTTTATATGAAATGGTATTTGGATAATAGCCATTTATATCACAAACAGAACCAGAATTAGTATAAAAACTTAAAGTTTATTAACAGAATGGAGTACTTTATTATCCATTTTAATGTTCTCATTATTTGAATATTTTAATATAGAAAATGCTTTAATGGGATAAATAATTGAGATGGTCAGTTGAATAATGTTTAGATTATTTAAGTTAGAGAATATAACAAAGATTGAATGTAAGCCAAAAAAATATTCCTTAATAATACCATCATATTCGAAGTCTTACTCCAATATAAATAGTTTAATAATAATAGAAAACAATATTACCAATTCAATATTAACAATAATTCAAAATATAACAATAACCAATATAAATAAATAATTAAATTCCTATGTAGAATTAAATAATACCATAATAACAATATTTACATATTAAAAATCCTTCTCCTTATTCTGAAAGAGAACCTTTGCAATAATTAAATGGATTGTTAACAACATATAATAAGACTTCCTTCATCCCAATGAGATTCCCATCAGCTCATAGGGAAAGTCTTACTACATTATAAGATGACTAAAGACGTAGTACTGTGGAATCTTTTCAATAAGATAAATATAATTAACAGTTTGGCAATTTAATGTATAAAATTGCAAAGCTATTTATCAATACATCATATTTTGAATAATGTAGTTTGGGTAAAATGTATACAAGAACAGAATGCATGTTTTTACAACTCAAAATTTAATTCTGTCTATTATAATGTTGCATTCAAATAGTAAATTGATGATTATACATAATTTAGTTTTAACCCTATAATCTTTGCTTACCAGAATGCTAAGTTAGATTATTGAATGTGAAATAAATTATACTCTAAATGCCTGATTAATATGTCAAGGATCCTAGATTCATGTCATTATTCAATAATAATTGGATTTTGGAAAATATCTTTGAATAATTGAGAGAATATAATTATTTGGCAATACATTTGATAAATGATTATTTGAATAAGGATTGTAGCCATCCATAATTAATAATTATACTAGATTATTTAGTTATTCTTCAAAAACTATTGAAACGCTTTGTATCTAGTTTAAGTTGGATGGATTTTGATAAGAGTAACAATATAGCTGCCATTGTATAAGCACCAATTAATCCAAATCCAAATAAACAATAATGGGTGGAGATATGCAAAATAATCTATAGAGATATTGTCAAATGAAACAAGATTTGTCCTGAAATTATTTGTCATTTTTTATAATAATGTGTGATTTATTTAAAAATTTCGATGAACTCTTTACTTATGATATTGCTAAAGTAGAAGAAACAAAAAAGATATAACCATTATAACAACAAATTGAGAAAACAGAATAAAATGATAAAAACTAAATTAAGAAATTTATTAAGTAGAAACAAATTAAAAACAAGAAAAAAAGTAAGAAAACTAATAAGAAATGTAAAAAAATTATGAAAGTAGAATAAAAATAAGAAGAAATTATCTAATAAAAAGAAGACATTTTCTATGAAGATTGATATATAAATATATATATTAAATTATAATATTCTAACTATTAAATTTTTATTATTTAAAATTGAAGATGTTCATAAAAGAAGCTTATGAGAGAAGACAGAAATAAGGAGAAGGAGAATAAGAAATTCTATCCACTGAATAAAAGATTCATAAAATAGGAAGCATCAAGAATAATAAAGTAAATTATGATAAGGATGAACAATTTTTTAGTAAAGAAGATATTCCATAAAAGGCATTACAAATTAAATAATTCATTTAAACTTTTGTTGACCCTGTATAGAAATTGACCAACTAATTTATTAGGATATTTTGGGGTTAAGAAAAAAACAATGGAATTATAGTGTCTCAGTTCCAAAAAATCCATTATCAGAAGAAACTCATGAGAGAAAGTTAGTAAAAATAAAATTAGGTTTACTTGATCATCCTATTCCAAAAGAGAAACCAAATAAAATATATGTAGGAACAGAAACTAGAGATAATTATTAACTTGCCAAAAAAGGATCAGATAAATGGAACATTAGTGTAGAAACAAATTCAGTTGATTTCTAAAAAAATCTGATGAATTAAACTAAAAAAGCTAAAAATCATAGTAAAGCAAAAGAAAAAGAAATAATTAAGAATTATTTAAAACCCATAGAACATTAAATTCAATTATAATAGAATCTAAGATCATAGAAAGTAAATGAAAAAGATTTTAGAGCTTAAATCAGACAAGAATACTTAATCAAAAATCCTGCTGCTTCATAATAAGCTACTGATGGTGCAGTATTTAGATTAGCTTATGAGGCACATTTAAGCAAAAATTAATAATAAATTCAAGTATTAAATATTGGATAATGGATAAGGATAAGAATTATACATTTATGCCGGATATGAGTAAGACACTCAAACATAATTTGGAATATAAATACTATCATAATGGAGTGTGGTAAAAATTAAAAGATGGAAGTGAAGGTTGGTCATGTTGTATGAATTCCACATATGATTCACCAGGATGCATTAAAATTAAACTAGATAAGAATAGATGGGATTACTCTTCTTTTACACATTGATTATATATATATATATATTTAATTTATTTCAATCAATAATATAATTTAGAAGTAAATAAATACAATTAATATACATAATTAGTTTAAGATAAATCAAATATAAATTACTTATAACTCTTAATTATGATATCCAATCATAACAAATTGAATTTATTATTTGTGAAATATTATACAGAATTTAATATTTTTTAAAATGTTATGTTATGCAAAAAATAAAAATCACTTTAATAAAAATTAAAAATTTAATTTCTTTACATTCAAATCTGAAATTCTACTAGTTAGTCCTTAAATTCATTTTTAAGAAGTATTCATCTAAACCAAAAATAGTGTAATCATTAAATTCAGATCTTCTTTTTTAGATTAAATAATATATAGAAAATTTTGATCTATATAATTAATAGAGATATTAATTAAAGTGTTTTATATTTATAAAATATGAGATCAATTTTAAAGAAATTTAATGTATGATTATTAAATCGCTATGGGAAATGTAGTAAATAGAATGGCTTAATAATTTCTGCAATATTATGGAGAAATATATTAAAGTAAATAATATTATTTTTAATACTAAATTACAAATAAATGTAATAATATTCCTTTAGTTTCTTTCCTCCACAATATCCCAATTAATATGCTTATGCTCATCATTCATAAAATATCACTTAATTAAGATTAACCCTAAATCAAGCTCCATTTCAAGTAATTTTCTTAATATCATTTTTATAGATTCAATAACAATCTATGTTTTAACAATAGATTTATCATCCACATCTAACTTATTTCTTCACTTAAAGTTAAGATAAAATACAATAATAATAATAAATTAGATCTTCTCAAAAAAATGATTAAAAATACTAAAATTAATAGCAATAGCAATAGTACTAAGATCAGATAAAAGCCAACTAATCTCCTCCTAAATAATCTTCACAAAAATTGATTTAGTCTCAACATGATAAGTCCACCATACCAAACTAAACAAAACCTTAATCACCTCAATCTTAAACTCAACTCAAAGTTTAATAATAGAAGAACTAATAATAATCAGTTCAATAATTATAAATCAATAAACCTCTTTAAAATATTCAATAACCATATTAATCTAAGAAAGATGATGAATTAAAGAAGTTATTCTAAGTTGCCAATGATAGACCGAAAGATCTAGTTTAAAAACATTAAAATCCAGAAGTTAAATAACAATAACAAAAATAATAATAATTAAAACCATAACTATAACCAAAATAAGAATAGTAGACAAAATAACAATAAGTTTAAAATAATTAGTTATAAGAATTAGCTCTTTAATATGATGATGGTTTTATTTATAGAGGTTAGGGTTATGAACCAGCTACTAGAGAAGGTTAAGGCATTTTAACTGATTAAAATGATAATACAGTTTATAATGGTTAATGGAAGGCTAATAAATATCATGGTTAAGGCAAATTAACTAATATACAAGCAGAAGAGATTGAAGGTCCTTTTGATTATTAAGATTTACGTGTAATTCAAAATGGTTGGCTTGGATATGAAGGTATTCATATGATGTAAATTTTAGGGAATTTCTCTGAAGGTAAAATGAAAGGTTTTGGAAAATTGTAACTTACAAATGGGGAAGTATTTGAAGGTCAATTTTAAGATGGAATTATTGATGGTAAAGGCACTTTTACGACTGTAAATGGCTAGATTCTTAAAGGATTATGGAAAGAAGGAATATTAACTTAAGTTATTTATTGATTTATGAATTTATCATATTTTATTTTAATTTAATGTTATATGATAGTAAAAGTTCCAAGATTTTCTCACCTCCAAAAATATTCTTTGATTTAGATAAGAAGTATCAATCTCTCTATTTATTCTTCTTTTAAGGAGGAATGATGCCATGGATATTGTTTAACATCAACATGGCGAAGTGTAAGATTATATTGAACAAGTTAATGATAAAACATTGATAGCAATTTAAATGGAAGTATGTAAATTATCAAATAATTTTAGGAATAAAGATTAAATTAAAGATATTTTCATTTACTTAATTAACTTGAAAAAACTAAATAATAAATCATCAAATTAGAAGAAAAATTGAGATAATAAAATGAGTACTAATAATTTATTATTTAGTCTTGAAAATCATCCTTAAATTAAATAAATAATCAGTGAATTATCAAAAGTAGATTAATATCGTTTAGCATTGATAAAAAAAGTACTATTATTATTATTTATTAGACTACATAATTAACACAAGAATTGTAATTAAACTAATTTACAATCAAAGAACTTAAAGAATAAGTTTAAAATAAGCGATTGTAAATTAGAGATAGTGTAAGAGATTGTTGGTAAATTTAATAATAAATTATTAATTCTAAATCTAATTATACATAATCTACATCTAGAACAGTAATTTATTTAAAATTATTTATTAGTAAAGAATTCATTTACAAAGTCTTGATATTAGTAGTAATCGAAGCAATATCAATCTATTCATAACTAATTAAGATACAAATACTCATTAGTTGAGTTTATCATAATTACCTCCAATTACATTGAAAAAACCATCTAAAAGCAAATTGTTAGAAGTTCTATAAAAAGCATCATTTAGAGGATAACAATAAGTAAGATGAAATTAATATTATTTTAATTTTAGCCTGTTAATGATATTATTGAAATTTATAAATAAATTAATATTTTGAGAAGAAAAATTACTGAATAGAAACAAGAAATAAAGAAGAAGTAGAACTAATATAGTTCTATTAGGAATTTACTTATTTATTGTGCAAATCTATCTTTAAAATAATTCAAAAATAAATAGAAAATTACAAATCATAATGGATATGCAAATTCAATTTATTTTGATTTCAATACATCAATTAATCAATCTATTAATGAAATTTCAAATAATCCTAATAGAGAAAGAAAAATTTAAAATATTTTATATGATACTCTTTAATAAATAATGATCAATATGATTGATACTAAATAAAAAGATGAGTAAAATTCAACTTAAGAATCAATGTAATTAATTTATGTAATAATAGTATTAAAAATGCAATTTCTATTGAATAATTTATGTAATTCTCTTCTGAATAGATATTGGGATTATTGGCACTTCAACCAAGATTGATGCAAGAATTATTAGAGAAATTTGAAATAAAATACAGATAATTAGGAATGTTATCCTAAAAGATGAAAATATTAACATAAAACTATTGAATTTAAATTTATCTATATTATAGAATGAATAAGAAATATAAGTAAGTTATATTACTTTGATATTTAAATTGTTAGTTTTTAAATAAAACAATTTTATAAAAGTTCATACATTAATAACTAAGGATAATACTTTAAGTACTGATGGTATATGTGTTTTCTTATCATCCATTTTTTTTGTTAAATCTTTAAAAACATTGAGTTCTTATTGATTTAATTAATGTTATTCTATAAATTATTCAATCATTTTAGTCGAATTATGATTAGTAAATAAATTTTATGGCTTAATTTCTGAATAATCTTAAGAATATGAGAGTTTTTTTTTAAGGTCTGTATTGGATTACATATCAAGAGATGTTATATTTTAAATTTAAATTGGATTAATTGTTTCTTTGAGATAATTCAAATTACATATTGTAATTTCTAATTCTCTTAATTAAGTTTAATGACAATCACATGATTTAACTAAAGTAAGTAATTATTGATTCACTGATTCTAAAGCTGAAATCTTTAATATAATAAATCTAACTTATTACTTTTTGTTCAAGTTCTTATACTTTCCGTTAAAGAATGAAATTCTCTCTTTATATTTTTTGATAATCTTCAGTTTTATGTTTAGATGAATTGTTTGTATATTCTCTGCTATTAATTGTACTTTTTTAGGTAGATTCAATTTCAGGATTATGATACACTAAGTTCAATTAGTATTAATACATTATTTATTCATGTAAGATATATTATCATTCTCTTACATTTTTGCCAAAACTTAGGCAATTGCTTATTAGGATTAGGAGATACTAATTTGTTTATTTTTTTATAAAGTTGACAATCTAGGATTGATTGGAGATCTTCTATAATAAATATAATATACTTATCATTGGGAGATATTTTTCTTAATTTGTCTGAACTGTCACTCAAATTTATTGTGGCTTTTCTTGCAGATAATATGGCATTTTATTGTTATAAAAATAGAGCATTTTACATAGGCAAATTGAAAACATCACTTTTTTATTAGCTGTTTCCACTAATTGCCTTATCCTTAACTTATTTAGTTCTAACAAATCAAATCATTCAATACATTTTTTCTTTTGAAATACTACTTGGGTAATTTTTAGTTGGAGTCAAACTAGGAACTCTCTTAGTTGATAATATATTTGATGCATTTAGTTGATAGTAACTTCTATTAGTTGAACTCATTTATAATTTATCAATATGTTAAAATTATTAGTCAAATATTATATTAATATTATGACAATTTGGGATTGTAATTAGTGTTACTTCTTTTTTAAACCATTTTTATACATTGAAACAATTATAAAACCTTTTCTAATTGAATATTTATAAATAATATGAATTAATAATTAAAAAAATTAGCAGTCCTATTAGTGAGTAAGAAGAAAGACCATACTTGTCTACCGTATATGCAATAAATTAGAAATTAATTCCCTTAGCATACTTATTTAATAGATGAAGAATATAAAAATGAACCTGTAGATGTAGTCATAACCATCGGCGGTGATGGAACAATTTTGTAGAGCTCCAAAACTAGTGTAGGCATGCATCTAGGATGTTCCAATAAATTTAGACTCCACCTTTTGTGACATTTGGTAAAGGAACACTAGGATTCATGTGTATATACAGCTTAAGAAATCAATATGAAGTTCTGAAAAATTTACAATCACCATATAATATAGAGTTGAAGAAAAGAATTTAAGGCAGTTTAAATGGTCAATACGTATATACTGCTTTAAATGATTTTTTCATAACCAAAGGAAATAGCATTCATGTTGTATGTCTAGACATTTATGTTAATGATACATTTGTAACTTAAGCTAGAGGAGGTATTTATTTATAATTGATTGATATAGATGGTTTAATTATAAGTACTCCAACAGGTTCAACAGCATATTGTTTAAGTGCTGGAGGTCCTTTAATTTAAAATAGAGTCCCTTGTATAGCATTGGTACCAATCTGTCCATTATCATTATCATTTCGACCTTTAATTTTACCATTGGATGTTAAAATTAGTATAAAAATGAATGCCAATTCTAGAGGAGAAGGAGTAGTAATTTGTGATGGACAAGTGCAATATGATTTTAAAAGAAATGATTGTTTTGATATTACTCCTTCTAAAAATGATGTGCGATGTATGTTTGTATATAGTATTATAGTTGTTGTACCACCTGGACACTAAGATTTAGATTGGGTAATAAAATTGTAGAGAATGTTAAACTGGAATTCTAGATTTTAATAACCAAGAGATTGAATTATATATAAGAAGAAGTAAAATAAAATATAAAATTAATTATTCATTTATTATATGAGTGATTCATCATCTTATTTTGATATTTAAGGGAAAGGAATTTGGGAATAATGCTAAAATACGCTTAATGAAGTATATAAGATATGAAGTTTTAGGAAGATATACTATACAAAGGGATATTGCTATTTCACAACAAGTCAACACAATTTTGTTTGACTTAATATGAATTGTTTCGATTTAAAAAAAGTGGAGAATTAAAAAAAATAGAACTCTTAACAACTTCAATTTCGCTATTAAATGATAATACAATTTTATTATAAAAGAACCACAAATAGGTATTCTTAAAATCAACTCCTTAAAATATCAAGTTGTGGTTTGAATAGATAAAAAATAAGTGCATACAAAATAATTTTAGATTAGACTATGATATAGGCGAGCTAATTGGTCAAGGACAATTTGCAAATGTATTTGCATATATATTATATTAGGTATACAAGATAACAAGTAAGAAAAATAATCAAAATTATGCATTAAAAGTATTCTAGAAGGTGGCTTTAAAGAATCTAAATGTAGATAATGTTTCCGTAGCTAAAGAAATATAAATAATGAGGTAACTTAAGCATCCAGGTATAATCAAAATTTATGAGGTTTATGAAGACAAAGAGTTTATTTGTATAGTTATGGAATTGATGCAATGTATTTTTTAATTTTATCACTAATTTTAGATTCAATGAAATAGTAGAAAAAAAGACATTCTGAACATTAGTGTGCATAAATCATGTTATAATTATTTATGGTATTGTAATATGTACATGATCATAAAATAATCCATCGAGACATTAAAGTACCTTTTTTTTTATTATTCTTTAAGCCAGACAATATATTATACAAGAATCAAGACACAATTTGTATATGTGATTTTGGTCTTGCTGATTTCTATAATCCATTATCTGTATATTAATATTAGAGATGTGGCACTCCTGGTTATGTAGCACCTGAAGTTTTAAGAGATTTAAAATATGATTTTAAAGTAGATGTTTATTCAGCTGGAATCATTTTATATACTCTTTTAGTAGGTAAGTAGCCATTTGCTGCACATTCATAAAATAAGGTTGTTTAACTTAATTATCATGGAAAAATTGATTATGCACAAGTCAAAGCATCAGATTTATGTCTTTCTTTCTTAAAATCAGTTTTATCTCTAAATCCATAAACAAGACCTTCAGCTTATGAGGTCTTACATCATGAATGGTTTTTCAAAACATTAGGTGAGTCAAATTATTTTTAATTACTCAATAATAATGGATAACAAATTTAACCTATTTAAACCATTTCAAAAGGTATCATTAATCAATTATTTTATATCATTTAGAAATTTAAAATTTCCAAGCCATATAAACTATGATGGATGAAGAATAAGATGAATCAAGCAATAGCAAAATTTAAATAGAGATTCCTTAACCTACCACTTAATATCGAAATAATAACAATGGCTATTATTAGAGTTCTATTCCATTATAATAATAGCCCTAATAATAATTGTAAATAGCTATAGATAATATATAAGAGGCTATTAAATAAATTAAAATTAAGCAGTAAATAAGAGAATTAAATTACTTGACTTAAACGCTTCATATATAACATAAAGAAATGTCAGGTATAGATTGAATTCAGAAGCTTTAAAAATACAAATTACATATGAATTGATTTATAAATTATTTATTTAACTTCATTTCTTAAACTATTCATTTCCTAAAAAATGTATTACCCTTAATGTTATTATTACTTTTATTTCCAGTGTATGTTTATTTAAATTACATTTTCATGTCATTAAATTAATAAGCATAATTTTATAATGATATCTAATCAGATAATTTAGGTGAAATTGTCTAAGTCTTCATTTCATATCTCAAAGTATGTCCACTAGATCTTCTTCCTACACCATTACCTAATTTCATTGTATTCATAAATGTATCTAAATTTTATTTTAATCTTGGAGTTGAATTTTTTTAATCATTTTTACAATTAAATAAATAAGATATTTATCTTTACATTTCTCTTAATTTATCATCTCTAGATTCTTATTTTGTTTTTGGATATTATTCTGGTTTTGGAGGAGATAAAACTTTTAATGGAGAATTTCTTCTATCTAAAAGAGGTGGAGTATTAAACTAATTAATTGAAAAATCTCCTTAGATATTTATGTATTTAGTTGGTGAATTGTTTGATTTATAACTATTAAATAAATCTGAAAATTATTAGGCAGATCCTGATTTTTATAATGTAGATTTTTAAATGATTGAAGATTTTAGTTATTAATTTGTTTAAATATAGGATTAGACTTATTGTTTCTATTTTTAGAATTACTATCTATTTTGTTCTTATTAAATTTATTATTCAGCACTTGTCCATTATTTTTCAAATTCTTCTAATGTAATCTATCCATTTTTTGATATGTTCAAGTATTAAAATATAGATTAGATCTAGCTAATTTTAAATTATAATTATTTATATACTCTTTCTATGTAATATCATGATTATTAATAAGTTCTTAAGATAATTCATTTAATTCTATCGTTCCATTTTTATTTGAATCTATTGACTCAAAGGTACTTTTAAGATCTGAGAATTTTTATTGTAGTGTTGTTTTGATCTATTTCCATAGCTAAAGGGTTTAAATCATATCCATACTAATTTTAATTAAAATAAATAAAAAATATTTTAATTCAAATGCTTTTTCGATTGGTGACAAGTAAGTAAACCTATTTTTTTAACCAAAAACAAATGATAATTATCATGACTTTTACATTTTATCATTCAAAATTCAATATTGCTAAAATAAGTTACATTCTATTAAGTTTCTTAATTCTCACTTATCCTTTCATATAAAATTTAATGTTATAGAAAATAGATGAGTAAATTTAGATCCAATTATTTAATTTAAATGATATACTTTAAGTTAAAATCAAAAGCTTATTATATTAAATGATAAGAAATAAGAAATAGTTTTATTAAAAATAGTTAAATTGGGAACATTTATTTTAAAACTGATGAATGTGTAAAAATAATATAAAATAAAGAATTTGAAAGAACAATTTAGTCCAATATAAATTATTGAAGTTCAATACTATATCTTAAGAAGTATTAGAGAAAAAAATATAAATAGAAATGTGAATTCAATTCCGTTATTTAAGGATGTATTATATCTAATTAATATTTAAGCCTTTCACACAAGATAATCAATAAGACTTATATTAAAATATAAGCAATAATTTAATTTTTGACCTTGTTTTATCTAATTTAGGTTTCATTATTATTAGTATAATTTACTAAAGCTTTTTATTATTAAATTATATTAAAGATAAACTAGACTATATTTAAGCAATTATTCAGTGATATTTCTGTTAAAATAATTAATAAATCAAATTCTTTATTTAATTACATTTGATAATTATTGTTAAAATTCAAATTTTAATAATGTCTTTGAATTAAAAAACAAAAATTTATAAAAATAGTAAATCAAGTTTTATTGATTTCTATGATTGATATATAAAACTATTTTCACAACTAATCATTAAGTTCTGTAATCTATTTGTATCTCCATTAATTTATGTAAATAGAATTTACTATCATTGCCACAGAACATGCTATTTCTAAAATCACAGTAAAATTATAAAATGAAAATGAGCATTCCATTTATCCCTAAAAATATTTAATATATTGATTTATTACTTTCATTTTCTCTTCAATTTAAAACTCTTCTTATAAATTACATAGATTATAATTATTTATTTGAGAAGTTCTAATTGAAACATAATCAAAATATGCAGATATTAACTAAAATATTATTAATAAAAATAAATACTAAAAGAATTGCAAATGATATTCCAATTTGAAAACTTAATTCAGCATATTTTTTATTTGTTTTTCTCAATGCATAAATTCCAATGAGTACACTAGATATTGATAATAATATAAAGCATAATCTAATCTCTGAAATAGCAATTTCCCAAGGGCATTCAATCTTAAATATAATTAATAAATTACTATAGCACTTGCTTGAAGATCTTTCTTAACTTTCAAGAATATTTCAGATCTTATTGGTCCACTGATAGTTTTACAATTCATTGTTCTTCTCATTTCAACACAAATATAATGACCTCCTTTAAATGTATAGATGATTAATATTACTATTATTAGCAGATTCGATCTCACAAGTCCATTTATCATCTGAACCTACAATGCTGTAAAAAAGCAAAATACATAATAATCCCTTAAGATCATTTCATTTATTTACCAAAGCAACTAAATTAACAATTAAGCTTTTTTTAGTGTTTCCATCACTTTCATACAATAATTTTTTAGCTTGCCAAATTTCTTTATTGGTTTTTGCTTAGAGGTCAAGCATATTTTAATACGTGTAAATATTATTAATAATTTTCTTATTAACAATTTTCTAAAAACAGCTACTTAAACTTCTCTTAAACTAAAATAGTCATTATTTATTGAATAAAAAAAAAACGATAACCTTTATGGTATTAACAAATAAAAAAAAAATATAGTAGTTATATTCATATTTAATTTGAAAAATTGCATATTTTTAATTTTATATTAATAGAAAATTCTTTTCTAAGATTTTTCATGAATCATTTTTTTAAGGATTTAAAATTATTAAATATTGATTTTAGTTATGATATTTTTCTTATCATTTTAAAATCCTAGTATAAATTAGCTAAATTTAAAATACAATTTGTAAAATTATAAAATGAAAATTAGACTTCTTTATATGTAAATGTTTTTAATATATTGTTCATATAAATAAATAATAAAATCTCTTAAATTTTTATTTTTATTTTATCATCAAATTTTCTACAGATAGAAATTAAAATAAATTAATTTTACATTTGGTACTTTTAATTCTTGATATGACTAATCAGCTTACAAACCTTAAGCTCTTCTATATATCTAAATTTTATAGAATTTACAATAAAATAAGGAGAAACAAATCTAATAGCATTATACTTATCATTATTTAACACTCTTAGTTCTATTATTTATTACATTAAACATTTACAAATTTATTTAAGAATTATTCAAGGCCATTAGTATTAATCAATTACTTTTGTTAATATGTTACGTATATATTAAAATCATGTTAGGTTGGATTTTAATGGCAAAAATTTTGTTCATTGGATTGAAATATTTTTAATTGCAATATTTATTGGACAGTTGTTGCTTGTTTCTAGTTTACTATTGTTATTTTTATAATAAAAATTTGAAGAAAGAAGTAATAAAAAAGATTTATAAAATCATTTGATACTGCTCAAATAATTGGGATAAGAAGTAAATAATAAAACTAATTTAGAAAGCAGATAATATAAAAATACTGAACCTTTGTAATTAATAATTAGAATACTATGTTTCTTTCTTTATTAAGATATCTATTTATATATTTAATTGTCCGATCATATTACTAACTATGAAGGAGTTTAAATTATAATTGAATCAAGGTATTTATTTTTAATTAGATTAAGAATAAAATTCTTAGGCCTTTAGCATTATTATGTAATTGATTTCTCTATTAGTAATATTATTAAATTTAATAATTGTATACTTCTATGAAGTTCATAACAATTAATTTTCATTTAAGTAATAGGACTATCTAACATATTGTTCATCTATTTAGACTAAATTTTAAACTTACTTATTGTAATTTCTTTTAGTCCTGATTTCATTAATTCATAATCTTAATATAGATATACTAATAGCAAACCTAATTAATATTAGTTTACTTTTTCCAATTATTTATCTTTCAATTAAATACCCAAAATTTGATGATTACACTTTAAATTATATGCATATACAAACATTCTCAATGCTTTTATTAGTCAACTTAAGCATATTAATTTTTGGTTAAATTTTGAATGTAGAATTTTCAGAAATCATGATAATGATAACTCCATTAACTTTTTATGTTACACATCTAAAAATTAAGTAGGAATCTCTTAATTAATAAACTGATTTCAACTAACGCATAAGATCATTATATATTTAATGTCATACTGCAATAGGGAAAAATGGAATGCTGATTGATGAAGTCAAATATAGATTACCAAAAGATTTAAGATTGTATGTTTTTTCAACCAATCATTTTATAAATTGTTAAAATAAGCCTTCATGTTTTTGTCATAAATATAGAATTGAATCAGATACTTTTATATCAAGATTGCATTTTAAAAGTTATCTTAAAAGTTTAATACGATTTTGTTATGAAGAAAAGTTGTAAGGCTAAAAATAACCTTTGGAAAATGATTACACAACTAATTTTTATTATATTTTGTACCTTTCACAAATAAGCAAATAGCCAGCCAAAGCATTCTATGAATTAACAAAACTTAAAATTCAAAGTGAAAAATATATGAAATTATTAAATAAAATGTATTTGAATTCTATAGAGTATTATGTAAAAGAAGATTTTAATAAAATGATTGAATTGAAAAATATAACAAATCAAAAATACTTATGTTTCAAAGTATTCTATTATGATATTGCAATTAAATTATGGAAATAACAATTTATAACTTCTTTAAAGTTATAGAAGAATTGGTATAGACTACTTTAAGATAGAAATATTATTTAATTAATAAAAGATGGAAAAGAATTGTAAAATATAAATACAGAACTTGAAAATAGTTTAAAATAATTATTCAAATAAAATCCAATATCACCAGAATGTTAACTGTTAATATCTTTATTTTACAAATATATTTATTTTAATCATAAGAAAATTGAAATTCCATCATTAGATTCACCATTAGTGTATAAATTTTAGAATTCAAATAATGGGATTCTCTTTTTAAAAGATGCCTCACTTGTTTATTTGACTTTAGTTGATACTAAAGGTATAATTAAAAATTATACAAGAACATTCAAATAAGCAGTTTAAGCAGATGATTCATAAATTTTAAATAATTCAATTAATAATTTCATACCAACAATTATTGCAAAAGTTCATGATTAATTTTTAGATAATTTTGTAGAATAAGGTAGAATAAATATTATGAAATCTGAAAAAAGATTTCTATTGGTTAAAAATAAAAAAGGATTTATATTTCCAATAATTGCAAAGGTTAGATTAGAAACTAATTTGTATAATGATTTTGGTTCTTCTGCTTTGATTCTTCCAGCAGATAATAATTATCATTATATTTTATTAAATTATTATGGATTAATAGAAGAAATAAGTGAAAAATTATTTACTTAAGTGTTCAAACCAATATTAGGAATAGAACTTAATAAATTATAAAATATAGATTGTTTAAAATTGATACCAAAATTAATAAAAAGTTGGAAGAGTATGAATACCAATAAAATAATAGATTCTGAATTAAAAGAAGTAATATAATCCTATTTGATAATACCTAAAAAATTAAAGAAGTAAAATATACTTACTTCAACAATATTATAATTAAATTAATCCACTTAAGAATTTCTTAAAGATTAAGATAAAATTAATGAAAAATATTTTCAAAATATAAAAGAAATGTTTATGTTTAGAATAAATTTTAGAATTATAGAATTCTATACTTTTTAAGGAATGTAAGTTTTTTAAATATATTTTAGAATTTATTGTGTTGAAATCTAAAATATAAAGACTGTTAAGTAATCTTAAAGACTTGATATTTTTTATAATCTAATAGAAAAATCAGATTATTCTCATATTAGTTTATAAAAAATAAAGACAGTCCAAGAAAAAAATGAGAAGATTAAATTATAATAAAAAATTATAGAAAAGTGTAATTAAAAAGATACATTTGGTTTTATTAAATTATAAAATGATTCTTAAACATTATGCAATTTAGAGGTTGAAAAAATAGTAGAAGATGATTATATGATAAAATAAAAAGAAATGCAAATTTAACTTATTAATCCACTTTATCAATATGAAGTAAATATATAAATATATTTAAATTTAGATTGAAAACATTTCTCATTTAGTTAGTTAGACAAATAGTTAAGATAAAAAATTATTAGATCAATAAACATAAAAAATGAAATCTTCAATTAGTCACAATTTGTGTACATTTAATCATTTCAATAGTAATAATTCAAATCCATTTATTTAATTATTTTCATCTGATTAAAATAAATATCTTGTTCATTCAAGTGCAGTTTTAGAAGGTTTAAATGAAAATAGAGAATCAATTAAATCATTGAATTCATTAGATATACCACTTTCTTAAGAAAATGGTTTTTTTGAAATGGAATAACTTAAATCTGTTTCATCATCATAAGTTAGTTAATATAAATTAAAGAAAAATTATATTAAACATAATCTCTTTGATTAGAATTCCAAATTACATAAACTAATCAGAGTTATTAATATCTTTATATTTATAATTCTAATATTATGTAACATTTGGTATTTCTATCATTTAAACTAATAAAATTAATTTATAAGTGTATCATTAAGGAATTATGCAATTTCAAACAGTTTCAATATAAGAATTAATTAATTCATACTTAGCTATGAAATTGAAAATACCTAATTATTTAATTATAGTTAATATAATAAATATTGTGCCAGCTAATATTAATAGGATATCTCATATCTTTATTACAATTCTCCAAATCTTGTAGAAATGACTGGTAAAATTTACTTTAAGATTTAGTTCCATTTATATCTATAAATAATGCCCAAAATATCACAAATCAAAGTTTTTATTAATCCTTAGGGTATTTTTCATAATATATACTGTCTTTGAGTAATGGTCTTAATGAATAATACTATCTAGAAATTATAGCAAGAAATTTTATTATGTTCTCTTAATAAATAAAATTATACAATTCTACTGGTATTTAATTAGCAATTAATCAATTTTATAATACTCAATCTTTTATGAGATCTGTATTTTATCTAACACTATTTTGTATATTATTAGTAGTCATTTTTTACTTAATTATATTGATAATAATTATAAGAGCAAAATAGAAAATAGTATAGTTATTTAATACTTTCCAAAAAAATTAAATTATAGCTTTGATTGGTTCAATTGAGATTATTTTACATTTTTTACAATATATAGATTTTGTTAATCATCAAACAACTGATTAATTATTAGAATAAGTAAAACAAAAAATTACGTCAAGTCCTGGTATGATGAAAATAATTTAATCCAATACAACTTAAAAAATTTAGTAAAATTAAGAATTCAGTAAAAGTAGTAATTTATTCTAGATTCTAGCTTCTTTTATTTATATAGTATATACTGTGTCTTTAGTTATCATTTACTTTGTTATTGCATCATAATATATAGGTTAATTTATTTATCAATCTGAATTTGAAAATACAATAATAGATTTATTTGAAAAATTAGTATTATATAAATCATCATAAATTTATGTTTTAGAATTTTAGAGTTTTTAAAAATTGCTTATAAAATATGAATAAATAAAATAAAATGATATTCTATTTTTAAATAAGAGTAATAAATTATTTTATTTAGGGGATGAAGCATTAATTTATATGGAAAATTAATTATTGATTTTACAAGAATTTATTCATAAAATGAATAATTAGAAAAACTATCCCAATTCTTATTTTAGAGACACTTTAATAAGTGAATCATGTCAAGCCTTTTCTCTTTTAATATCTAATAATAATAATAATGATTTAGATTATTTTACTGAAATATATTGTAGAGATTTAGATAGTTTAAAATCTGGCTTGATTGTTTAATTAGTAAATTTATCATAAAACATTAAACAACTGTTTATTATGTATCATGAAAATTAATTATAATTTAATCAACATTTAGATTCAATAAGTAAATAAACATTAGAAGATTAAATTTAAAATCTATTATATACATCTTAAATCTTAAGTCTTTTACATGATTCTATTGTATATGAATCAGAAATAATACTAAAAAGTAATAGATTAATTCATCTATTGCTTTTTATTTTTGGATTGGCATTTTATCTATTCTTTATTTTAATTAGCAATAGAAAATTAAAATTATACTTGTATAATGAGTTGATTAGAACAAAATAACTTTTCTTATTGATACCTTTAGATGTACTTTGTGAAAATGCATATATTCTTTAATTATTAGCAGAGAGAATTGAAATTAGTAATCATTGAATAATTTTAAATGTATTAAATTATATTATTATGTAAATGTTCTCTTTTTATTATAGTCTATAAATATTCATTTAATATTCATCAATAATTCAATATAATCTTAAGCTTTTTGAAACTATATATATAAAGACTATTTATAAATATTAAATTTTTGGTTGTTAATGTTTTATAAACCCAAGTTAATATCTCCTAACAGAACATAATCTCCAGTTGTTGTGCATAAATAATCAATTTCTTAAGTTAATAATCCACTTTTAACATAATAATAATATCAACCTTAAACTTACTATGCATCATCAAAAACTACTCCAATAAAAAATTTAGAATAGAAATTTGAACTAATTAAACAAAATATCAATATAACTAATTAATGTTAATTGTCTCCTGAAAGAAATATATAAGCAGTAAATAATGATTTTGAGAATTAAATTTTACGCAATGATATAGTATTCAAAGATCAAAAAATTGTTGCATTATAAAAAGCACTTGATTTATCAAATGATGATAGAATCAAATTAAGATAAGCTTTAGAATAAAAATCTAATTTGTGTGTTAATAAAGAAAGAGAAATAGCCAAATTATTAGCAACAATTCATTAAATTGAATTTAAGAAAAGTGAAAGCTAAATTGTTAAAGATCTTTAATTTTAAATTGAAACTCTCAAAACATTCATTTAAGAGAATGCTTTAGATAAATCAAATTTAAAAAATGAAGATACAAATCAATTTAAGACTAAAGTTGCTAATCTATAAGAATAATTAGCATAATAAATAAATTAGAATTAATCACTTTAATAATATATGAAAGAAATTATGAATTAAAATAAAGAGTTGTCATAAAAATATACAGAAAAGTGTATAGAATTATAAAAATTAGAAATGCAATTAGATCAAATAAAAATATTATAAAATGAACTTAAAGGTAAAGCAGAAGAAATAGAAATATTAAAAGGGGAACTTAGTAATGATAATACTACAATTTAAATAAAAGAATAAAGTACTTTTGATTAATAAAATGAAATATAGAAATTTCTTTGTCAAATAAAATAATAATATTTAGAAGATAATTCTAAATTAGATATTGATGATTAAGATAATATGAATGTTTATAGACATCTATACAGTTTTCAATCTACAGATGATTTAACTAAAGGAGAACTTTAAAAAATAAATAAATGATTTATTATAACTATATGTCTATAAAGGTATAAATTTATTTAATATAATTATCTTTTCAATAAATTTTAAAGATTTATCAATAATTTTTAAATAATAATCATTCTTACTAATAAAAACAAAGTTTCATATACTTTAAATATGTTTTAATAAAATTAACTAATTTGAAATAAGTCTAATATAATTGATTGTATTGATATTTATTGTAATGATAAATTTAGAGATTGAAAATAGTATATTATGAATATTATCTTAAATAATGTTTTATATTGATTGATTATTGTTTGTAATATTTCATTCTTCTGGTTCAAAAACTCCAAATGCATCTTCAAAATTGATAGCCTCTTTTAATGAACTTGTGAATGTTTAGTAATTATTATTTATGGTGGCTGCACAATTTTCTTTTATTTATTAAAATAGATTCATTACAGACACATTAAATATCATTTTCAGAAAGTTTTGTACCTTAATCAGGTTTGAATAATCTACACTTGTTTGCACATAATTTGGCCAATGATAAAGTTAATCCAACAGTAATATTCTAAATTAAACCACTAAAAAAAACAAATTACAAAGGTGTAAAATGGAGTGTTAGGGAAATCCAAACTTTCAGAATCGTCACTCATAAATCTTAATTTAATTATATTTATATATATATATAAATGAAATCTAGAAAAGAAATACCAATATCCATTTAATTAAAACCACATTAAGTTACTTTGTAATTCAAACAACATAGAGTATTTAGATTACTTTTAAAAAATAATATAACTAATTAATATTCAACCAAATAATACTTTCTATAATTATAAGGAATGATATTTAGAAATATCTTTAATTGTCTTAAATTTAGAATATAGATTTAAATGACAATAAAGAGCAAAAATATCGAAAATATAAAAATATTTATTATTCTGATTAAAAATATTAGTAACGATAGTTCAAATTAGAATCACATTTCTTAAAAGTTTCAATTACAATATGTCTAGTAGGAAAAAAACAGATCAAGTATCTCAGATCTAAGTCTAATTTAAATAATAGAAAAGGATATTCAGTAGATTTGACTAAATAACATCGTTTCATCCAATACCAGAAGTAAAATTGTTTATAATAATTCGTTCAATTACATTTATCGTCTACTCTATTGAATCTCTGAGTCAGATTAAGTTGAGTTGATATTTGGTTGAGTCATTAATAATAATACTATTTATTGATTATTTATATTATTTATGCACTTAGGATATGATTTGAAGATATTAATTTTTTTACATCTTTTTTTTTTTAAATTATCTCATGCTTCCTATTGTATACGCTACCTCCTACATCAATTATCCATAACTCAATCTTTAATAAGTATATCCAATTCCAACTTAATACTATAATATATTTCCAACAAAGGTTACGTGTGATTAAGCCTGTTAATTCCCTGAGATTACTTTGAATGTAGAAGCTTCGGAAAATACTGATTCAAATAGCCTTACTAAGTGTAAAGAAGCATTAGTATTGGAAGAACTCAACCTCCTATTAAGATTTTTGTCACAGAATATTTCCTTACTCTAAGAGAAGACATTTGAAAAATTTGTTATTGAGAATTTGAAAGTATATCTTATAAATATCGATATTAGAATCTAATATCCTTACATTGTGATATACCAAATATATTGAAGAGGAGATATATCCAAGTTAATAAAACAAAAGAAGAAATGACAAAATTCATTATAAGAAGATGTTTCGATTTCATTAAAACTTAAATTAATTATTAAGAAAAAGATAATCTCGGAGCTGAAGAAAGAGACAGACTTTTTTATCATACTTTCTTTTCTAATGATAAGGAATTTATGAAAATACTTGGTAATGATTCAATAGATGACCTCATACCTTTCAGAAAAGAATCAAAGCTCAAAACTATAAATGACACTTATTTAAAAAAACTGTTCAAATCAAAATATTTTTCATATTTCTATTAGTAATTTTTAAGTAATACTATCCGTTATGATTATTAGATGAATTTTAAACAATATGTTAACAAGAAAATGAAGAGAAAATAGAAAAAATGACCATGTAAATTTAAAAAATCATATTTACAAGAGATTATGATGTAGATTATTTTCCATATTATTATAGAAAATTAAGACCTACAGAAGATTTCCATGGAAAAACCACGAATTTCATAAGTGTGAAAAAAGAGCATAAGAAATCTATTAAAAATATCAATTTTATAAATTCAGTATTTATAATTATTAATTTTAGAGAATGAAAAGAAACTTTTGAAAAAGGAATCAATTAAGTTGGAGCATATTGAATTATCTGAATCTATATAATGAACATTATAAAAATTGGCCATCAAAATAATAGTTATTTAATTCAAAAAACTAAATATATAACTATTTAGTTTTATTTGGCTCATTCTATATTTTATAGAAAGAAATAAGATTTGTTAATTTTAACAACAAATTAATAAACAAAATTAAATTTGAAAATTTGATGCCAACCAATAAATATCTTAGTTCTATCAATTATAAAATCTATTGTTTTCAATTTATTAAGAAGTAATAACAAATATAATCTTGTTAATGATTAATTATTAATAACAAGTTCATAACTTATTTATCCTTTTGTTATAGTTATTAAGTCTTCATTTTTAAATTATTATTCAATCCTAACTATGAATATTTATTTTATTATTGCAAGATTGTTTGACATTTTTTGATATTTTCTGAATTTTGCATTTATTTTTAATTAATCTAGTCATTTAATTAAAATTTTTGTTTCTTAAAACAGAACTAAAGATAAATATCTATAAATATGATATAATTCAGATCATTGACAAAAATAAATGTAAAAATGAGAGAAATTTATTATGTTAATTATGATGTATAAATTTAATTCAATTGTTGGCTTCTTAGGAATTAACTTAATTTAATCCGACTCCTAAGAATTTTTCCATTTCACATACTCTATGATCCAATAGATTAGTGGATTTTCTGATTCTAGCTTTTTCATTTTTTAATGTTTCCACTTAATTGTTTATTTCATTAGTCTCATTAGTTGATTCTTCTGCTAATATTCTAAAACTTCTAGTAAAGTCTGCTAATTCTTCTATGAAACTAGTTGATGTGTCATCGTTTATAGAGGATTATAAGTATGATTCATGAATGATTTCTTATCTCAAAATTTACAATTCTTTTTTATCTCTTTCTAATTCATGTAATATGTATTCTAACATAATCTAGTTGGAATTACTAATACATTTAATTTATCTTCATGTTCCTTCATTGGTAGATTCATTGAATTTTTTTAGAACAGTTATAAAGCCTCTCTATATGATTACATAGAAATAATTTATAAATGAAATATTATTATGATTAGAATACAAAAGACCTCATACATTAATAATAAATATTTATAGTGAGGTCATGTTTCATTATGCAATTCTTCTTGTATTTCTCTGATGATAATAACTAATTATAATAGACTTGATAATGTATTTGAATTTGGTGATTCAATAGCTAAAATAAAGTTTGAATTTTATGTTTGTTACTATATTATCAAATAATTAAATGTATCGTTCTCTTGATTTTGAGTTCCAATTTATCTAACATAATTAGACATCGAATTTTCATTTAGACTTGGCTAATATAGTAAAATATCTTCTTTATTATTTATTAGTACCACTTCTATTAGTAAATAATCCTAAAGGTGATAAACGTGGTGATGAAATTTAAATGAATTCATTAAAAACTTTATTCCATCCTTAAAAATGAACAAGCATTTCTTTTTGATTTCTAATATTGATTATCTATCCAACGCACCAAATATGTTCAGTGTCTAATACATCTAAAGTATCTCCTAAATTAAAATTAGTTATTTTCTTTTTCAATTTCCATTCTTTAAACTCCTTCTTTTTATTGATTATTGTTGAATTTTTTATTAGAACATTGCTATTTTTGATAAATTAATCTATCGTATTACAATAGATAAATTGTAAACCTTTCAAAGTTGTTTAACAACATGGACATCTCTTAAATAAATTAATTATTTACATGAGATTTAAGTAAATGCTCAAAAATGCAATAATAACAAAATGAATGACCACATTAAGTAATTGTAAATTTAATATAATAATCTTTGCATAATTTACATTTTAGTTCATTTTCATGAAATGTTTCACTAAGTTAAAATGCTTAATTTTGATTTAAATATATACTAGTTTTTCTAATCTAATTATAAACTTCTATGTTTTAGGGTTTTCTAAATTTCTTCAAGAATTTATTTTTAATTTATTTGATATCAGCAAATCGCACTTCTCGAAGTTCTTCTTGAATAGTTATATTTTTTTATCTCATTTTAAATTAGTTTATATAATTATATTATGATAAATTTAAAGTAAAAATTGAAATAAAATGAATTTATTTTTTTATTACTAAACAAAAGGATTTATCCATTAGAATTTATTTAAAATTATATATTTCTATTTAGATCCTAATATATAACTTAAATTTTAATTATTTTATACTCTCAAAATACAGATACACAATTCAATTAAATCTTATTGATATTGCCTAAAATACAATTAAATATAGTAAGACTGATGCCAAGTAATTTTAAATAAATAAACAATCTTTTGAAGAGCCATAATAATTTTTGAATGATCATGTAGTGAAATTAATTTAAAAACATTTAATTACTAGCATTAGACTTTATAATATGTAAATCTATCAAAATAATAAAAAAATTATGGTTAAACAAATTTTAAATTATTCGAACAATTATTTTAGGAATTTTTAACTATGTGATGGTCTTTAGATGCTGTAACTTATTAATCCAAAAAAAAATAATATTTAAATTCATTTGAATAATTGATTACATGATTAGTAAAGTAAGCATATTTAGATTAAAAATATTCTCATAGTAGATATCTCCTCTAAGAATAATTATGTAATCAAATATTGCTTAATAAAATAAACAAAGTTATTATTATATTGACTTTCAAAAGATAGAGTAAAGATAACTAATTAGAAGGATAGCTCTCATCATTTGAAGGTCTTGTGTCGACTAAAGATATTAATGTTAAATTAACTAAAAACTTCAAACTTTAACATAACTAAGCAAAATATTAAATTTTACTCATGATTTTCTAAACTTAATTTTTACTTTTTTTTATTGTCATTGCAAAATTAAAATTAATGAAATAGTATATATTCCTAAATTTCAGTTTTATAAATACATACGATTTCAAAGCTTTAGGGAAGATTTAGAAATTAAATGAAAATAAATTATATTTATTTAATATATGTCAAATAGACCACCTGTATAATAATAATGGTAACCTGCTGCTGCAGCCCCATAATAATACTCTTAATGGAACCCTACATATTCACCACCAAGAGCTTATTAAGCACCTGTCTAATTGTAAAGTCCTGCTTACATTCCTTAATATTACACTTAACCAGTTGCTCAATCATATGTTGCTCCATCTGTTGTTCAATAACCAATTGTATATCAATAACCTATGGTTTATCAATAACCAGTTGTTACTTAATCAGTTGTAGCATAACCTGTAGTAACTTAACCTGTTGTTTAATAATAACAAATTATTAAGGGAGAAAGCAGAGTAGAGTATAATTTATAAAGATTTTCCTTTAGATACATTCCTTATGAGAAGAGTGTAATTGAATATGAAGAAGTTAGACAAAAAATATAGGTTCCAAGAGAAAAATATGTGACTGAATACCAAGCTATTGAATACTAAACAGAATATGTTCCCTAAGTCTCATATGATAAAGTTACAGGTATCATTCCCATTTACCTTTAAGAATATGTTCCAGTTGATAGATATTAAGAAAGAGTTGAATATTATCCAGTAGAAAGATAAGTTGTTCATTAACCTTAAGTACAAGCAGTTGCTCAACCAATTGTTTAGCAATCCTATGTTGCTTAACCTGTAGTCACATAGTCTTATGTTGCTTAACCAGTTGTTTAACAATCCTATATGACTTAAACAGTTCCAGTAGTATAATAGCCCATATAATATGCTTAATACTCTCAATATGCTCAACCTGCCACTCAAACTATTTATGGCCCACCAGTTCCAATTGGAAATGGACCAATTCCAGCAAGTCAATTACCAGCAGCTGTTAGAACTGGGTAATTCTAATAAACCCCTTAAAAATGAGGTATTATTCAAACAAAAATCATCATCCCATCATTTATTATTATTTTAATTTTTTTAATATAAATTAATAATATATTTCCATAAGAATAACCAATCAAACACAATGATATAAATTTAGTGTATAACAATATTTATTTATTTGTACATTAAAGTCTTCTTAAAAGTGTATTTTTGGATTAATTATTTCAATTTTGCCAAACTTCTTGATTTTAATCTAATTCATTAATTAAAAAAATAAAAATCAATTAATATTTTAAAATCCCTTTGTAAATGATACTAAAATCATTAATTTTTAAATGAGAGCTTCAAAATTCTATAAAAAATCTTTTCACTTAGTGCAAATAAATAGAATAAAAGATTATATATATGATATTTAAAATTAGTATTGTATTATTATAAGTCACTCATATATTATGATTTAATTTATTTAGGTATTCTGATTATTCTAAAGATAAAATTATTTCTATATATTAAATAATAATAATTATAATTTATCAAACTTTTCTTTTGTACAATTTATGTATTTCATATTGCTCTTGTTTTGTCTATATATATTATGAACCTATTGTTTGATATAATTTTAAATCAATATTAACGGTCTCTAATAATGAATCAATTAATAATTGTTACTCCTTTTTTAGATCTAAGATACCAATTAAAATTGCTATGTATTCAATTATATCAACTATTGCTTTTTCATTACAGCAATTTGGTTATTATTAAATTTTCAAAGCTTTTTACCTATTAAATTTAATTATTCCTGGAAATTGTTGCATTTTCTAAATTAATTATTTTTCTGATTTTCCTTTAATAAATCTTCTTGCTTATTCAATTGGATGCTTCAAATTCTTGACTCTCTTTTTAATTTTTAATTTTACTATAATTAATTTTACTAAAACGAAACTAAGTAAAGTGAATATAAGGATTGCATAATTTTGCATATGTTTTTAATATAATATATTTATAATAGTTATAAATATAAGATCATTCTTATATTTAATTATTAATTTAAGAATTTATTGTATGAGAACTAATCTTCCTTTTTGAGGATTTATCAGGAACTGATTCAGCATCCCCTTCAATTTCCAAATTTTATTGTTTAATATCAGTTGGAAGTTCATGTTATATCACTTCATTTTTATCCAATTACTCTTCTCCTTAAGTATAATCTTATTTTGGATTAACTTATGCTATTCTATTTTTCTTTATACTACAACTAATGAAAAATATTTAAGTAGAATTGAATACCAAAATTTTTATGGAGTTTCTATTTGAACTTCTTAAGATTTCTTTTATCTTTTTTATATAATAAAAGCATAAGTTGTTACTCCTTAATATTTTAACCAAAAATGAAAAAACATTAAGTTAAAATTTAGTAAAAACAATATTGCTACTAAACCAACATTTACCAATATCCAAATCATTAACTTTGGTGATTAAAATGCAATTGAAAACAATCCAAATATTATAAAAGTTACTCCAAATAATGATACAAATATTAATAACTTAAAGAATTCTTGATAATTCTTTTTTCCTATACAATTATTAAGCCATTTACAATGATGATCAAAATCAGACACACATCTCAAATAAATATCTGAATTTACCTTTCACAAACTCTACAATGTTTAGTAGTGCTGGAAACATAACTATCACAAAAGGAACAATAGAAATCATAAAGTTCTTATATGTTTTCGCTATTAATTAATTTATGTAAATATTACAAGCTCTATCCTCTCTTTGATTATATTATCAAATCATCAGTAGGATCTATGTATGATGCTTTGAATGCATAGTAAAATATCATCATTGAGAAAAAGTAAAAAAATGATGCTAAAATAATCTATTTATTCTTTATATTTTATACTTGAACCAACAAATTTGTTATAGGCATTATAGCTATCGATACACAACACATTAGTTGAATAAAGAAGATCATAGTGAAAATTTAAAAGGGATGTTTAGGTCTTGTGAATCCATTAATTGTCTTGTATTCCTTTTCTGTTGTATTCATACTGATTTTATATTAATTAGGTATTTTTATAATTTATAGAATCATAATTTTTATTATCAATTATTATTAATAAATGATAAGATTATCAAATTCATCTTCCAGACCATGAAGCAACTTGTTTCTTGAACATAATAATCACTTCATCAAGAATAGCATTTTCTTCTTCTCTCTTTGCTTTGGCTTCAGCATAATCAGCTCTCTTTGCTTCTAAATCAGATTAAGCTTAATCAAGTGCATCTTATGATTCTTGTAAGATAATCTTAGATTTAGCTTATTAAGCTAAAGCAGCTTAAATTTACTAAATTTAAATTAATAAATTACAGTAGCAGTTCTATCAGCAAATACTTATTTTCTTTCATATTCAACTTCCAATGATGAAATTTCAGCTTCTGATAATGAAACCCATCCAGCTAATTCCCATGAAGCATTAATTTCATTTTATTTCAAATTTTCTAATGATGCAGATAATTCAGCTTCTAATCCTTCAAGTACTCCTAATACTTTTTCAGCTAAAGTAGCTCCTCCAGTAGATGTTGATTCCTTTAAATATAATATTTAATTAATTTACTTCTTATGAATTAGCTAAAGCTAAGAATGATTTGATTTAATGATCTTAGAATAAATTACTATATTATTTTAATTTTTCAGCCACAGATTATGCTTTAACTTATGTGAATTCAAATGAATCACCATTAATAATATAACCAGCAACATCTTATTTCAAAAGTCTAATAACTTCAAGGGCTTCTTAATTATGTTTAATTGATTTAACAAAGAGTTAATTGCTAAAGCATTGATTATCTTAAAGTGCATCAATTTTTCTTGCAATTTCATCTCTTCTTGCTTCATTCCAAGCCAAATAATTTTTTGTTTATTTAAGGACTTCTTCATAGTTAGCTCTATTTTCGATTGCTTAATTGAAAAGTTTTTGATTCAAACTTTTGATTTTTGTGAATTATTCAATTGTCCTAAATCATAAACATTATATTTACTATGCACCAATCCATTCATCTGTTTCATTCTTTTAATCTGCAGCAAATTAAGCATCAATATTTGATTGTTTCAAATCATTGAGTAACCCAAAAACTGTATCAATAGCATCACTTGCTTTTGTTCCTGTCTATTATTTTTATTAATAATCAATACTTATAATAAGGCAAGGATTTAATCTTGTGTTTTTGAACCATAAGTTGTTGCTACCAAAGCTAATAACACAACAATAATGAATTTCATTTAATAATTAATCAAAAACGTACTCTAATAAAAAACGATAAATACTAATAAAAATGTATCCATCCTCTTAATACAAATTTTAATAATTATAATTCAATATTAATTCTGTTACTCTTCATTAAAATTGATTATCCCTAAAGGAACTTCCATCAACTTAAGATTTGCTCTTTAAATTAAATTAAATGTATTACATGACCAAGTTGTGATTTCCAATTTGTAGGTGGTACTCCTTGATTCATTTTTGAGAATAATATTCTCAATAATTTCTCTTTTTCTTCTAAATCCAAATCATTTATATCAACTTTATTAGATTCGAGACTTTATGATTTTTATGATATTTCTGGCAAACGACTATTTTTCTAATTCTTATTTTTCTTATTTATCTCATTTTTCACTTAATCAATGGCTTAAAGGAAAAATTACTCAATATCAGATCTTTAATCTAAAATCATTTAAGCCAATGCTTTAACTGTTTTTAATTCTTTTGTCCTTTAATCCAATAAATGTCTTAGATTTCTCAATTACATTTCTAACTCTTAAACTTTAGTATTGCCCTAATGTTTCATTATTTCTATTTCTTTTGTTTATTTGGTCACTTCCTTATCAAATTATAAAAATCAATATTTACATTTGCAATATAAGATTTGAGATATTCTATCTTCTCCTTCAATTATTTAATCTTAATTATTTATTAATGATTTAACATTTAATATCTAAATTAAAATAAAATGTTTACTCCTTAGCTTATTCTTCTTTAATACTTAAATTTAATTTATAATTAATATTTTCTTATTAAAATGTTTCTTTCTCTTTTTGATATATAGATAGAGTTCTTTCATATTCTTATAATTCACTTTTAATCTTTTCATTTTCTTTTAGAATCCCATCATATTTAGCAGCAACTTTTTCTTCTGCTATTTTATTGGCATTTCTTTATACATCCTCAATCTTAGCATTATTAACATTTGTTAGATTCTAAGTTTATTTTAAAAAGTTTTTGTTAGCTTTGCTTTATTCATCTAAATGAGCATAATCTTTTTTATTCATCTCTTCCTTTAAATCGTGGATTTCTCTAATCAACAATTCTTTTTCTTCCTAATCTTCTTACATTAAATACTTTAAATGAACTTAACTTTTTTAATTCGTCATTAATTCTTTATAATTCATCTTTATGTCTCATTTCTAAATCTGCCTTCTCTTTTTCCAAGTCTATTAGAATTATTTATTTGAATTACATCTAATTTTTTCATCTTTTCTTTAAATAGTAGATTCGATTTCTTCTGTAGTTTATTTTTTCAAGTCTTCATATTAATGTAAAAGAGCATTATAATCACTTTCTTTCCTATTTATGTCTGATTCCATTTTAAGTGTTAATGCAAGCTTTTTAATACTCATATATGCTTTACATTTTATTCATTTATTGTTCTTATGGTTTCATTCAAATTGTAAATTTTTTTCTATAATTCTTCTATTCTATCCTTTAGAACTTATATTTCAATTAATAGATCAGAATGATCTCTATAAATTAATCATATTAAAAATAAATACAATTTTTCTAATGCCTTCTTTTCTGCTTCTGTAAATTCAATTACTTCCTATTATTATTTTTTTTTAGGTGGCATTTATAATATTTATAATTTATAAATAAATTTTAGTCCTTCTTCTATAAATTTGATTAATAATGCACGTTCCAACTTAAAACTAAAAATTTAATATAGTTCAATCTCACTTTATTCATTCAATATTAATTAATAGCAAATAAATTTATATATATGAATAACAACAACTCTTTAATATTGGAATACCACTTATATGATACTATTTAGTTGCTTAAAAACAATAAATACAAAAAATTTATCAAATTAAGCAAAAAATTAGTTTGTAATCCTTATTTGGTTAATGATATATTTTACATTCAATTGAATATCTAGCTAATTAGAAGATTATTATATTGTCAACTGAAAGTTGTTTAGAAATATTTCTTAAACTTCAGTTCGAAACAATAAACTATTTTAGAAGTTTTGATAACTTGTATGGATTTATGTTAAAATTATCAAATTTTGATAAGTAAATATGAGACTTGTTTTGATGAAAAAGAAATCAAAGAAAAATAGATATCTAGAAAACTTAAATTCTTGAATGAACCAAATAAATTAACAATAAAATAATTTGCAAATCAATTTGATAAACTAGAACCAGACAATAAATCAACAATTTGGATTAAATATCAATGGTAATAACTCTTTTGTTATTTTTAAAAGACCTTACTTTTTAATTATCTCTATTGTAAAATGTCTATGTTAAAAGAGGCATCTCTTTTTTTGTTCAAATTGTATAAATTAAAACCAATCTCTACATTTAAATCCTAATTTTTATATTTATAAACTTTAACTTTCAAAAATACAGCCTAATACGAATTAGCAAACAATACAAACAGTGAAGTATTAGAATATGGATTCCAAATGCTATTAAATTCATTAAGAGAATACCATAAGCCAAAATCAAATTTGTTAAATTTTTAAAGGTAATTGATAAAAATAACAACAACATTATTGATTAATTTAGATATATAGAGTAAATCTTAGGAAATTAATGATAATCATTTAGATTGCATTTAATCTTTAAATTTGGCTCACTTTTTAGCTTCTCAAATTTTGAAACCCTTGAAAGTAAAGACAGAATTAGTTGAATATATAGCTTCAGAATTTGAATTTACAAATGAAAAATTTGAACAAATTTTATTGGAAGATAAAGATCTTACTAAATTTACACAATTTCTTTATGGATATCATGTTAATTAAAAATATCATATTAAAAATAGTGTTAATTCAAAATTGCAGGAAATGATTAAAATTAAACTATAAGATAATAAAAGTTTATAATTTTAAAAAGGATTTCAAACAATTAATAGTAATTAATGTATTTATGCTTCAAACAGTCAGGATAAATTGACAATGTAAGATTACTTACCAATAAAAATTAAATCATATCATCACAAAGACTCAACAGTTTTTTCAAATCCCTATTCTTAAACTTCAATAAATCATACTATTTAAAATAATAATATTATTAAGGAATCCCCATAAACACAAAGGGATATGAGAAATTAAAATGCACATCCAGGTAGCTTTTTAAGTTTAAATAATGTTTCAGTTGTTAAGTTAAATTAAGAAAAACCAAAAAAACGTCAGGTTTCTGTGAAATGTAAAAGAGTCAACACAAATTCTGATCATAAGAACAGTTATTTAAGTTAGTTGATTAATTTAAGATAAAAATCTAGTTTAACAATAAGAAATGAAATGAGTGAATTAGAAAAAAATCATTAAAAATTAATAAATAAATTGAATAATTAATAAAAATCAACTAAAATATCTACAATAGATGAATTTTTTAATAAAAAAATAGAAGCAATAGCCTTTGAAGAATGTTTGACTTTAGATCAAATAAAAGATACAGCCAAAAAAATCATTTAAACTGAATGGGAAATTCATAAGGAGATGCCAGTAACAAAAAGTTTAATGAAATCGATATCAGTTTCTGAGATCTAATTTGAGTAGTAATAGGCTGCATATAATAAGCTTTAAGAATATAGAGAGATTCAAAATTTAGACTATTATAATACAGAGAAAGATAGAGCATAAGATTAGATGTAATAAACAAAAGAAGTTAGAAAACTTAAAATTAATTAATAAAGATTTACAATGAAACATAGAAGTAGTTAATAAAGTTTATTTAATTCTCAATAGATAAAGTCTTTGGTTATAAATGATACTAAAATTTAAGAATAATTTAGTTAATAATTTTTATAACAATAAAATACAACAGAATAAAGAGTAGAAATAAAAGTATCACCTAGATTAGCAAGGAAAAATAATTCAATGTTGTATAATTCAAATTTAGAGTAGGATAATTGTTAAAAGGGGTTTTCTTTAGTAAAAGGATAATTGATAGATTTTATGATAAATAATCTTGAATATAGAGATGAATTAAACATGTAAGAGAAAGAATTAAAATAAGTATAATTTTTAATAGATTAGGTAGTTTGTATTACCTAGATAATTCAGAACCAATGCTATATCTCCATCTGGAGGTGAATTTTCATTAAAATCATAGAATATGAGTGATTTCAAATCTTTTGCATATAGTACTAATTCAACTTAGATTACATCACAAAATATGGAAAATAAATTGCATAAGACATTTGGAAATTAAAAATAATGATTAAGCTTTTATTATTAAATTATTATTGTAAATTTGTATTCTTTTGAATAATTAAAATAATATCTAAGATTTATGTGAATATAACATAATTTTATTTAATCAAAATATATAAAATATAGTTAATATGAGTCAAAGCATTATGAATGAGATATTTAAATTAGTATTGAATTATATTAATTAGGTATGTTTTGATGGAACTTAATAAAAGAAATGGTCATAATGTAAAGATTTAGATAGTTAACTTTAATTTATTAGAGATGCAATACCTTAAAAAATAAATGAGGCAACTAAAAATTATGATTATGAAGCCTTAGAAAAATAAGTTTAAAAATATGAACATGAGATTCGTAAACACATAAGAGTAAAGTGTTTATCAAAATTTAAATTAGATGGAATAATAAATAAAATTATATGCAGAATCGTTATAATAAAAATTAGAAGAATAAGAAAGTGTTAATGAATGTTTGATTAACACAAAACAATTAGTCAATGTAATTATTCTATATTTCTAGTCTTTAAAAAAAGAGAATCAATAATTGATAGAATAAATCAAAAGATTATAAAGTGAAAATTATATGTTAAAATCTAAACTAAATGAAGTTAATGAAAGAATAAACAGCCATTAGACATCTCCTGTATATGAAAAATAAAAAAATCAAGATTCCTATAATGTCAAAGTAATAATCTAAAGTATATTAAGAATAGCTAAAGATATTAGACTATTGACTTTGTAGGTCCAAAATAGAAAATTAATTCAAGGAATATAGATGATTATAGTAAATAATACTCAGAAGTTAAAACCTAAATAAGTAATACTATTGATAGTTCCATCTTAAAGATGCTTTAAAACCGTCGAGATTCTTTAAAATTGAATGATACTTATAAATCATCAAGAGATTCATAAACTATAGAGAAAAATGATTCAAATAAAATTAAGTCTTGTATCAATTAATAAAGAGCATCAAGTTAATAATAGAAAACATAGCATAAATAAATAATTGATTAAAGTTCTTAATAAGTAAGAACTACAACAGAGAATGTTAAATTTGATTTAAAAAATTAAAGTGATAATTTAAGGGCATTTTTGAATACTTAAACTTTCCTTTGTAATAAGAAGAATAAGACAAATTCTAGGCCTGAAAATAGATATAACAAAAGTCATAGTGAACATTAAAATGCTAATTTAAATTATGCAGATTTATAAAAGTATTTTTTATATGATATTAAGAACCAATAAAATCCAAAAAGAGTATTTATAATTTTCATAAAATTATTAAAAATATTTAGATAATTAGCTATGATATCAATAATTTTCCATTTTATTTAATGTTATCTGTATATTATTAAAAAATTGCTTTTTACTTTTTTGCAAGGTATTATTTTTCAATAGTATTTTTCACTTTAAAAATTTCTTAAACTTTTAAAGGATTTAATCATAAAATAAGTTAATAATTATTTTATAATAAAATATAAAATGAAAGATCATTATGATTGTAACATAGTATCTGAAAAAAATGAAGACGAGATTTAAGTGAAGAACAAATAAATTAATTAATTGAAAATGGAAATTGAAAAATAAGTATAATTAGCATAATTAGACTAAATATAATAAAATGCCAAAAATTTGAATGATGAATTTGAAGTTGAAATAATTTCATAAGACAATTAGAAAAATATTCCTTTTAGTCAAAATAAAGATTTAAATTATTGCAATGTGAATAGAAATCAAGAATTCTAAAATGTTAATTAAATCTGTAATCTTAGATTAAATAATCAAAATAATTAAACAGGAATTGATACTAAATAGTATAAGCAAGAAAAAATATAATAAAATATTGAATAATAATATAATAGTGATAGTAGCAATAACACTGATGAAGTTGATAGTTTGGATGCTTAATAAAATTAACCTTATTTTAATGAGAATCAATAAAAGGTTGAAAATAAAGATTAAAAATAAGCAGAAAAGATTACAGATAGAGCTTAAAAATAAGCATGGTTACTGAAAAATAGAATGAAAAGACATGAAAATTAAGGTGAAAAGAATAATAATGAAAATTTAGATGTCTTAGAAATTATAAACAATGGTAAGAAGACAGAATCTGATCTTTTTGAATAAGGATTATTTAAAAGAACTGATTATAATGTTTAAAATACATTAGATTAAAAATAGTTTTAATTAAAAAAAGAATTGTACAAATCAGATTTTGAGAGATCTTAACTTTAATCTAATTTAAATAAATCAAATCAAGAATAAAAGTAAATTGATAATTTAGAATCTACTCTAATGAAGAAATAATAAATTAAGAATAATCTAGTTAAAGATGTTTCTAATTAAAAAGAATTACAACAGAATTTGGATGTTAAGAAAATATTTGAAAAAAGATTTGAATTATAGAAAGATGGTTGGGATGTTTCAAAACATATTATTACAAGCACTGAGAATAATATAGATTAAGTGAAAACTCCATTTTAATTACAACCAATTAATTAGCTTTATTAAATTATTAATGGCCCAAATTAAAGAACCATTAATAGTTATTTTTCTCCAAAAAATCCTTTGAATTAACCTCATTCATTTTTATAAAAATAATAAGGAATTGATAATACTTAAATAAAATAATAAAATTAAAATAACAAATAAGAGAAACACAGTTTTATTTAAAAATGTGAAGATGGTTCAATTAAATATAACAAAGATCTTGGAAATTCACTGAAATATACTGGAAAAGATTAATTAAATAATTAGAAAAAAACAAATTATTAAGAAATTAAATAATAATAATATCCAGAATTATCATTATAAAAACAATTAAAGTTATAAGAAGGTGTTAAAAAAAGTCTTCATTAATTAGACTTAAAATAATAATAATAGCCTTAATAATTAACTTAAAGAGAGAAGGAAAAAAAGAAACTTGAAATGTAATTACAAATCTTAGATAATCCATTAATCAAATAATAAGGTTAAAAAGAAACAGAAGAATTATTAAATGAGGATAAACATGAATTAAGATCTATAAAAATAGAAAAAAAAAAGGTTGCTGAATCTTAAAGATTATCAAAATTCAAAATGATGCTAGATAACAATACAGGAGAATCATTTTAAATTGGAAAGCCTATTTTTGAGTTTAATAGATTACTAAAATATTTGTTCCTTAAGAATTACGATATTCCAGATATATCAGATTAGGAATAGAAAGTTATACCAAATAAATTTGAAAGTGCAGAAGAATATTGTAAGATTTTTGAATACTTATTCTTAAATGAGGCTAGTGCTTAAATAAAATAAGAATTAATTGAATTTTTGAAAAAAACTGAAAAGACAAATAAATATCGTAAAGTATAAATAAAAATTGATGAAAATGATAATGAATCAGAAGGAACAATTTTTGTTATGAGAGGACCTTAAACTAATTAATAATAATAAGAATCTTAAATTGATAATAAATAATAAAAAAGATAAGATGATATTGATTAAAATTAATCAGAAAATTTATAATTTAATTATGATAATATTAAAGATGGAGTATGTGATTTGACAACACATAAAAATTATATTTTTATAATTTCAACAAAAATTAAAATAAAGCTAAGAGAGATTAATTAATTACAAGGAAATAATATGATCTTTTTTGGAATATTAATAGACCCTTAAAAAGCATAATATTTGTAGTAAATAAGAATATAATCTTTTGTAAATAAAAAAAGTTTAGATGTAAATTAATGGTATAATGTTTTTTTATTTCCATTTTCTAAAATTACAACTTCAATTCGTGAATATTAAATGATAACAAAATTAAATCATAAAACTCCTCTTGCAAGTTTAATTTATAACCCAACTAACTCATAATCATTGATTGGTTCAGATATAGGAGGAGGTTGGACAGTTTAATTTTAAAATCAAATATAAAATAAAGAATTATTAGACTCTTTTTTTCAAATTGCTGATTAAAAATATAATGAGACTCAATCAAATTCAATAAAAGAGATTATTTTAAAAGAAAAAGGAATTTGTTTATTATAAGGACCGGTATTTATTATATTATATTTTTTAAGCCAGGGACTGGAAAAACACATACTTTAATTGGTTTATTATCTGGTGTATATGAGTATATGAAATAAATGAATAAATTTCCAAGAAAAAAAATATTAGTAATATAATTATAAATTATTATAGATTTGTGCACCTTCTAATGCTGCTATAGATGAGATAATTCTAAGAATACTTTAAAAAGGAGGATTATTCGATTCAAAGGGTAATTCTAGATAGGCAAATGTTATTAGAATAGGTTTACTTGATGAAGAAAATGTTCATTCTGATATAATTAAGAAAGTTTCATTGGAAGATTTAGCATAACATAAATTATTTTCAACTTAAAAATTTAATGCTGAATAAGATTAAAAAACTACTGCAGATTTAAGAATTGAATTATGCTAGATTTAAAATCATATTAAAAAATTAGAAAAAAAATTAAATTAACATGGATTACCTAGTGATGAAAGAAAAATAATAAAAGATCAAATGAATTAATTTAATGATTTGAGAAAATCTAAATAAGAATACTTAGATAAGACAAGAGAAAATAAAAAAATTTATAAAGAATTTTATAATTAATTTTGTGAAAAGTTATTAAATGATGCTGAAATTATATGTAGTACTTTAAGTTCTAGTGGATCTGATAAATTATCTAAATATTTGGATTAGATAGAATTATTGATAGTTGATGAAGCAGCTTAATGTACTGAACCATCTAATATCATACCTTTAAGATTAGGAATACAGAAAATGATATTGATAGGTGATCCTAAATAATTACCTGCTACAACATTTTCACCAGTTTCTCATTAAACTTTATATAATAGAAGTCTATTTGAAAGAATACTTGATAATAATTTTAAACCTTATTTTTTAGATATATAATATAGAATGCACTCTGAGATTAGAATGTTTCCATCAGAATATTTCTATTAAAATAAATTAAAAGATCATGAGTCAACAAATATAAGAAATTTACCAACTAATTTCTTTAAAAATAGAGTATTATTTTTAGATATAATTGATGGATAAGAACAAAAGGATGGAACATCAAATATTAATGAATAAGAAGCCTTAATTATAGTTTAATTAATTAAATCTATAAAAGAAGAATTTCCAACTTAAACTATTGGTGTAATTTGTGCTTATAAATCTTAAGTGAGATATATTAAAACATTACTTAAGTAGAAATACACAGATGAAAACTTTTTTGATTAAACAACAATTACTATTAATACAGTTGATTCATTTTAAGTAATGATTAAGATTATATAATTAGGGTTAAGAAAAAGATATTATATTATTTAGTTGTGTTCGTTCTTCATAAACAGGAGGGATTGGATTTCTAAATGATGGTAGAAGAATGAATGTTGCTTTAACAAGAGCTAAAAATGCTCTATTTATTCTTGGAAATGCTATAACTGTATATTATTTGATTTATTTAGTTATCAAAAAGTGATTTATGGAAATCTATGTTGAAGAATATTTAACAAAGATAGCTTTATCGAAATCTTGAATCATCATAATTTTAATTTCAATAAGTTTTGAAAAATGAATGGAATGAGGAGAATAAAACACTCTCTCCAAAACTTTTAGCCTATCTTAATTAAACATCTTAAGGAAATCAGGAAAAATCAACATACAATATTTCAGACTTTAAGATTGAAGTTACAAAGAATCAAAAAATTGATCAAAAATAGGACTCTGAAATAAAAAAATAACATAATAAAAATGATGTTAATGATAAAGAAAGTTAATAAAGATTCAAAATTATTGTAAATAACAAAGAGAAGGATAAAAGTACTTCAGAATACTAAATATCTAAATAAATAATAAAAAATCAAGAAAGCCATAATCAATAAAATTAAACTATTAAGAATTATAAGGATGATTCAAAAATATAAAATAATTAATTTCAAAATTCAAAAGACACAAAGGCTGAATAAAATAATAAATATTAGACAAATGCTTAGTTGTAAAATAAAGAGCATTAAAGTTATGAAGACTTTGATTTGATCAGATGCCTACGTGAGGAAGGCTTTTTTTGATAAATGAATTTATTTTCTTTATTGATTACCTAAACACATTTTTAATAGTTCTCTCCTGTTCGACAGTGCTTGATAATTCTTTTATTTTATTTGAATTCATTTGAAAATCAAAATCTAATGATCAACTAGATATTTAAGTTAAAAATTAAATATTTATCTTATCAATAGAAAAGTATTTAAGAGAATAATTATTTAATAGACTTTATAATCATTTAAGGATTTATATATTTTAAGATAAGCTTTAAAGTAAAAATAGAAAGTTCAACTACATGATCAAAATATTTAAATTCTTAAACATTTAATAGTGTAATTTATCAAAACTAAATCTTATAATATAATTTAATGGAATAAGATTAATAATTTGAAATAGTGGGGACATTTAACAATTAGTTTTAATAGTTTTCTATTCATATAATTCCTAATATAGATAGTATTAGCATTGTATAAAATAAGTTAAGTATTAGACTACTTTAACAGAGTAAAAGTTGTTTGAATTATAATATTCTGAGGAGAACATAAAATTCTAATGGGATGAATAAATGGATAGATTGGGTTTTGCAAACTTTGTTTTGTTATACATAAAAAATGAAGAATTTAAGATATTTGGGAAGTAGGATAACTTACAATGGCTTTTCAACTTGTGTAAAGGAAAATTTATATTTCTATAAAGGAACCAAAATACAAAAAGAACTGTTGTAGAACAGAATGAAACAGGAATTGTATATTTAATATATGTAACCTCAGGTTTATAAAGTGGATGATAAGTGTAATAATGAAGAAGATTATTTTGATAAAATTCTTTTTGAGAATAAATAGTAATTCGATTAAGGTTTTACTATTCCAGAAGAATTAAGAGTTCTTAAATTAGTTAATCAAAATAAATGTCTCTATTTAATGCGCATAGAGACTATTTAATATGATGGAAATTAATTTTCGTATAGTTATAAGAAAAAAAGACTGGACTCATTGAAGTAATTCATATAATAGACTCCAAGTATGAAATTAAGTTAAGTATTAGAGATTATAAGATAACTTTTGTAAGGTATTTATATATATATTAGTTTAAGTAACACATTATTTTGAATCAATAAAGTTAATTCATAACAGATTAGACTTAGACAATATACAATATTCAAAGCAAGAAAATATGATTCAAATAACAAATTTTTCATATTCCTTTTTAGAAAATACTTAACCAATTAAATTGTAAATAAATATGTTATGGAAAGTAGATATCAATAATTTGGTCATGCATCTCCAGAAAGTTTTTCTTAATAATAGTTAATAACTACGGCAACCAATATTTACTAGGTTGGCATTCTATTTTATATAATGTATAAAGAATTAAAACAATTAGGGTATTTGGGAGTAATCCCTTTGGAAGAAGTTAGGATGAGATTCAGAAAAATAATTATATTGGAAAATTTACTATACCTAAGGAAAATGGATTAATATAGTAAAAATTGACAAAAATAAACGATATTATTTTTGAGATGATTTCATCTATGATGTCCAGAAATCCTTAATAAAGAAAATCATCTTCATATTATCTAAGATCAAAAATCTTTTTGCCATTTTTGAAATAAAAAATTTCTCGAATGGAATTAAAGCTGTATTTTAATGAGATTAAAGAAGATGATACTATTAACAATGAAAACAAATTTATAAACTCCATCTACATTCTTAGAACAAAATTTAAATGACCTAAATAAGTGTTAATAATGAAATTGATTCATTATTGTAATTATCCATAGATAAATATCTTAAATTTATATAATAATCAAATATTATTATTTACTAATGTAAATGGAGTTTAATAATTTATATTAATGTTTTCTAAAAATGATGTAAGTCCACTATAAAATTAGAATTCTAAAAATAAGCTCAATGAATTTGAAGATAAATTCTTACCTTTTAAAGTATTTTTAGAATATAAAAAAGGTTGGTGATCTAGTTTAAAATCGATTTTTTATAAGTCAAAAAATAGGTGAAGGGTCTTTTGGATCTGTGTTTAAAGTTAATGATCAAAATAATAATAATATGGCATTTGCTATAAAAATTCAATCTGAGGATGATGAAACAAATTTATTAGAAAGAGAAATAAAGGTTTTAATTGAATTAAGGTAATGAAATATAATAACTGTTTATAAAGAAAGTATCAAGGGTTTCCATAAATAAAATTTTATGGGTAAGAAAGAGGTTAGACTTATTGTATTATGCAGATGCTAGGATAAAATTTAGAATAAATATTTAAGAAACTTGGAAATGTTATGAATTTAGGTAGTGTTTTGAGATTAGGAATCTAAGTAAGTAAAATATAAGATATTAGTGAATAGATGATTGAAAGAATAGCAATTATGCATTAAAGTCGTTTTTTACATAGAGATATAAAACCAGACAATTTTGTTATAGATGGACCTAACAATCCTAGATTATTATATTTAATAGATTTTGGGTTGTCTAAATATTTTATAGTAATTTATATGTTTAAAAATAGAATAAAAAAGGAGATCATATAGTATAAGTTAAAAAAGCTGGATTAATTGGTACTGCTAGATATGCAAGTGTAAATGCTCATGAAGAAATGGAATAATCACGTAGAGATGATCTGGAAAGCATTGGATATGTTTTAATCTATTTAGCTACAGGAGTATTACCATGGATGAATTTATAAATAGAAAAAAAAGATTTAAAATATGCAAAAATTAAGTAAATTAAAAAAGAAATCAAAATTAATGAATTATGTAAATCATTACCTAAGGTTAAATAATTTTAATTATTTATAGTGTTTTGAATAATTTATGAATGATGTAAAATCTTTAGAGTTTAAAGAGACTCCTAATTATGAGAAATTGAAATCTTATTTTGAGAATCAGATTGAAATTGATAATAAATTATATTCAAATAATTAATAACCATTTGTTTATGATTGGGAACGTTTGTCTGATTTTGCAAAATAAAAAAAACACCAAACAATTCATGTTATGGAAGTAAAATATTTTATTATTATTTAGAATTAATTGAAAAATTAACATATTTAAATTGTAATTAATCCACATAAATAAAATTAAGTGGCAAAATAAGAATTATTTTTAAATTAATAAATTATAAACTCATAATAAAATTCAATCTAAAATGAATAAAATAAAATTGATTAAATTATTAATGAATAGAAATAAGAATAATTATAAATTATAAACACTACTAGTAATTAATTTAAGACTCATCCTTTCGTTATAAATGTTATTGAAAATTAAAAAGATCAATTATAACCTATAAAATTAGATGAAAGTAGAATTACAAGATTATAAAATCATTCTACTACACTTTTATAAAATCCTCATTTTAATTCATCTTTTTAATTTGATTCATTTATTTAACCTTCTATAGCAACATCTAGAATGAATAATTATATAGAAAGTGAAAGTGTTGTTAGTGAAGGCAACGTCTTACCTATTTGGGATATAAAAGGATCTTAATAAGATTTTTAATAAGGAACTAGAATTTTGGAAGGAATCAGAAAGCCTAGTTAAATTATTTTAAGAAAAGAAAGAAAGATTCATTCATGTATTAATTTATATGAATATAGAAATTGATACTGTAAAATAAATGCAAAATCTATTTGTTCATCCTAATTAAATAATTGGTGACAACGAAACATATGTAGAAGGATTAGAATGAAAGAGAGACATTTGTTATTTAATAAAATTTACTAAACTTATATCAATAATTCTAGATAATAATTAATTATAAATATAAAAATCAAGCTTTATTATATAGAGTATTGCTAAAAAGAGGACCAAGTTTATTCAGTTCTTTTTGAAATAAGTTTCTTTCCTCTTTTTTTCCTTTTTTCTTTTTGTTATATTTTAATTTCTCATAAAAGAAAGTAACTTCATTTTCTGTTGCTAAATACAAACTCTTAATATCTTATAAAATAGTTTAAACAAATGAACTAGCTTGACTAATTATTTCATTTGTAATTGGAGATACGATAGTAATTTATAATTAATTATCTTCTTCATTTAAATCAAAAAATGGACTAGATTATATAATATATCATTACTCTTAATTAAATCCTTTATAATTAATCCCTGTCTTTTAGGTGTCAAATTCCATACCATAAAATTATAAGAATTTGTAAGTAGTGAATCCAATAGAGGAAGCTTAATTTTATTAATAGCAACTCTCTAAAAATGCTAAAACCATTTAAATTATACAAAAGGAAGAGATCCCTCCTTTATATTAATCATTTAATCCTCTCTTTTTTAATAAGCTCTTAAATAAAAGAACAATTGGTCTTAATTCGCTATAAAAAGATAACCATTATAATGTTAATTCTGTTGAAATTTATCCAAGATGCCAATTTTATTTAGCTCCTTAATATTAAAAAAAGCTAATGTCTACACTAAATAAATGGGATGGAATTTCTTCATCAGAACTAAATAATCATTTATATTATATACTTTTGAATTAGATCAATATATGGTAATACAATGACATGAGAGGAATCTACAAAAGAAATAGTAGGATCAACTTAAAGTTTAATCAATGGCATATTTGAAGTTGTAATTGCTCTATAAAAAATTTGATATATTTTTATACCTTATATTTTTGACCCATTTCATTTTTTATAGAAAATCAATAATTTTTTAAATGGGTACATTTAATTAAGTGGATGGAAACAATTCAAATCCTGTTATTCCAATATCAATATCACTTTCTGGAAGGGCTAAACCAGTTGCACAAGATCCAAATAGACGAACAGTAGAATTGAATTCTATTAATAGAATATTAAATTATAACCTCTAAAGAGTTAATTAATAACAAAGGAAATTCTATCATATATTATTCTCCTCATTTATAGAATTTCCTAATTTCTTGTTAAATTTAAATCATTAAACTCTCTCATATCCATATCTAATTTTTTAATCATCAAAGTTCTAGCTTAATTCATAATAATTGTATCAATTTCTTCAGGATTATTAGTTTTTTAGAATTCTAAATTATTTTAAGAATAATTTATATTTTAATTATTATTATTATTATCCAATAATAATTCATCTTAACATAGACTCAACTCTTATATTTAAATTACATGTTTTAATGGTTTAATTAATTAATTTTCATCTACTGTAACTTAAATAGGATATTAAGAAGATTTATTTTATTTAATAATTTCTACATTTTCAGATTATGGAGATATAGATATATTCTCTTTCTTTTCAGGAGTTAAAGTTTATTAAGAGAGTGTTTCTTAACTACTATTTTTTAGACTATTTCTATTAGAAAAGTTCTCTTTATCTTTATCTTAATTTTAAATATCTTTTTGTTAATAATTAAATTGATTTATCATTTAAGATTTAGGTTTTTATGTTGGAGTTATTTAAGTTAATTAATTAGATTTATTATTTGGATTAGATTTATTATTTGAATTAGATTTTTTGAAATGGAGATCCTAAGAACTAGCAAATTTTCTTTAAGTCTTTTTTCTTTATCTTTTTGGTCCTGTGATTACAACCCAATTATCTTCATCATCATTTTAACCATTTAATTCGTTTTGATTTAATTCCATTTCTTAAATCAATTCTGTAATTTTAGTTGGCTCTATAATATTGGTATCTTTTTTATGAAGATCAGCAATTATAAAATCTATTTGCTTATTATCAGAACAAGGACTTAAAGTTAAATTATATTATACTTTGAATGTCTATTGCATTCACATTCAATACAATGTACATCATCTTAAGTTGTATCTTATTTATCAGTAATTTCAAAACTATTACATTTATCTTAAATTGATATAAGATTTTTTTAAGAATCATTTTCATTTTTATTTTTTTATTTTTTCTATTTCTTAGATTTCTTTTTTTAATCTTAACTCTTCTTTTTTTCTTTGCCTTCTATTTCTTAAAGATCTTTGACTAATTTTTCTTTAAATTAATCTCTAATCATTCTTAAAACTCTCTTTTCACAAAAAGATGAAAGTGAGTTAAATCTTTCTAAAGGTAAACAATAAATATTATCAAAATTATTATTCTCAAATAATTAATTGATTTCTGTTTCATTTATTTCTAATGATGTTATATTATTATCATATGTATTTTATCCATCATTTTATTAAATGGGTTTTTTCATTAATAATTATGCCCATAAAATATCTTCTTATTTAGTATTTTTCTTTTTTGGAGCATTCTTAAATTCTTTACATATTTAAGGAATTTAATGAATTATTTTTTATTTAAAATCAACATTTTACATCCAATATTTTTTAAGATCCTCATTTTAAATTGAATTGTTATCAGTTAAATTTCCTTATTAACTTTAATAATATCTAAGTAATCATATATCAATTTATACATCAATGCTATAGCTTTTTCAAATTCATTTATTACCCAACCAGCACATGTTTAATATGTTTTTGGATTAAACCAAATAGCATCATTTACAATATATTATTTTGCAATTGAATTTAATGTAACCTTTGGTTAAGATGAAAATGCTAATCCATTAGAACATTCAATTAATAAGTTTATGATATCTTCTAAGGATCCTTGTAAACAAAATTTATCGAATATATCATCTTAATCAATGATAAATATTTTAGAAAGTAATTTCTTATCGATTTTATTATCATATGAATACCTATTCTAAATGCAATTTCTCTTCCTCATGTGAACGCCTTTTACGAACTAAACACACAACCTTAATATCTTCATTTATTGAAGGAAATCTTATCTTAGAATAACTTTATACTTTGGGTTTTCATCTTTTAAAGCATAGCTAGATCTTTCAACAAGCAAATCATGGAGATACATACGCATTATAAAGGTAGTTATCTTTTTCGAATTGACAGCAATCTCATTTATATTTTATTTCTTAACCCTAAAAATTACCACAATTAATAAAATATATATATATCGTAAGAACAAAAAGCAACACTTAGAGCATGCTGCTTCAAGAAGTGATTTAAATCAAATCAATACCATTGAATAAGGTCATTTTTGTAAGTATTCTCAAATGATTCAATTGTTTCACAAGCATGATTGTTGTATTTTGTCAAATATTTAGGAATGTTATAAAGCATGTATATTTGTAAATTTTATAATTTATTAATTATTGTACTCTTTAAATTTACATAAAAAAGCCATGACTCATTTTAACAATGTCTTTTACAACAATATTTAAATATATTCTGGATTGTATTTAAAAAATTATTACTAATGAATTAAAATAAATATATTTCTGTTTTATTTAAACACTTGATCTAAATTTCCTATTAAATTATAGTTTAAGTAAATTAGTTCTATCTTTTAATAAAGGTTTTAGATTAAGATTATGATTTAATTTATATTTTGAAATTCATATATTCCTATTATTAATTTATTATATTATTATTTGTAAGAAACAATTACACAAATGAAGGGGAAGAGAATAAATAAATTTTATATATAATAATTTTAACAATAAATAAATTCATTAATGTCATCCAATGTTAAAAAAGATTAAAAGAAAGCTTCAAATCAGTTCTTAGATTTTGATTAATTAGCTCATAAGAAATATCATTATGATCAAAAGAAAGCAAATGATTAATCTATTAAATAAGAATAGTATATACATGATCTAAAAAAAGCGTAGTTTATTTTAATAATTAGTTATGATTAATAAAAATTAGAGATTGAACCTTTATTTTAGAAAGTTGAATTGTTATAGATAGAAAGAAAATAATTAATGGATGAAATTGAATAATATAAAATGAGTTAGATGGAAATTCTTAAAAAATATGAAACAGAATATTAAGAAAAAGATAAATTGAATAAGGAGTGCACAAAGCTCAAATAATAAATTTAAGCTTAACAGAAGATGTAAATGCCAAAAGAATTTTAAGAGAAATAATGTAATCAATTAAAAGAAACCCTATTTGTTACAATCAAAGATATAATGCATGACTTTTTAGATAATTACAATCATATGATGGGTTGTGTAGATGAAAATGGAAGTATTATTATATTATTGATATTTTAAGTTTCTGTCAATTTGTTAGATGAATTATTATAATAAATTGATGATTCAATCATTATGTTTGTAAATAATATATCTACTCAATAAACTAAATAATTTGAATCACAGGAGATACAACATTTGAAAGACTAAATAGAAAAAACTCTTTAAACAGTATCAAATTTGTCTGCTGAAAACTAAGATTTAAGTACAGCATTAGATATTGAGAAATAATATAAAGAAAAAATATTAAATTAAAGAAACACCTAATAATAATTGATCAATCAATTACAAAATTAAATAGAGACAATTAATAATGAAAAGAAATAACTTGAATAATAAATGTAGGAAATTTAAATGAAAAATCTAGAATTTTAACATGATTTAAGTAGAGTAAATGAATTCAAAGATGAAGAAAATGAAAAATTAAAAAATGAATTTATTGATTCAATCAATGAACTTTAAAAATAAATTTCAAAATTATAATTAGAAAATACTAAATTGACTTCATTAATTGAAAATAATACTAAAAAATAAAATAAAGATGCAGAATTGTTAAATGAAAAAGTAAGAGAATTAGAAAGCAAATTAAATTAAGAAACTATTAAATTTGAGTAGAAATCCAGAGAAGTAAATGAAATATATAATAATAAATTAGATGATAAGAATTGAAAAAGAATAAACTTAATACAAAGTTGAAGCAACTAAACTATTTGAAGAAAATAGTTATTACTAATAGTAATTAGAAATAATTAAAGAAAAAAGAAAATAAGATAAAGATGTTCTAGAGAAATAAAAAGAAAAATTCAAGAAACTCGAATTGTAATTTTAAAAATCAGAGATAGATTTATAAACTAAAATAGTCTAATTAGAAGAATAAATTACATAACTTACTTAATTGTAAGAAAAAGATAATTCTATATAATAAATTACCTTACATACAGAGGTTTTAATGGAAAAAGAAATTTAATTATCAAAATTAGATTAACTGGTTACTGAGTAATTATGTATGTTATTTTAGATCTACCTAAAAAATCAATGAATAAAAGTAATAGATTGTAGAAATGAAGATTTAAATTAATACATTAGAATAAGATTTATAATAATAAATACTTACCAATTAATAACATTAAGAAAGAAGGGCAAATGCTTTTAGCGAAATAAATCGTTTAGAACAACAAAATTAAATTTAAAAATAAGTAATTCAATTAAAACATAAATTAGCGTATTAATGATTAAGATTTAATAATTAAATAGCTATAATCAGAAGTTTAAGAATTATTCAAATAAATAAATACAAATTCTCAATAAAATCATACACCAAAGCATAATCAAAGCTTTAGCAAAAATTCTATGTGTGATGGCAATAATTTAGATTCATCAAAATTAACTGATGTTGATAGTTAAATCTCTAAGACTGCCAAAGCTGCTTCCATTATATTAAATGGCTTGAATTATTTTAAACTTAGACCTTAAGTTTCTATTCAATAGGTTGAGGATCAAGATAGGAAAATTGCTGAAAAAGCATTACAAAAATAAGCAGGAGATTTGAAATCAAATTTGGAATAATTATACAAAAGTTTCTTGTCAACTTTAATGTAAAATTAAGTTAATGATGAAAAATTTTTGAAGTTTGAGAGACAAATTAATGAATGTGTTAAAAAAACATAAGATTTACATGACAATATTGAAGATTTTTTTTGATTTTATGATTAATTTATGTAGATTAATACTTTAGATAATTCTTAAGATATAATAATGATATAATATTGGAAATATTATAATTTGATTTTTGAAGGAGTGATAATGATTAAATATATTATAAAAGTATTATAAAAATAATTTGAAAGATTAGGGAAAAAATATGTTTTTAAACATATTTCTAAGTATATATTAAATATACATTAAGATTCTAAAATAATATTCAAATTTTATATATATAAAGTTAATGCAAAAATATTATTAATTTTCTAGAATATTATGTAATATATCTTTTGGGAGAATAAAAACTTAAATTCTTTTATTTAAGGTTTGAAAGTTTGTAAATAACATTAACTTAGTTTTTAATTTTAAGAAAATTAGTCTAAATAGATTTATAATTAAGTAAAAGTCTATGAATTATAAATATGAATAATTTTCATGAAACAAAATTAGAGTGTTGGAACTATTGTTTTTTATGATTAATATTTTTTAACTTGAGAATAGAACTTTATTGATATAAGTTAATTAAAAAATGTATATACGTGTTTTTGTATAATATTAATATCTTTAAATTTAATAAGATGAGTTGCTGTTCATTCATTGGAAGAATTTTGTTGGCTGTCATTTTCATTGGTGCTGGAGTTGACAAATTTATGTAACCACAAAATTCTGTTGGATTGTTGAATGGTAGATATCCAGCCTTCTATAAAAATTTGGAAACAACAGCAAAATAATACAATGTTCCACTTCCAGTTTAATTAGTAAAATATTGCCTTAATATTTTTAGTCACCCACTTCAATCAAGCAATTTTCTAATGAAATCATTTTAGGAGTTGGTGGTGCTGAATTAGTTTTGGGTCTTTTTGTTATTTTGAATTAAGCATGGGCAGGAAAATTGTTGTCTTTATTGACATTATCATTTGTTGCTGTAATTCACAATCCATTTATTCATGGAACAACATAAGCGTAATTTTAACAAACATTTATAAAATAGTGAGAAATTGTCAGAATAAATCCAAGGATTATGGACATTAGGTATTGCTGGTGCTTTATTGATTGTTGGTGCTTCATCATCAAGCAAGACTTGCGCTCCAGTAGCAGTAAAATCAAAAGGAGTTACACCAACTGCACCAGCTGCTTCAACCAAAAAAGCCAAGAGAAATTGAGAAATTTAAATAAATATATATGATAATAAGTGCATTTAAAATATTTTTTTAAAGTCATTTTCCAAAAATTAAATATTCAATGGGATTAGATATCAATTTATTAAGAGAAGATAAAGGTGGAAATCCTAACTTAGTGAAGGAATGGTGTTAAAAGAGATTTTAAGATCCAGCTATAGTTGACAAGGTTATTGCTCTTGATTAAGAGTGGAGAAAAGGTACTCAAATTTTTAAAACTTTCTTAGCCAGATTTAATCTTGATCAACTTAATAAAGAATATGGTATTGCCAACAAGAAAATTGCTGAAAAGAAGAAGGCCAATAAATAAGACCCATGTATTGAAGAAGTTGAATAAGCTAAAGCAATAGATCTTAAAATTAAAGAAGCTTAAAAAGTAAGAAATTAATCTTATAAAAAGATTGAATAAGAATAAGAAAATATTTTAACTAAAACACTAAATAAAATTGGAAATTTAGTACATGAATCAGTACCAGTCTCTAAAGATGAAGCTTAAAATAAAATTGAAATAACATGGGGTTAAATTCCTAACATACAAGTCAATAGTACTCCAGGTAGATGTCACCATCATGAGATCTTATTTATGATTGATGGTGTTGACCTTAAGAGAGGGTCTAAAATAGCAGGCCACAGAGCCTATTTCCTTAAGGGACCAGGTCTCTTATTGAATTAAGCTCTTGTAAGTTATGGAATTCAATTCCTCAACTAAAGAGGTTACACTCCTGTATAAACACCTTTCTTTATGAAAAAAACATGTATGGCAGAAACAGCATAATTATCTGATTTTGATGACCAATTGTACAAGGTATGATCAATCTTATAATTTAATAAGGTTACTGGCAATCCTGATGATGAGGATCTATATCTTATTGCAACATCAGAATAACCTATATCTGCTATGTATAGAAAAGAATGGTTAGAGCCTAAAGATCTACCTATTAAATATGGTGGTAGTTCGACTTGTTTTAGAAAAGAAGCTGGTGCTTATGGTAAAGATGTATGGGGAATATTCAGAGTTCATCAATTTGAAAAGATTGAATAATTTGTTATTTGCCCACCTGAAGAATCATGGAAATACCATGAAGAAATGATTACTGCTGGCTAAGACTTTGTTAAGTCTTTGGAATTACCTTATAGAGTAGTCAATATAGTTTCTGGGGCATTAAATGATGCTGCAGCCAAAAAATATGATTTAGAAGCATGGTTCCCAGGATATAAGGATTATAGAGAATTATAATCTTGTTCAAACTGTCTTGATTATTAATCAAGAGCTCTTGAAATTCGTTTTGGTGCTAAAAAGGCTGATGAAAAGGAAAAGAAATATGTACATATGCTTAATGCAACATTATGTGCAACAGAAAGAACTTTATGTTGTATATTGGAGAATTATTAAACAGAAACTGGAGTAAAAGTTCCTACTGTTTTAGTAATTGATTAAAATAATATATTTAGTAACCATATGTTGGCAAGGATTTCATTCCTTATGTTAAACCATTGCCTAAAAAGGAAGATCTAGGTGCATGAAGAATTATTATATACCATTAATATATTCTAATAAATTCAATTTTCAATTTTTATTGTAAAAATACATTATTAATAATAATTATTTTATTAATTCATTTAATACTAATAATATATCATATAGATTTAGTATCTTCTTTAGCTAATATTATATTAAATATGATTGAAACATGTAATTCTTAAAATAATATAGGATTAATCATTCATTAAGATTAAAGTCATAAAATTAAATTAATTTACTTTTATTTATTTATGTTTTTCTTTAATTTGTTGTTTGATGGAAAAATTGTTTTTTATATTAAATAAATAAATATTCATTTATTAGTTGAACTTGAACTTTAACCAGAGTTTTCTTGAAAATTTCTACTCTGTTATTTAAGTATCATATAATCAGCAAGTATCAATTTGAGCCACTTCCAAGTCTATTTAAGTGAAGGTTGTTCACGAAATGAATTGTCTGGATGGCAACTAACCACCATATGCAAAAGAGATTCTATAAATTTATGTTCATGGGAATATTTAGATCTTCCTTAATATAATATTACTTCAAAATTTGCAATTCTTCAGATATATCTTAATGTAATTTATTTGTTGTGATTACTTCTTATTCCAATTTTAATATAGTTTTTTTCAATTCTATATTTATCTTTTGTAATTAACCATTATGCATAATTTCACTATGTAATTTATCAGACATTTGCTACAGTTCCTTATTCAATTCATCAATGTATTTCTAATTCCTATTCGAATTTTTAAATTGTTCTTCTAGCTCATATTTTAAATCCTTGACTTAATTGAGAAGTAATTATTCAACCTTTCTTAACTACACAATGATATCGTTTAATTTTTATATTTCCTAATCTAAATTTTGTTATTGTTTAGGCAATGATCTACTATATGATTTTTTTTAAAGATCAGAATTTTAAGATTTTCTTGCTGTATATGAATCTAAAGACAAATTTGCTTCTGCATCAGTCTCCCTTATGGAATATAACATTGTAATTTTAACGAAATTTAATTATAAATATATTATATTTTAAAGGGAATTATTGGTGTTTATATCACTATCTAAATATGCCTCCCTTTTTTAAGGCATTTTCAGCATCCTTAATGGCTAATAACTCATTATCGTATTATTAGATTAAGGTATTATGTGATGCAGTTCTTAAATAAAATAAAAATTATACCTTTCAATCCATCTATTTTATGTGGCAGAGAGATTATCTTCAGCTTCAGCCAAATTGAGTCTTGCATCATTCAAAATTGCATTAAGTGCCTTAATTTCTCCATCCTTAGTCTCAATTTCAGCTTATAATAAAGGAATCAAAACATCTCTAATTCCAGTTATTTTAGCCTAGATTTCTGATAAAATGTCTTATTGTAATTTAGATTATGAATCATATTGATTTTATAATGAAGTTTGTCCATCAATCAAAGATTATCTTAATTGATTCATATAATTGATGACTTTATTTAAGTTTTCTTAATCAACATAATTGTTTTAAGCAATTTATGTCAATGCCTTTACTAATGGTTAATAAAACACTCTCTTTGAAGATAATTATTTAAGACTAAAATTATAGTTGTATATCATACTGATTATGCATCTTTTAAGAAACCTCTTTGATATTGTCAGCCTTTTACAAGAGTGAAGTTTCATCTTTAACTTCATTCAATAATGCAATAGCCTAATCTAAAACTGCAATAGTATCAGCATATTCATTAAATTATCTAGTGAATACAGATTTATCTGAATTGATTTAAGCTTCTTTAGCATTGAATAATTTAGTTGCATCATAAAGATCTTATTTAGCTTCTGTTAAAAGTTATTGTAATCTACTTCTTTCATCTGTTAAGTCTTTTACGTCTACTTCTAATTAGGCAATCTGAATGTATAGGTTTCCAAAATTACCTTGTTTTTGTAGTCTGTTATTTGATTTTGATAGTATTGAACATCTGCTTAATATTATTGATATTCTTATTCGTAGAATGCATTTTCTTCGTTCTTTCTTGCCTTGAAGGATTCAGCCAATTCATCAAGAGCAACAAATAGCTATTGGAAATTGAAGTCTTTTGATGCCACTTCTGATAAACCCACAATAACTGATTGGAATGCATGAACAGATTCTCCAGTTGCTGACAAAATTCCTTAGCTATATGATCATGAGTCTTATATACTTGGCTAATGTCAAATACAAAAGAGACAATGTAATGAATGCTTTCATTTATTTAATTATATATCCGTTTTTATATGTAATTGTGATATACAATTATTTATTATTTAATCACTTTGATTTTTCATTCCTATTTAGCATCATTTCTTAATCAACACTCATAATCAAATTAATCTACAATCAAAACACTTGTATTACTTTCTATAAGTCAGAATAAAACATTCCTATAAAAAATGAATTCATCAAATATAAACTATATGACAGTGTCGAATATATTTCGCTAACCATGTTTGCAATAAAATCTTCTGATGCACTTAAACCATCATTTAAACTTGGTTCTCCTTAAGCAATTGGCATTCCCATAAAAATACTAATGAAATTCACTGATATAACTATAATAGATTAATTAAATATTTATTCAAATACAAGCAGTAAATAAAAAGCAAATTACTGTAAACAAAGCTGCTTTTATTTGTTAACTCAAAGAAAATGTTTATAATTGATTTCTGAGTTTAGATGTTTAAGAACCCTATTTATAACACATGTAATAACTGGTGAATAGGAAATTCATTATAAATGAAAATGTTAATAAAATTCTATCTTCAGTATCTAAAATTATATGGATTTCTTATTAAAATACATAGAAAATTAGATTGATTTTTTTATTCAATTGGAAGCAAAGCAAATGCTAGAAATGATAAGTGGGATAGAGCTCCACTTAAGAATATCTAAAATGAAAAGACTTTATGTGGAATCTATCTAGTTGAATATCTCTTTCTTATAGGTTTTGATTGATTGGCTTAAAAAACCAAATAATAGATAATAATTCCTATCAAACTTATTAAAGCATTTCCAATCTATAAAATATAATTTATTAAATATAATACAGTAAATAATTAATTCTTTTAAAAAGGTAACTCTAAAAATAAAGGGAATGTTTGAGCTCTTGCATATTAAAACTGACTCAAAATAGCTGCTGATAAAACTATTAGTGATATTGATAAATATATTGGGGGTAACATCTTGATTTGTTATTTCAAATTTGTTTATGTTTGAAGTGTTTAATCTTTATCAGTTATGCTAATAAATGATTATTGTTCATCATCTCTTGAAATATCATTCAATATCATAGGCAGTCTTGAAAAACGAATAAAATATATAATAATTATATTAAAAATCAAACCTTATAATTCTTATTTTAACTCTTAGCATGGCGACTATAATTTTCCGGGTATTGGCTGTCCAAAGTAAGATTCTTATAACCAATAGATATATCCAATTTTTTACTCTTGATTGTAGACTCTCTCATTTTTGGTCTAATTATATATAATTATGAATACCTGGAATTCGGTATTACCTAATATTACTATAAACTAATTTCAGGTTCATCCTATTCAGTTTTAATTCTGATATCTTGGAAATTCTTTTTCCCATTAACTACTATACTATTATTAATGTTTGAATTGATGTTTATGTAATTATTATTGACCTAAGGAGTCTTTTTGTAAAAGGTCCCACCTACGCTATAAATCTACAATGGAATTACTTTTAATTATTTATGTATTTTTATTAAGTAATTTTCAAGATTTATTGAATTTATTTAGATTTATTTTTCTTTTCAGATGATAATGTAGGTGTAGCTCTGAAACCTAAATTTGATGGTGGTTTCGTAATCACACTCTCTCTACCTTAACTTTGACTGGCTGCATTTACAGACAACTCTGTAGGTTTTGTAATTGATGTATTAGATATATTGGTTCCACGTAACTTCTATATTCTAAATTATAAATTTCTTAAACCTGGAAGACTTTAAATTTGGGGCATAGTTAAATTATTTAGTTTTTGTTTGAGATTCATCAACAATCAGATCTGTTAATTTCATTAATCTTTCATTGAGAGCCTTCATAAAATGAGGTTAAGTTGCATCAGTCAATCGATCCAAATTATCACAATTTAAGTTATAAGTTGAAACATCTTTTAAGGATTGCAAAGATGTATCCGATGAGGATTCATAGTTCTCTTTTGGAAATTTGAATGTGTGATTAATTTTACAATTCTTATACCTAGAATTTATATGGGCTAATAAATACTTCATTTCTATTTCAAGTTTGAAATCCTCAACTTCAGAATCTTCATCTGGTTATGTTTTCATAATCAATTCTGATGGCACTTATGGTTTAACAATTTTCTAAAATATCAAATATTTCATCAAATCTTTGTCTATGATTTTCGGTTATTAAACTTGTGGACTTTTAGACTTCTAATTTCTGTTGGACATAAATCAAAAAATTAATAATAAAAATAAATTATTAGACAAAAATCAATATTACCTCATTAGCTTATTGAATTATTTGTTTCTCTCCAAATCCTTATTAAAATAGCCAATCAGTAATATTATAATCTATGAAAATTACTTATGTTATTTAAATTCATATGGAATTCTATTTTTATTCCCTTTTTAATTGAATTAAATTAAAAGTACTTTTATATTTTTCTATCTATCTTACTCATACTATAATTATGATTTTCTTTTTATATTCATTTACATATGTGCTTATGATTGTAGATTATACACTCTTAGATTGTAAAATTTTACTTATCCTCTGTGAGAAATACTTATAAATTTCTAAAATTATCTATTTCTTTCACAAGTAATAATCAATGTTTTAATATAATGAGCAAATCTATAAATTTTTCAAATTTTTTTCTGAATTTCCTCCTCTTATATTTACTAAATCAATCCTTTTTGATTGAAAAATTAAAATGCTTTAATTTAATGATACTATTTTCTATAATTATTCTAATTACAATTTCTTTAAGGAATAATTAATAATACAATAAATGGCCTATATTTACAGTTTTATCTTTTTTTAATCTCTATTTTTGTTATTCATTTGGATATCATTTCAATGGCAACATCATTTTATGTGCCTTGAACTATTTTCAATTATTTAAATAAATTAGGATCTCACAAAGTGTTAATTTATTTTATCCTTTAAGCAATTATTTTCTCATTAATATTTATATTTTAGATATTGAAATGTTGAGTGGTTTATTGTACAGTCCTAATTGGACATTTGTTGACAAAATCTTAAGAGACCCTCAATTAGTAGATCTTGAATACTTTGTTGGAGGTGGACCAGGACATGATTGGTTAGCAAAGTCAGTTAGAGTAGAGCAATAAAAGTAATAATTTTAATCATTTTTATAGATACTTGGGTCCAAGAGCTAAATTCGAGAGATAATTCAATGAAGAGCCAAAAACATGGGAAGTCATAACAGACAACTTGTATCGTTTAACTTTACTTGCTGGAGTTGAGAGATTACTTACATTAAGACAAGCATATGGTGGTTTAAAGACAAGATTCACTTTTGGAGATTCAAATACGTATAATGTTTATTTAATATATGAATGTAGAGCATGTTTACAATAGATATTCAATTAAGGATTATTTAAAGGATATTTTAGAGGAGCTTTATTGAATGCTGCTCAATTCTTAACAGTATGGGCTCATCCATTAGTATATAGTAGAGGTAATGGATACATCTCTCATTATCTTTATTCTTCTTTATTTGAATTAATCACATATCCAATTGATACAATTAAAACAATCATTTATTCTGATGTTCAAGGCAGATATAAAGGAGCATTTGATGTCATTGAATAAGTAAATAATAATGATAAATAGGTTTATGCAAGAAATGGATTCAGTCATTTTTATAGAGGAATTGTATTTAAGTTGGCTTTCAATGGAACATTGATTTATCATCTTAGAAATATTTATGAAGAAGACTATATTCAATAAGTAAGTTTTGTCTAAACGTAATAGTTAGTATCAGTTCCATTACTAGCTATTGGTTATGGATTTTTGACAATAAAAACAAGGTTGTAATTGGCAAGTACTGATTTGAGTTTCTAAGAGACTCCATAAAAGGGAAGAATTGCTGCAAATCTATTTGCCTAAAAGACTCCATTCAGTATATATAGAGGAGTAATTCCATTCTTGTTATTGACTGATTTCTTCCATTACAAATTATATGCACTTTACTCATCAACTGCTTAAGCAAGAACATTGGATGAATTCCTTGTTGAATACAAGCATCGTATTGGAAGTCCAAAACATGAAAATTTATGGCAATGATTATTAAATAATAAATAAAATAAAATATTCCACATAAATTTGATAACTATTTGTTATATATTTTAATATTTTGTTTCATCATAAGACTTATTACATTATTTCCATTTGAATTCATAAAATTTGTGTTAAAGATATTATAATTCATTGATAAACAAGTTAATTTATTTTATATATGAATTTAATACATCATAATTTTTTATTCACGAAATTTAAAATTTTAAATAATTTAAAAATGGAGCAAACCTATACATTCACAATTGAATCCAAGAAATAAAATATAGATGCTCTTACTGAAGAATAATAATAAGAATACAAAGCTCATGCAGAAGAATGCGAAATTATAGTCTTAAAAGGTAATAGTTACTCTAAACAATTTTTCAATCAATTTTCAGAGTTCATCACAACCTCCAAAAAATTACAAGTAATTAAAATTAAAAAATTAGAAAATTAATGCAAATGACATCTTTGTTGGAAAAGGAAAAGATGAAATTCCTTAATCATTATAGGTATTATTGAATTCAATATTTTAGATCTTAGGAAATAGCTTAATAGGATTAAATATCTTAAGTCTTGATTTATCCAACAATGCTGTAAATCCATTTGGAGCAGAGGCATTAAAACCATTCCTTAAATAAGCTCATTAATTATAAAGACTTTTCTTAAATAATTGTGGTCTTGGTATCAGAGGAGTAACTTAAGTCTCAGAAGGATTATAAGAAGGAGAACACAATTTATAAATATTAGCTATAGCAAGAAATAGAGCTGAATGTGATGGTGCAATTGAAATATCCAAAGCATTTCCAACATGCAAAAAACTATAAGAATTGCATATTTATTAAAATGGAATTAAATAAAAGGGTATGATGGAACTATTATCATCATTAAATAAAAACTGTTCTGAATTAACAACCATTGATATTAGAGATAATTTTGTTCATGAAGCAACAACATAAGTTTTAAGTGATCTCATATTAAATTCTACTCATTTAACAGCCATCAACATATCAGATTGTAATATTTAAGGAAAATAGAATAAACAAATATTGGAGTCTTTAAGCAAACTAGTTAAAATAGAAAGATTAGGTTATAATTATGCTGAATTAAATGATGTCTAAGGAAATGAATTATATGAAATTATTGTTAAATAAGTTGATAATGTTTCAGTAATGATTTTTAATTATTAAAGAAATTGGAATTGAAAGGAAATGAATTCAAAAAAGCAACAAAATAGAAGTTTAAAGAATTATTCGTAAATAAAGAAAAAGTTCTTGGAGCATTCGATAGTGATGATGAAGATGAGGAAGAAGCAGATGAATTGTAAAAATTATTCAGTCAATTGGTTATTTGAAATTATGAATAACAGTGTAATATGTTAAATAATTTTAAATATCTGTTTTATCTCAAAATTTAATGCTTATCTATATTTCATAAATTATTCAGATTCTTAAATAATAATTAACTAAAGGATCTATTTAAGAATGATAAATAATACATAAAATTATATTAATAATTTAAATAAGACTCATATAGTTTAATGATTTTAAAGGTATATTAATAGATGAATACTTTTAATATTTTTTTGATTCATAAATTATTGATTTTTTTAACTTGAAATAAAAAACAATTAAGATCTATTTAATTTAGAAATCTCTCTTTTATTTTATCAATTCTTTGAATTATCAAATTATTTCTATTAAAAGTTGTTCTTTATATTATTTTATCATTTTATTCGTTATATTATTAATGAAATTAGAATTAATAATCTAAGCAGATTGTTAAGTTAAGTTAGTTAATAAAATTGGTATTATATTATTTAAAAGTGAGAACTAATAGAAATGTTACAGAAAATGATATTTAATTTTTGAATTGATTCTAAAACTTAGTTTGCGATATTTATTTGCCAAATGGTTAAGTATTACATTTTATATTTACATTTTCATATATTATAATAATAAAAATGGATAACCAATCTAACTCAAAATCAAAATTTTGTCCTCACAATGAAACTGATAATAAAAGATCTTTTTTTTCAGAGGATGAAGCTGACATAACTCCTATGCTTCCCTAAATAGCTAAACCTTCTAAATTTTCTAAGGGGGATACTCTTCCCTTCTAAACTGATGATTCAGATAATACTCCAAAATAAATACATACTCCTACATCACCAAAAGGGTAAAATAAGTTATCTAAGTTCAAATAGAAGGATCATCATATTGAAAAAGATTCTGATATATAATTTGATTCTGAAGAGGAAAAAAGAAAAGAAGAAACAAATAATTTTACTACTAATAGTAAGACATTTAATGAGAATGAGGGAATAGAAAATTAATTCTAATAAAAATGTTCAACGCCTAAATTAAGTCATTTACATCCACTAATTTCTAAATCTAATTCTTCAAAACAAGTTGTTTAAAGCAAAAATTTTAATATCAAAGATCATCCATTTAAACATCTTATTTATGGAAGACATGTTAATTACAATACTTTTATGAGATTCTTATAAATTGTATAAAGTGGTTTGGTTTATGCTTGTAATTCATTAAAAGGTCCTTCTGATAAATTTTTGAAAAGCAGATTTGTCAGACTTAAAGAATCCAATAATAGAAAATAAAAAATCTTAGTATTAGATTTAGATGAGACATTAATCCATAGTTGCACACATAGAGATTTCCCTCATATCACAATTACAATTCAAGATGATGATGAATCTATTGATGTATTTATTCTATTTGTAAAATTTAGATAACATTTAATGTAAGACCATATTGTAAAGAGTTTATAAAGGAGATGTCAAATTACTATACAATTTATTTATTTACAGCCTCTTCAGAAACATATGCAAAGGCTATAGTAAATCATTTGGATCCAAAACGATAATACATCACAGATGTTTTATGTAGAAATAATTGTTTTGAAACTAAAAATGGTTTCTTCATAAAGGACTTAAGAATAATTACAAATAGAGACTTAAAGGATATAGTAATAATAGACAATCTACCACATTCTTTTGGATTATAATTAGAAAATGGAATTCCAATATTAGAATGGACTTAAGATCCAAAAGATGAAGAATTAAAATATTTATAACAATATCTTATTGAATTGAGTAAAAAAGAAGATGTAAGAACATGTAATAGAGAGAAATTAAAATTACTTGATTTAGTTGATTTTAAACTTATAATTTGATTTAATAAATGTCATCCAAAATCATCAAGTAGTTTCATTCTCCAATTTAATTTATAACTGTACATAAAGTTCATAATTATCATTTATTGTGTTGGGTTTTGTAATAAATATTCTTCTCTTTCAACTTAAGAATTTAATCTTTAAAAATTTCTAATATTTTTACATTTATCCAACTTTAACATACTATAATTCAACTTAACTTAATTTTCCTCTAAGATTCTAATTCTATTTTCAAATACAACCAATTTTATTGATCATACTTTTTATAAAATCTTTATTATAGATTCTTTTTATCATAAAACATTGGATTATTTAAATCTATACACTATAATATTAGCCATAAAATGAATATTATTAAAGTAGCTCAATAGTTCTTAAGTGGAAAATCAAAAGGGTTTTATCTATAGCTTTTTGTTAAACCAAAATCAAAGTCGGAGATGCTTGAATTTTCAGAAGAATTCATTATAATAAAGACTAAAGCACAACCTATTGATAATGAGGCTAATGAGGATGTTATAAGAATATTAAGTGAAAAATTGTCTATTGATTAAAGTTCAATAAAAATTGTGAAAGGATAATAAAGTAAATATAAAACTGTGTTTATTGAAAATGAAATACAAGCCTATAATAAATTAAGGAATTGAGATATATATTACTTACGTGTTATATTTTTAATATTTAGAAAATGCTCTTGATATTCACATTGTTGTTCTCTCTAGGTTAGAGTGAATTGGTCTATCTTGGATATAAGAACTATACCATGGCAAAGAAGGAACACTAACCTTTGATTGTCTTCTATTATGGAGATGACAAATAATCTAAAAAGTTTCTAGATGATTTTATAGCTATTGCTACAGGATAACACAGCCTTTAAAAAACAGGCACATATCCAACAAATATCAATTTTGGGCTTGTTAACTCTGTAGAAGAAAAAAAATTGATGGAGAAAACATAAATTTTAGTCACTCCATCCATTCTTCTATTTTATGCTGACACTTAAAAATAAAAGTATTCTGGTGCCTATAATGCATAAGCCTTTCTAAACTGGCTTAAGAAGACCTACAGAGATTCTCCAGAATTAAGTATTCATAAAATATTAATATTAAGATGAATTCTATCCATCATCTCTACTTTAAAAATGGGATTAATTTGTTAATAAAATTAATAGCTTTTAATTGATTGCCTTTTTAGCCACTCCAGAATATAGAGTTTCACCATTAAAAGCCTTTGTCTAAGCTGCCAAATAATTACCTTAAGGAGTAAATTATAATATAAATCTCTTAGTATGTCTTTTGTCACATTTTTAATCCAGATCTTTATTAACATTTGGGTTTGAAAAAGGAAGAAAGTGGTCTAGTTATTTATAGTAAATTGGAAGATCTAGAGGATATAAGTGAAGAAAAAACTAAGAAATATTAAACTTATTTATATAAATTTAAGGGAGACATTAAAAATACTGATGAAATCCTTCAATTTTTAAAAATCTATGCTTTTAAAAAAGGATTTGTTTATGTGGATGATACTAAATTTTAGAAATTATCCAGAAGAGTAGATTTATTACCATCAGTTATTTTATTATATAATAAAACAAGTATTTTTATTACTAAATTATAATTAGATCCTGAACATGAATAATATGTCTAATAAATGTAAGATGCCAGATACACATTATTAAATAAAGCTATTCTTGGTGTTCTTGATGTTAATGGAGATTGTGAAGAGAGATTAGAAAGAGTTTATGAAATTAATGTTAATACAACTTAATTGCCATAATTAATAGCTATGAAACCAATAGATGATAACAGATTCTATAAATATAAAAATGGACCATCAGATCCAATTTAATTTTATGAGTAAATTTCATCAGGATAAATAAAACCATTCTATAGAGATGAAGGAATTTTATAAAATTTATATGATGGAGCAGGAATCTATAAATTAACTAGATCTACTTATTATCCATTCATCAAAGAATAAAATGATAAAGGCATAGATGTTGTTGTTACTTATACTGCTAAGAAATGTTAACCATGCAAAGATTTTAGACCTGACTATAATGAAGTATATAAGAAGGTATTTTTAATAATATATTTAATTTAGAATAAATAATCTATTGAAGGTAAAGTAATTTTTGCAAGATGTGATATTGAAAATAATGAAATTGATGATCTTAATATAGATAATTATCCTCATGTCAAATTATATGCTGCTGGAAAAGAACATCCATCTACATTACATTTATAAAAGACAGAAGAGAATTTGACTTAATGGTTAAGTGAATAAAGTAATTATGGAAGTATTTTCAAAGTTAAAACTGATTTGTGAAATTAATTATAATTTATGTTAAAATAAATCACCATATTTATTGCTAGATCAAATTAAGCAATTATATCATGTAATTTTATTACCATGCTTTTATTAAATTATACCTTAAGACAATTAAATCCAGGGATCTTTTTGAGAACTTTCAATTTATCATAAATAATAAGGGTTGATTAAAAACAATGGATATATTGACATATGGATAAAAGGAATTAAAGGATGTAATAAACTAATTAGAAGAACAATTAAAGACAGTTCTTATACCTTTTTAACAAATAGAAAAATAGAAAAATACTAATAAATTACACAAATCTGAATCCAAATTAAATGATTCTGAAGTGTTTAATCATACAAAAAAATAAAGAGTTGATAAAAATAAATGTAGAAAATGCAAATTATCAACTATTCCTACCATTCTTCATTTATTATAACAAAATGATAACAATGATGCTAATTCTATTATGACAATGAAATCAATTAGATAATAAATTGCATAACAATCACAAAAAAAAGAAGAATAATCAGATTAAAAAATTCCTTATATAGCTTTTGATTATTCACATTAAATTGTTATTTGTAAAAGATGTAGATTCAAATTTCATTCTGAATGTGTATAAATTTAAGGAGCCTTAAATGAATGGCTATGTGATTACTGTCAAATTAGAATAGAAGAATTAAAGAACTCAAATTAATGGGATTATAAAAATTAAAAATAAATAAAACAATTACCAAATCTATCATCAGAAAATAAAAAAATAAATATGAAACTATTAGAAAGAATATAAAAAAAGAAATAAATATATATAATCTCTGAATTGAAACCTACTCCATACAAATAATTTAATTAGATTACTGAATTTCTATAAAAATATCCTTTGTATAAATCTACTACAACTGGAAATATTACTTATCCTATTTTAGAGAATTTAACTACAGATTATCCAGAGATTTTGAACATCAAATAAAAACCAAAGCCATACATGATAAAATCTAATATGGTAGAACAAATATTGAAGATTCAATCAATTCATCAAATTATTCTACCAAACTCAAAAGCACCTGAAAACTTTACTCAAGATTATATAGAAAAAAACTTTTATTATATACTTATAAGTCTAATTACTTAATATTTTGATGAGTTCATTTTAACAGACAATCTATAATTTTAACATTATTGTGATTAAGCTAATGTACATACAACATCTTATTTGTATTTAATGAATTATTTACTAATTAATGGTGAAGATAAAAACTAAGATTTATTAAAAAAAACTTGGAAAGAATGTATTTTATAAATAGATCAAGTAATAAATTATAATAACAATTCAAAAATTGATTAGTTAGATTTAAATAATTTATAGATTTAAGATCAAATTTGTATATTGAGCATTTTATCAGAAGGTCTTTATGATTTGTCTAAAATGAAGGATTTGATTAAAAATAAAGATTAATTCTTAATTAAAGGTAGTATTAATCCATGTTAATTAACATAAGCTAATCCTAAGATTCTATTATAATCAAATTATTCTCTATCTATTAATGGTGGAACTTATTTGGGTTAAGATGCTCTTGGATAATAATACTTTTACTTCACATTTTTTCCTAGTGCAATCTTTGTTGAAACTTAAAAAGGCTGGTGTCAATATACTATATCAGATTTAAGTGAATTGATGAGTTCATTAAATTAATAAGGTATTAATGAATTAGATTTATATTAAAATCTTGAACAAATAAAATAAATTGAGTTATTTGATTCATCCACTCCAATCAAATAAAAAAATAAACTAGTATAAAGTATAGATTTATTAATAATTAGAATAGTAATATCAATTAGATATTTTAGAAGTGATCGATAAGTTTTTAATTATTGAAGAATAATACACTTAATTATTGTAAAAGAAAAATCTTAGTTGGATTAAGAATAATGAAAAGAATTAATTCATTAACTTAATTAAAGATTAAGATAATATAAAATCGATCTTGTCTGCTTTGAAACAATTTTTTGATGGATTAATTTAACCAATATCTAGAAATGGGGAATTTGTTAAGCCATTTAAAATATTTAAATTTCATTTTGTGTTAATTAATTAATTAGCTATTTATGTAGAGAATGCTAATTCTTTATCAAATATATATATTTCATTGTTGGTTTTAGAAAGAGTATTAGATGATAAAGAATAGTATATGAAACAAAAAGAATAAATGAAAATAATAGTAGAAAAGGCAAAAAACAAAAAAGTAATAAAAGAAGAATAGAAAAAATAATAAAAAAATTAAAAGTATAAATAGGATGAAGAATATTAAGTTGCAACTTAGAAATATAAATAAGTCTAAAAGAATTCTAATAATTAAAAGTATGATATTAGATATTTTTATTAATAGATTATTACAAAGAAATAAAAATTAAAAGTAAATTTCTTGTTTTTCCTGTCAGAAAATCTTTTAAAATTAAGATCCAATTGAAAAATGTCTAAAATGCTTACAGATGTTTCATAAAGAATGTTTCAAATACAATAAAAGCCTATGTTAGAGATGTTTCTAAAAAAAGAATAGAAAATTTAAATGATATTTCATAAGTAATTAAATTTATAACTATATTAAAAAAATAATGGCAATTATGAAGTTAATCTATAAGATAAATATATATATATATATCTTCAATGAATCAAATAAGATTATACGTTAATTAAATAAATTCAATTATCAGAATCATTAGGAGGAGTAGCAGGACTAGATTTTTTAGAACCTTCTAATTATCTTTTAGATTTAGTTTTCTATAATATTTCAATTCTATTTATTTCTGCTGTTGGCTGTGCCTATTAGTTTATTTAATCTTATTATGCTTATTATAATTATCTCTTCTACAATTTATCATTTATCTTTAATATTTTAATTTATTTACATCATCAATAACTACTAAACTTTCTTATAAATATTTTGGTGGAATAAGATTAGGAATAGACATTTCTATTCTCTTTTAATATCTTCTATTTGTAAATTTTTATTATCTTCTAAAAGTTATTTTTGCTTTCATTTTATTTTAAACTATTTCATATCTATTCATAATTTCTGTTTTAAAATCAGCCAAATTAGAAATCTACCCTTACATCCATGGATGCTTTTTAATTTGTTCTAATGAAATTCTCTTTTAAGGATTTTCTTCCAACATTTTCTCAATTAAATCTTTGAATTGATGAGATATGTTATTGTTTAATTCTTAGAAAACTTGCCAAAACTTTTATTTATCCTATTTTAATAAAGAATAATATGGATCAGTATTTTTAGATGTTTTAAATGGAGCAGATCTCATTGCCATACTAAATAGAATGACTCCAGATGCAAATATATCAGCTGATTCAGGTATATAATATTTTTATTTACCAACTTAGAATTATATATATAATTATACTTGCATTTGAAAGTTCTGGTGGATTATACTCTGGAGATCCTAAATATTATTGAACTTCAAATTAAACTTTGGCTCCAGTTTCATCCACTGATTTGGCACTAAATCCAAAATCTGCTAGTTTTAAAATTCCATTAGTAAATAAAATGTTTTCTGATTTTATATCTCTATGAACTATTCCTTTTTCATGTAAATATTCAATGCCTATACTAATTTAAGTTTAATAAAATACCTTTTATCAATTAAGAAAATATTCCCCTTGAAAATTTTTCAGAGAATTAATGAGTTTATTCAAGCAATTCAAATAATTCTCCTTAATCTGCCAATTCCATCACAAAATAAGACACTTAACATAATCTACCATCCACTTTCCTATACATTCCATTGATGCTGCACTATAAATTGAGATCTCAAATACTTAAACAATCTTTATTATATTATTATGTTCGAACTCAGCTTAATGAGATACTTCATTAATAAATTATGATAGTTTGTTCTGATTTGTAGTAGGATCTATCTTCATTATTTTTATTGCATACTTTTACTTATCTTATATATCGATAGCTAACTTTACTCTATAATAATAAGAATTGTAGAATTACTTTGCATATCTTCCTACACCTATTGTATCAATAATATAGTATTTATCATCTAAAACTGAAGCATAATCATAATAATCACTTTAAATATCTAAAGACATCATTTTTTATAATTAAATATATTTTATTCTGATAATTTAAATAGTTATTTATTTGAATTTCCATTATCAAAACTAAAAATGGAATCCTATAAGAATTCATTTTAGAAACATAATTTTTGAATGAAATTACTAAAAAAAATATATGTAAATAACTATACTTAAATTATTATCTTAAATTCTTTAAGTTATTAATATATCACAATGATATTTTTATTAAATAATTTAGATATATAATTAATAAATGTGGTAACTTTAGCTATTAAGAAGAAAATGAGAGTATTTTATAATTTTTTTCCTTTCTTTACAAGTATTGTATTTTGCTAATTACTAATTTATGATTATTATTGTAATTTATAAAAAAATGTACTTAAATTTAAATTTATTATCTCTTAAAAATTACTTAATTTTTATCCTAGTTTATGATTGTCTCAGAATAAAGTAGTAATCAATTATAAATTTTCATTTTTATTTCTTGTTCTAATTTTATTTAATCATTTTTAAATATCTTATAATATTGATATTATAATAAATATAAAATAATCATAAATCATCAATTTTAGTAATTGTTAAAGATATATATCAAATATATTAATTTAGATTAGTTGTATTTAAAAATTAGTTAATAATAATTCAAAATAAAATAATTCCATCTACTGAAGATTTTCTATGGTTTTTGAATAAAGGATTAATTTCTTTTCTATTAAATTTATCTTTAACTCTTTGTTAATTATTCTATGTTTAAGAAAGAATTTCTATTGTATTATTATTAAAGTCTTAAATAGTATATTTCAATTTATCAATTAGAGTAGTTTTAATTTAAAATATTGATGTTTTTTGCAATTCTAATTTAATATTTTTTATGGAACCAAAATTAGAGATTGAATTATATATGTTAATTGGACTCTAAATAGGGGAATTGTTACTTGAATAGTCTTCATAAGTTTTAATAAAGACATTTGGAATATTAAATTATCTCTTTTAATTTTTTACTCGATCAGTTATTTAAGTAATAAGTCTATCATTTAATTTATGAACATCATTAGAATTGTTTGATAAAGATCTATGTGTATTGGTTTATCTTTGAATCTTAGAATTAATGGGAGATTAATTTTAATTAAGTGGTTAGAGAATATTGATTAAAGATAGAAATCTTGATTACTATTTTGATAGGTATTTTTATTTTGATATTAAGATTTAGTTATCAGAATTCTTTGTTTCTTTACTTTAATTTGATAGTAATGATATTTATCCAATAGAAACAATGAACTTTTTAATTTCTAATTCTTTGGTTTATTTATTATCTAATAACGATCTTAGTTAAGTTAGTTTGAGTAGAATTGAATTATCTAAAATATAATTAGAGAGGATTTGAATCAAATAAGAAAAAGCTCCTTTAAGTTCCATCTGAATATAATAAGCAAAATTAATTTAGTATAAATATGACTTAATTATTAAAGAAGAATATTGAATCACTCTATCCTTAATTTAGTGTTATTGAAATATTAAGATAAAATGTATACAAGAAAACAATCCTTTTAAAGAGAGGCAATAAAATATATGTTTTGAGGTTATTTAATTTAGAAGGAATAAATAAAGAAAAGGTAACCTCAATAATTAAAATATTGAACAAACTTTCTAGAAAGAGTAATCCTCATGTAATTAAATTTTATGAAGCTTCTCATGATATTGACAATACCTATTTAGGGTATGTAATAAAATATATATTAAAGGGTAATTAGTGAATACATAGAATGTTAATATTAATGCCCATTATAAGAGAAAGATATATTAATAATTCTGATTTAAGTATTATTATAAAACTTATATAGTTATGTTCAGCTCTTAGTTTATTTCATCCGAAAAGACCACATGGTAAAATACTGTTATCAAATTTATTTTGTTTTGAAAAAAATGCTATTTTGGGTGAAATGAATATATTATTTTATTTACATCCAGAAGAGTATTTAGATATATATTTATTGGCACCAGAATTTGCAAAATCAAAAATATATGATTGTAAATCTGATATTTGGATGCTTGGATTTTTAATTTATTAGTTTATGTTTAAAGAAGCTCCTTTTAAAGCTAATAATATTAATGTGTTACATAAATAAATTTTAAAAGGATTGAAATTTACATATAATCCTTAATATAGTTTAAATATGAATAATTTATTAAGGATTATGTTATGTTATGATCCTGATTTAAGACCAACAATTGAATCTATAAGATCATTTGCAGAAACAGCTATAATAAGTTAAGAGAAAATAGATATCTTTAAATTACTACCAAAGTATAAATTAGAGTAAATTGTGTTACATAAAAAAAGAGAAGAAAGAAAACCATAATAAATTGATAATTAAATTTACTTAAATGAAGATTTGTAAAAATATCCCTCATTTCGACCATCAAAAGTATTGAAAACCTTTAAAAAAATTCTTTCCCCAAGTCCATCTCCCAAACATGTTGTTGTAAATTTTACAGAAAAGAATGAGAGTTCTATTAAAAATCCAATTTAATCACCATAAAATCATTTTTCATATTTAGAATAACTTGATAGTAAAAAAAATTTATCTACAACAGGTAAAAATTCTCATTAATCTTAATAATAAATAAATTAATCATAAGGAATCTCTCATTCATATTAATAAAGTTAATAAAATACTCTTTATTCTGTTTAATTACCAAAAGTATTATAATTTCAATTTAGTAAGATAAAATTTAGACATGAAATGACTCCTAAAAAAGAATTTGATGAATCTAAGTATAATAATATGAATTTAATATTTTAGTTAAGAATAACCAATTGCAAAATATGCTTAATTACCTTAAAAGATTAATCCTATTCCAATTAAGAAATCTCCTCCAAAAATGTTATTTCATTAATATCAAGACTCTGTACTCAGATCTTTTAGCTAAAGATAATGAATATATATAATGTTATCTACTTTAGAATAATATATAATAAAAAATATTAAAATATTAAAATTTTTAATTTATTATTTTATTATTTTATATGATTAAAATTTAATAAATAAATCTAATATTATACATCACTTTTTACTGAATTTTGTTTATTTTACAGTTGATCCAATTGATTAAGTTTATTTTATTAATAATGGTGATTATTAGGGAGGTTTCTTTTATGTTTACATTAATTATCTAGTAGATTATGGATGCTACTTTGCAAATTATTTAGAAAACTGAACATTTTATTTTTTATTGGTTGCTGATTATGATTATTGTTACATTGCTTAATTTTCACCTTCATCAACCTATTAAAGTTAAGTTTAGATTTTAGGTCTAATTTTAATATATAAAATAATTACTTATTTGTAGTAGTATTTAACGTATTCTCATTAGTAACAAAAGGATGATTTAAGAGTTCAATTGAAGTAATTCTTTTTTTTGGTTCTGGTTCTAAAGCACGATATAAACAATCTAAACAATTTTAAGATAGCTTATTATTGTATTCAGGAGGAATGTTTACTCTCCCATCAGAAATTTAAGCGATAATCTCTTTATTAGTATTACCAGTAAATGGTAATGTACCAAATAACATTCCATATAATATTATACCCATAGACCATACATCCACTAAAGGAGAGACTGCTTTATCCATTCCTACATGTATTAGTAGTATGAAAAAATACCTTTAAGTAATTCAGGAGCCATATATCTTAGACTACCTGCATCTGCATTTTCTGGATTATCATTAGATGCAAAACCAGATATACCAAAGTCTATACATTTGACTATGCCAGATTCTTTGCTTGTCAACAATAAGTTTTCTAATTTTAAATCTCTATGTATTATCTTCTTCTGATGACAATATGCAATTGCACTGACTAGTTATTTAAAATAATGTCTAGCCTCATTTTCTTCAAATCTTCCTTTTGTTTATAAATACTAAAGTAATTCACCTCCCTCTAAATATTCCATTATATAAACAGTTTATAAATTCTGTAAAAAGAAGGCATTGTAAATCTTAACAATATTGTCATGTTTTAAAGATTTTAATGCTCTTGCTTCTCTAAATATCATATCAACATCCTCATTTTTAATAAATTTATACTTAAGCATTTGTCATCATTTACTTAACCATTTTAATAGCTACTTTTTCACCTGTTTATTTGTGTCTTCCAAGTACTACTTTTCCAAAACCACCTTCTCCTATATCTTACAATTATTCATATTCTGCTAATTGAAAACTTTCATCAAATTCTTCACCTTTAAATAACTTATACATTGACTACTACCTTTTGATGCAAATAAAACAGTTCCATTTTTTATATAATCTAAATCATCTTCAGTTATTTCTACTCCTTCTTAATTGAATAATCTTAATCTATTAAACTAAGTGTCCCATTTTTATTGTAAAGATTTACGTATTTCACTAAATTTAGTATTATCTCTTATTGTTAAGGTACAACATAAATTAGAATTGCCATTACGATAGATTTTAATCTAGTTTTAATTATTGATTCTACATCTTTATTATTTGTAGTTGGTTAATAATCATCATAAAATTGATCCATATTTATAATTAGATTTTAATTGCATATATATTCAATTAAATTTCATATTTACCACTATTTTCTTTCATTTCAAATTTAAATATCACTACTATACATCTCATTATTATAAATATGTTATTTTATGATATATTTACTAAATATTTTAATAAATCATAAATATGAAAGTGGATTTTTTAACGCGTTTTAAAGGAAGGACTTCTACAATGAATAAACGTGAAGGAGTTACAGGTATCATTTAATCAAATGGTACTCCAATTGAGAAAATGCCTGCATCATATACTTTTAGTTCATACATTTCTAATTAGCATGTCTATAACTATTCAGATATTGAAAAACAATCATAATAATCAAATGATGTTACTCCTACAAGTAAAGATCCATAAATCATTACTAACATTAAAACATTTAACAAAAATAGAAAATTATCACATGCTTCTCCATTAAAACCTGGAACTAATATGTCAAACATGTATCGATCACAATTTGTCCCAGATAAAGAAATGTATTCATTTCCACTCTCCAAAACAGGATCAGTCAACCTAAATGAATATGAATTGATTGCAATACCAAAAAGTGTGTTGTGTATTACTATTTAAAAATATTAGAATTTGGTATTAGAGTAGAACATACAGATGGAGATTAACCAAAATAAACTATCTTGCCAAATATCTCAAGACAATACTATTCTAAATCTTAATCACTTGATTTACAATAAGATAGACCAATGGTCAAATCAGAAATATTGAATTAAGGTTCTTATGCAAAATAAAAAGAAAAAAGAAGTCTTCTAATAGCTGGATTGAATTCAATTAAATGATTGCCATTTTTGATACACTGAATTGTTGAAACTTTATTACGTTATTATTTTAAGATGATTATATATTAAACATTTATTTTATCAAATTATGAAAAACATTTATCTAACTTATCTTAAATTAAAACAATAAAAATCTCTCATGTTATAAATTATAAATATTTATACACATAATAAATTATACAAACTTATATGTATAATGTGTTAAATAAAACAATTAAATATAAATGAACTTATAGAAAAAGGTAAATAAATTATTGACATTTTATTAAATATAGATTAGAAATATTAATTTAGAAATATTAATGTTCATTAGTAATACAATTTTAACTAATCATTTCAAAAGAACAATGAATTTATTTTTAGTTTATTTATTTATTATTTTTGATGAATTTACAAACTACTTATTTATATTACTTTAAAGAATTCACTTCTTTATAAATACTTAAAAAAATGATATAAAGCTTAATGAACCAAAAAAAGAAAGAATATCAACTATATTACATAGATGATTTACAATTGAATGTTTTACTTAAATCAGCATAAATTTAAATTAATAATGTATTTTATTTCTTGTTTCTGATAGTAACTCTTTTATATCTACTTTCTTCTTAATCGCTTTTAATTCTTCCTCCTTCTTCTTATATTTAACTAAGAATCTTCACTCTTCCTTTTAATTAATAAATCTTATTTCTTATGATGAAATAGAATTTTGTCAAATTAATTATGTGAAATGGATTTATACTATAATGTCTTTAAAAATATCATATCTAATTATATATTCAATTTAATACTTCAGTAATAATTATTCTTTGAGATTAAGAACAAAATGGATTATAATTCCAAATTTAATGTTTTGAATATAACCTTAAAAATAATTAACTAAGTAATCAGTTATTTTATTTTACAATTATATTTTAACAAATTAAGACTACTTAGCTTACTTAATACTAATGTAAAATATCAAATTTAATGAGTATGCTCAAGATTTCTTATGATTAACTTAGATGAATAAGATAATGAAATTCTTTAATAAATAAAAATACTTGAGTTGAAATATATAACTATTAAAATATAATAAATATTTTGATTTAATATCTTTAATGATTACTATTTATTATATATCTAATATATAATCAATAATAATAACAAAGTCAAGAACAGAATATCGTAATTTAATTATAAAACAATTTAATATATGTGTACTATTTTGCGCTTTCATTTAATCACTCAGGCTTATAATTCTTAATCGATTCTTGCTTTTCCATCTTAGGTAAGTTGTAAACTGACAACCAATTTCACTCTCTTTCTTCCTTCAATATCAGCTGTGAATGAATTAATTTTAGTTATAGTGACCAAACCTTTATATATATTTAAAATTATACCTTATCTCTATAAATTTTCAGCAACTCTAACACTAATCTTTGTAGCTTCACCTAAAGCATGCAATTCAACATTTTGGAATTTCTTCAAAAATATTTTTGAAATGAATATGAATTCTCTTGCATTTTTCTTAGAAGAGATATGCAAATTATTATCTTATGGATCGAGTTTTTATTTTTAACCTCTTTATTGCTATTAGGTGGCGGTGTTCATTTTTATTTAAAAAATAAATATCTAATTTTAATATAAAAGGAATTTATTTCATATTATTTCAATAACTTATAAAATTTATACATATATTCATTTTTAACCCATTACTTTTTTCTATAAATACATTAATAACAATTCTTTCTCTTGATAAACAACTTTTATTCTTTAATAATGAATTATCAAACTCCATTTTTATTATTATTATTCATTACAAACTGAAAATGCTGTAATTATGATTTAATTAAATGAAAATTTAATTAAATGAAAATTAAGACTAAATGTAGATAGATTTGAAAACTTATGAGTAATTAGAATTAAACAATCATTCTTAAAAATAGTATCCAATATATTACAAAGAAAATAATAAATGTATAATTATGTATTATTTCTGATAACCAAACTTAAAACATCACTTTCTTATAATATTGTTAATGCTCTATGTTTATATATTATAATTTAACTTATAATTATCATATAAATTAATACAATAATTTTTAATTAGAAGAAACAATTTTTTTATGAAATCTAATTTATTAAACACTTGTTAATGCCAATTCTAATTTCAGAAATTATAAAGCTTTCTGTTTATAAAGTTTCTTTTCTTCAGCAATAAATTTTTTAGAATTAGATTATTATATTCATTATATTTTTTACTTTTCATTATGAAGGATATTTAGAATTGATTTTTATTGAGTATGCTTTCTAATTTAATGTTTCCAAAAAATGTTTCATTAATTGAAGATAATCATTATATAGATTTAATAAAGATTTGAGAATGAACTCAAACTTTTTCATTTCTTAATGCATTCATAAAATAATGCTATAACAATATTTTTATTTTAATATTTTAAGAGATTTCATGATAATTATATTAAAACTCTTTCATTATTTCTAATTATCAATTAACAATAAGAAATTATAAAAATACGTGTAATTATGAAAGTTAATAAAATATAAATTAAAAAAAAATATGGAGCAACCGAGCTTCGATCTCAGCGCCTCATGCATGCTAAGCATACGCTCTACCAAATGAGCTATTACCCCACGTTCGAAATTTATGTTATGCATGTCTATTTATTCACCTCTATTGTTATTCAAATTATATAAAAATAATATAATTTATAGATGAGTAAAAAAACTAATACTTTCTAAATTAATAAGTTGATTTCTAAAATACAAAAATAGATTGAATATTAGTAAATATTTCTGGCTCAATAAATCAATTAAAAATTGTTTAATTTAAAGAATAAAATAAAAAAAAGTATTAATTAATATTTATTATTAAATAGAAATTATAATTTTGTATCTGTGCAAAATATCATAATATTTATATTAGTACAATTTTAATAATAATGAGTATGAAATTAAATAAATATAACTCATGTATATATTAGAAAATATAATTTAAAAGTTGATCATACAATATTAAGACAGTCCTCACAATATTAAAATATTTTCTAAAAACAAGAATGTTTGTTAGACATAAAAAGAAAGAGATGAGAATATAAAGCAAATTCATATTGTTGCTCACATTTAAGCTTTAAAGTACAATTAATATGCTTAGTTTTCATAAATATGCATAAAAAATAAAAGTGATTTAGAAAGTTATCTATAAGAAGGAAATCTAACAATATTATTATTAATAATTATATATTTGATACTCATGATTGTGATAAAATCAATGACACAATTAAACCATACAAAGCCAATGCTTCTGCAAAAATTAGGATTAAAATCAATCCTACAAATAACCTTTCTTATTAAGCATTTCCTCTTACACCAACATCACCAACTATTCCTATAGCAAATCCTGCTGCGATACAACTACATCCACAACATAAACCAGATGCCATATGAGCAAAACCAGATTTATAAGAGTAAGTTAAAGGACTTTTAACTATTTTTAATAATCCAATACATTATTACCTTTCTGTGATAGTAATACAGCCACAATCATACCATAGATACCCAAAATACCTGCCATAACAACAGGAATCAATGATTTCATGATAATTTCTGGTTTCCAAATACCTATAGCTGCAATTCCAGCTCCTGCTTTAAATGTTCCATATCCTGCTCCCAAATCTATGATTAATAATAGAATATAAGTAAATACTTGCTAACACCAATGCCATTGTAACTCCCATGAAACCAAAGAATGAAGAAGCAGAGATAGGAGTATCATCAGAACTAACCATAGTGTCAAGAATAAAAAGCATATTATTTTATTTATTATTTAAATATTTTATCAAGCAATATTTTTATTAAAATTTTATAAGAAATATCAATTTCAACAAATTAGAATTATTATTGATAATCAATCATCCTTCTTATCCGAATTCAGCTGTCCAATCTTCATATTTTTTAAGATCCCCTTAAGAAACTGATGGCCTACACTTTGGAAGTACACTTAAGAAATCATCCTAAAAAAATGATGAAAATATATACATATTCTATTTATGGTAAATAAAGTTATCCTCCTTTGATATCATACATTCTCATTTATTAACCTTAAGGATCAGAAGGAGAACATGCCATATATTTCATTCCTTCTGGAGTTTATGTGTATTTAAAATGAGTAGCCCTTTCAGTTTTTCTTAAAGGTTCAAAAGAAGCATCTCTTATTAAAGTATTCATGTCTGACCCTGAATATCCATCAAGCATTTTAGCAATATCTTCAAATTCTGCTGGGGATAAATTATTAGGGGTATTTTTCATTTTATTTTTCAATAATGATAATCTCCCTTGAATATCAGGCAGGGGAATATAAATTCTCTTTTCAAATCTATAAAAATAATTGCTAATCATTTTACCTTCTTCTAATGGCTGGATCTAAGGCCCATGGTAAATTTGTTGCACCCAAAACTAGAACAGAATCATTATTATTTCCAACTCCTTACATTTCTACTAAAAATTGAGTCTTGACTCTAGATGAAGCTTCATTTCCACCTCCACCTTCTCTATTACTAGTCATGGAATCAACTTCATCAATAAATATAATTGTAGGTTTTGATTCTCTAGCCATATTAAATAACTCTTTAATTAATCTCTCTGATTCTCCTACAAATTTTGATATTAAATCTGCTGAAGATACAGAAAAGAATGTTCCTTCACATTCAGTTGCACATGCTTTTGCTAAAAATGTTTTACCTGTTCCAGGAGGCTAAAAAATTTTATTAATATTATACTCCATATAATAGGATACCCATCCATGGCTTACGTGCTCCTTAAAAGAGTTCAGGGAATCTCATTGGCATAATTATAGCTTCTTTTAATGAATTTTTTGCATTCTCTAAACCAGCAACATCATCCCAACTAACATTTGGTTTTTCTGTGACTATAGCTGTTGATAGATTATTCCTCAAAGCTTATTATCCTTCTACAAGTCTAATATAATTAATAAATAATAATAAAATTTACTTTTATTTTCCTTAATCTTGTTCATCTTTAGGGTTTGTACTTTTTTTCAATTCATTGTTACCATTTGAGTTTTTTAATTATTATTATGGTTGTGAATTTTATGGGAACTATTATTATTATTGTTATTAAGGCTGGAGTTAAACTTACCCTGACAAATTTGCTTTGTAATTGTCTAGATAAGCTTTCATATTTTGCATTTCTGCAGTAAATTCATTTAATTTTTAACTGGCGATTTGACACAACTATTAATTTGTCTCTTGTCTGGCATATTTTACTAATTCTTAGCATCCCAATTTCATTTTATCATATCCTCCTTATTTTGCTTCTAGTGTAGCTCCTCCCAAGTATTCAGATTTCCCTACATTCAATATTCCCATTACCTTGTGCTATCAACTGGATTGCTTAATCTCTTAATTTGTTTAAAAAACCTTCTGACATAAAAAATAATAACAAAATATTCAATAAAAAGTGCTCTTGAAAATATTTTTGAAATCACAAATATCACATTAATCTCCATATGGAATCATTTTGTCATAAATCAAAATTAATATTCATATAAAAAAATTCAAATGGTTGTTATTCCATTCATTTCAAAACAAAAATTTTATCTATATATATTATACATTCTATATATTACTAATTCTATTTTTAATTGATTTAATTTTATTGATTGATAATTATTATCATTATATTTAAGTCTTTCTTTCTGATCTTCAAATATTTTTTAGATATTATTAATCTTTATTAGATTAAATGATAAATTGATATATATAGATATAATTTGATACATCATTTATGGATATTTTAATATACATATAAATAATAATAAACAATTTAGTATTAAAATAATTGTTAGATTGAAATGAAATTTTGAATCATACTAATTTATTCTAGCATGAATTCAATTAATATTATTTTTAATTAAATGCCATAAATATATGATTGTAGATCAAGCATTCTTAAAATTGTAAATAAAGCAGGTTTGCTTTCAACAGTCTTTTAATGGAAAGGAAATCATCCAATTATTAATGAATAAGAAATCCAAAAATCTTAATTAATTTTAAATGAATTGAAATCAATAATCCTAGAATTAGAATTATAATTAAAAGAAGAAACTTAAAATTCAATAGTTGAGTTTGTTTTACCTGATATAAATACTAAATTCAATTAACTTGAATTTGAAGATTTAAGAAAATTAATAAATGATTGGTGTCATCAAAGAGATTGGGAATAATACCATACTCCTAAAAATATAGTTATGGCATTAATAGGTGAAGTTGGAGAATTAAGTGAAATATTTATTGATGGAGAATTTTAACCTGGATTACCAGAATTAAACTAACATTAAAAACATCACACTGGAGAAGAAATAGCAGATATTTTACACAATTTAATACGCTTATGTGATAGATGCAATATTGATATTGTAACAGCTATACAAATGAAAATTCAGAAAAATTCAATTAAATATCCTATTAATAAAGTAAAGGGTTCATCCTTAAAATATGATGAATATTAAAAATGAATGATAATCATTTTATTATAGTATTTGTTAATAAAATTTTATTGATATAATTAACAACTTCAAATGTTTTATTCTTAACATCCATATGATTAACCAATAAAGTAATTACTATTATTTATAATTCAGCTACATTCCATAAGCATATCCCATGTATTATGAGCATTATTAGCCTTACCAATAACATTTTGAACCATATTAAATTTTATCAAATGTAATACCTATCACAGAACCAATACCATCAACTATAATCTATCCAAAAGAAACAGTAATTGAAAGATATCCTCCTCTATAAATGCCAAAATAAGTCTAAATTGAAAATCCTTAAAAAGAGAAAAAGAAGAATTTTTTTAATTTGGATAACAATCCTTATTTGTTTTCCTCTGTTAGAATGAGAAATTATTAATAATAATTACCACCTTAAGGATATCAATAATAATCTAATGATTCTAATTAAATATTATTGTAAACAAATAGATTGGAAAGCACTTAACGATATTAAGAAACTTAAAATTAATCAATTTAACAGAAAAATCTAAGTACATCAGAATCAGCAAGAATATTTTATCCACCTCAACCTATCTAATAATAATCAATTAATAATAATTTTGATTAGAATCTATTAACTACTTAAAATTATCCTATATAAAATGTTTAATAGTCTAAAATATTAGAATAGAAAGATTATATTGTTTAATAATAGAATCTTCCAATTAATTAATAAATACCTCCTCCTATTTAAACTTAGAGCTTGCACCCTTAATATTAAACTACAGCTCAATTTTAACCATAATTATCCAAAACTTTAAATGATTAACCTCCAAGATAAATGAATGAATCAAGATCTTCTATTATTTAATCAACAATTGTAATTTATAATATAAATTTATAGCAATACAATGCCCCAAAATAAAGACCAGGACTCAATTTAGATTTGAATTTATATAAATCATCAAGTTAAAGCCTATCACAATCTAAATTAAGAAGATCTAAAATTTTTGATTGACTATAATTAATGATTAATAAATAATTTTTATCATTTTTCTTTTTAATTATTGAAGAATTTATAGAGAAATTAATTCAAAATTAAGTTTATTAGCAATAATTTCATAATGTTATTTTCTAAGAGCAAGTTATATCTTTTTATTATAAAAATTTTGAAAAAACCTTTATTTTATAAGTGGTTTATCTAAGATATTCTTATTATAAATTAAATTCAAATGTTGTATTATTTTAAGTTTTTTTTAATTTTGTTATTGATAAGCTAACTTAATCAAACTTATAATTAATACTATATTGTTGAAAAGTGATAAAGAAACTAAATTTCATTTCTAGGGTTAACTATTATTCATTAAGAAATTTAACAAATTAAACTATTTCTCAATCCATTTTTACTAATTAATTTTTATATTCTTAGTTCTAATATGTAATTCATTTAGTATATGAAAATATTTTTAATTTAAAGTAACATATCCTAGTTTAATCTTTATGCTAGAATGATGTTTAAATAAAATAAGAATAAACTTTTAATCCTTTCATATGATATAAAATTTATATAGTCAAAATTGTCACTCTTCATCAGTCGTTTCTCTAATTGAGGCAAAATACCTCCTCATAATTTATTTACTTCTTAAAATTGGCTAGTTTTAGACTTTTATTCTATTCTTGAAGTATTTCCTTTTGCTTTTCTGAATTATTTAGCTATAAGGATTGAACTTTTAATGATGTGATCTAAATCTTTAAAATTAATACCTGCATTAGCTTGGTGATCTAGTTCCAATAAACTCACTCATCTGTTTAAATAATGGATATCCTTTCTTGTAAGAATTATTAGGACCTCTAGAATTTTATAAAAATTCTAAATATATAGAATGTTCATTATCATCCCAATGACCAGTTCGTTACTTGAAGCAAATATTTCCTTCTTATTATTTTGTGGTAATTACAGTAGGATCAAGATAATCCTCGCCTTGTTAATCAGAGCCATCGAATTTCATTTCTAATTAAATTTTTTAATTATATTATGTAAGTCTTATAATTAATACTTGATTTATATATCTCATACTGATTATATAATACAAAAATTATAAAATTTTTCTTATTTGTTACTGGACTTAATTAATTATTAGTTAAAGCACAATGTGTTTTTGCTATTCTATTGTTTCAATTCAACTTGTATTAATTATTCAAAAATTATTTGCATATGATAATGAGAAATCTTAAAAATATAAAAACATGATTGTATTTTTTATACTCATTTGAAATGTACTGATTAATTTGTATTCACATAATCTAAATATCTAGTATTAAAGAATTGCTTATTTGAATTTGATGGAACATTTATTAAGATCATTAAATTAAGGTATAACAAAATCAATTTTAATCCACCTTTCAAATAATAAGTATTGACCATAATAATAATTGATATAATTAAAATAAACTTAAAAAAACAGAAGGTATTTCTTCAAAACCTTGGTTCTCATGATATACTAGATTGAATCATAAAAAAATAAAAAAAAAAATAATATCTACTAATTAGTTTAACCTAGAACCTATCATGATAATATACCCTAAAATTTAACAATTTGATATAAACTCTGCTGATTAAGATAAAAAAAATCTATAAATATATGAAAGTATAAAAAACTGCGATTGCCCAGTTTCGAACTGGGGACCTTCAGTGTGTGAGACTGACGTGATAACCACTACACCACAACCGCGTTCTAAAATATATATCAAAGTTTTTCTTAATTTATGCAATCAAATTTAAATAATATTATCTTAAATCTTCAAATCAATACTAAAAATATCATAAGAACAAACATTTAATCTAAAGACAAAAATTTCTTTTTAAAATTTAGAATAGATCTTATAATAATTATAAGATTTAAAGAAAATCTTTTTTTATGAAGAAGAATAATTTTAATAATTAAAAATGATAGAAATTTATTTTAATTCTTATTTTTTTATATAACATTTATTTATGTATTAATCTTTAAATTATCTCTTGGAATTCTTCTTATTATTACCTAAAATTATAATTTAAATATAAGTGATTATAAATTATATGTGTATATATATATATATATATATAATAATATATTTCAATAAAGCTGTTATTACTATTAAGATTAAATCTCTTTCAATTTTTAATCATAATGCCTTTAAGCATTATTATAGATTTATTAATATTATTATTTCTCCTCCTTTGATCTTTCTTAATCATGTATAATTTATTTAATGATATCACTTGCCCCCTAAGTATCTCCTTACTTTGCTTTGTCTTATCCTTATTTTAAGAGATACAGAATTTGCTTAAAATAATATAAGTAAAATGTACTTGCTATCCAGGAAAGATGTGTTCCATATTAGTTAATATCATTATAAGTATCTATTATGTAAGATCTGCCTATTATTATTGTTAATTCATTTATTTCATTTATTATTACATCTATCTAATGGATAGTCATATAGAAGCTTTACTAGTATTAACTTTATAAATATGGCATTGTGTTTAATTCACTTTCCCCATGTGCAAAAGTACAAGTGGGTCCATTTTTACATTGGCCAGTTTATGGATTGAAATGCTTGCATAATTATGCTAAATTCATGATTTTGATCATTTACTTTTGTAATTAACAATCATAGGGTTGATCCCTTAAACCTTATTGTAATTATTGGCAGGAATAACTTATTCAACATATCCTGGTTATATACTATTGGCTCTAAGTTCCTATGGTCCATGAGCAAACTAACATCTTAGCCCTAGAGCGCAAACTCCATTTGATGCTATATTTTGATTCAAACACTTACTAAAATGTCTACAGAGTTGTGTTTTGTACTTTGAATTCGGATACTAAGTTGCTTATTGGTACATTATTTTAAATAATATCTCAATTAAAAGAAATTAATTTGTTCATTTTTATAAAAATATGATTATTAAATAATGCTTTTCTATTTTGAGTTATCCTTCTATTATTGTTAATAATTTAATATTGAACAATCTATTTGGATTTCATTACTAAAATATCATTGTAAATGTAAATTTATTTTTATAATTATATATGATATTTTTATTTTCAGCTAGATTTCACTTTGGATCCTCCTCTGCAACTTGGAGTAGGGTTAACTTCTGTAGATTTCTACCATTCATTAGATGTTTTAGCTGTTATTTAGATGGCATGAATTTTATAATCATTTTTTAGCTATCATAAATATATATTATCAAACATTATCAATAGATTAATAAATAGATCTATGTCTTAGTATATGGCTTTTATTTTCGAATTCATTGCTAACAATTGTAATTTTAAAATGAGTTTCTGAACCCTTTGGAACAGAATGTAAATTACTCTCATTTATAATACTTAAATGTTCAGGAGTAAAATCTTAAGTGAGCTTTTACAAAAGAAGATTTCTGACTTTGCAAAAACTATATTTAATTTAATTCATAAATAAATAAATAGATTTTCTTGCATAATTAATTATTTTAATATTGGCAATTCTTATATAAGAATATGTCTTATAGTTTTAAATAGGTTTACTTCTAGTCGTAAACAATAAAAATGAAGTTAAATTATTTCTTTATTTTATTATACTTTTGTAATATATATCAGAATCTCAATTTTGAGAACAGGAATCTTGATTAAGCCTTCTTATCAGCCAAACTTCCTGCTGGCAATGTTCTATATTTTTCAGCTAAATATTTTCTTAAATTCTTTCTCAAGTCCTTTCTTTTTTCAACATTCTTTAATTCAGACTCTTTAACTCTCTCAATTCTATCTCTGACTTCTTTCAATGTTGATTCTTCTAATCTATATCTAAAAAATAATCAATTTTTTATTACCTTGTTGGCATAATGTGATTAAGATTTAATTATTTAATGAATACTTTCAATGTAGTTCGCTTTCTGATTTATTTTTAACCCATTCTCTTGGTAACTTTTCTTGGATATCTTTAGATACCAACAACTAAACCATTAGGGAATTTTGCATCCTAAAATAAATCAATATTTGATTTACTTTAGTTGATTCTTCATTTGCTTTAATCAAAATAGCCTTCTTTCCTGCATATCTGCCAGCAAGCATAACTACTAGACGACCTGGTTTCAAGCTAGCTATATTACTATTGCTTACAATTTTCCCATTTAAAAATACTAAATAAATCTTTTAATAATTTATTCCAAATTTTTTGCTACAAATAATCTAACTGATTGATTCACTATACATAAAATTATCACAATCAAAGTATCAAAGAAAATATGTATTAATTAATAAATGTATAGATGAAGTTTATTCAATTATAATAACTAGATAATTATATTCTATAATTCATAAGAATGCAGAATCCTATAATTAAACACTATTTACAAATTTTTATAGTCCTTTTTTTAAAAAGCATGGTAAATAAAGTTAATTTTATTTATAATATTTTATATTGTACGATAATATCTTGGAATAATCAAAATACTAGCTCGTGTGGTCTTGTTGTTTTACCAATGCTGAAACGTGCACCAAGATATTGTTTCAAGAGTGCTGTTTTCTTAACAGCTGCAATCAATGCATCATCAATTGATTTTTAAGTCTTTCTTTTACCTTCCAATCTTGTTTTTTCTGCAGTTTATTATTCAGATGTGAGCTAAACATTATAAATTAACTTTACTTCTCCTCTCTTGGCCCAAAATCCTTATTCATTTTTACGTCTCTAAGCTTATGTTCTCTTGAAATAATCATCATCCACTTAACCAGCATTCACTCCATTGACATCTACTTTTGTGGATGTTGGAATGACATATGCTGAGTTGACTCTCTTAAGTGGGACACCATTAATTTTGAATGGACCTGTTACAAGCAACAATCCTGATTTAAGCTGCTTTAAGAATACTACTCTCTTTCCTTAGAATCTTCCAGCCAACAAGATCAATACTTGTCCTGGTACAATTTTTCTTAACTTAGCTGGTCTTGGAGCCTTTTTTTGATTTTATTTCAAAATACTTTTCTCTTTCTAACGAAATGGACGTTTTCATCATCACTCTTGTACCAATTACCAATTCTCACAGTTCTCTTTTTAGCAGGCATTGATTATATTTTAATTAATTTTAAATCTAATTTTAAAATTTAATTATCCTTAATCACTCATCTCTTATACTTACTAATCTAATAATCATCAATTATTCTAATTATCTAAAGAGGAAATGATAATAATAATAGAATTCAATTCTTTGATTATATTATGTGATTAAATAAAATAAAAATTTAAATATGCAACATGTAAAAACTAAATTATTCATTATATTAAGCATAAGGAAGAATGATTTAGAAATACAAGAAATCTTATTGTTTTTCAAATAAATTAGAAATTTAATGACTGTGGATAAATTATTGCAATTAGGAATATAATATTATAAGTTTTGCTTTCATTGTAATTCTATTATTAATTGTTAGTTTGATAAATAATATTCTAATATTAAAAATTATTTCTTTGCATTCATAGAATACGAAGAAGAGATTTTCATAACTTATCATGATATAAGAATATGTCAATAGGTTTTATCCAATATTTTATTCTGATAATATATTAATTTAATAAAAATAAATGAAAGGGTGGTAGAATTAGTATGAGATAACATAAAAAGTAAATAGGAATGATGATTCTTATCTTCAAAAAATAATGTACTTTGAAAATAATGAATATCGAAACACTTAATAAATAATAGATCATATAGATTATAAATTTCATTAGTCTTAATGTTTTAGCTTACATTAATTAATAGAATCAATGGTATATTGATTATAATTGTTAGAATTACAATTTCACAAAGATCTATAAAGGATAACTTATAATTATTATATTAGAAGTCTTAAAACATCTTTAATAATTACATAAATAGAAAATATCACATAGAAAATTAATACCTTAAAACATTATTATCTAATTAAAAAATGATAATAAATTAACAATCATATAAACTAAATTTACAATACAAAAAGTACATTTTATAAATTATAGTATTATTGATGATTCTAATTATCAATTTAATTATATAGAAGATATTAATTAAATAATTGATTGTTTTATCTAATTTATTTAAGCATTTTCAAATTAATAGTGTTAATTATTCAAGACCATTTGTAATATATTGAATGATTATAAAAATATAATAAACGAGGATGATTTAAATAAATTAATAGACTTTTTTAATCTTCTAATTTAAGAGTATTTAATAATATAATTTTATTTTAGTTGTGTTGATTTATAATAGTAAAAACTAAATAAAGGTTAAATTTATTTATAAATTAAATTAAATGAATCAAACATTTAAGAAATTAAGTATTAGGAAGGAGAAGAATATGGGATTTTAACAAAAAGATAAAGAAATTAAAATGTAATCTTAAAATTTATTGAATAATTAAATGTATAGAGCATTACTTATGAATTACAATATCATAATAATAATAATAATGAGAACAATTATGTAGATTAAATTTAATTATTTGACACTTCATAATTAAGTTTAGATGAATTTAAGATATTTAATGTTTTTGAATCCATTATAAAATAATAAATGATGAAGATAATTTGGTATCACATAGGAGCCTATTTAGAATCTTGGGAATCAGATTTTTGTAAATTAATTGAGGCAATCCTTTAAGAAATTAATTAAACAATTGAACATATCTTAAAAACTGAATTAATTACAATTCTTAAAGAATTCAATAATATTAACTAATTGAATAAATAAATAGAAAAAGAGATTGAAACAGATTATAAATTCTAAATTAAATATGATGAATAGAAAGCAAAAGATTAATTCATTTTAGAATTAAAAATTTAATCATAAAATTACTCTAAATAGAATTTTCAAAGCTTTATTGATTAAATCAAATCTAATATAAAAATTGAATTAGAAAACTATTACAATCAATTTGTAATGATCGAGATTTTATAATTAATCAATGATTTAATTTGATGTTTTAAATTAAAATATTATTATGTAATATTATCATAATGGAGACTTTCATATGTCACCTTTAACTTATAACTTTTATTCACTTTTAACATCTTAAAAATTTGCAGATTCTCCATGTGATCCTACAGCTAGTTCTTAATGTTCACCCTTCTCATGATGCATTTTTGCACCATGATGTTGACCCTTATTTAAGGAATGTTTTATTATAATTAAATCTAATATTATGGTCACTGAAAAGATAACTAAATTTGCTAGGTTATATGACCAAGCAAATTTAGTTAAATCATTTTCTAGATTTGTAAAAAAGTAATCACTAACAGGATCTGAAACACAGTTATTATCATTGATATCTTTAATTACTAGTCTTTTTCCATCTATAATTGCAAATGAAACACAAATAACAATAATTTCAGCTATTTATAATGCTATTTTAAAGCCAATTTCAATAATAAATATATAATTATATTAAGATTCCGGACGAGCTAAATTATATTTGATTATTAATACTTGTCATACAAGACCAAGCAAAATTACAAGCAGTCATAGTTCCTACAATATTGAATATTAGACCAATAACAATAAAATATGTTATTGTGACTCCCAATTAAACTCTTAAAGATATATATACAAAAAATAATGTTCCTCCCTCATGAATTACATCATCGAATAATTATCCTCTACAATTTGGAGCCCAAGGAATATAAGTTTTAGAATGAATTGTCCAATTATATTTTGTATCAATGTTAAAATAAGGTAATTTTTCTTATAAATAAATGACATTATTGGATAAATAAAATTATTCTTCATCTATAGAATGAATTAATTTAAATAATGGATCTGTATTTTCACATTATTATCTTCTATCAATCATAAGTGGATAATCAATTCTATTAGGAGAAATATTCTAATTTAAATTTCTTCTACAAACTTTATCACCTTCAGTAACTCTAAATTCAATAAGAGGTAAATTTGATGTATTTTTTAAATAATAAAAATAGAATCCTTTTCCTAAATCATAGATATATCCAATATTAGTATCATTTAATTTTTACAAGTTTTTGAAATTAGAATTTGTAGTAAATCCAAGATCTGAGATAGGACAACTCATATCAGATGATACACAAAATATATTATCTCCAGTGCCACATACAGTTTTGTTTTCTGATTCACAATAACTCTAATTTGTTTGTAAACTTATACCAGTCCTTCTTCTAGCACATAAAACAAAGGCTAAAATATATATATATATAAATTACGTCTTCCATATGAACCATCATTCCAAGAGTTAAAAGCTTTAGGTTATTATTCATTCACATTATGACATCCTCTTGCCAACATTTCTTAACTGCAAACTCTACCCAACATAAAAGACTGTTTAAAGAATTCTTCTATATTAACAATATTTTAATCTTATAATAAAGAGAAATTAAATCCTTTACTACAATCACATCCAATCATTGTTCCTGGCCAGTAATATTCATATAAAGAAGAATACTAAAATTTTTGAAATTATTATTTACTTCTTCTCCAAATTAACTCTTACAGTTTTTATTTGTATAAGTAAATTAAATATCATCTATTACATATGAACCCATATTATCTAAAAATTATTTATAATCTCCTTCATACACAGTTTAATCTCTGTAAGATAAAATACTTAATGCCAATACAGCTATACTAACAATAAAAAAATAAGCTTAATATGCCAATCTCACTTTATCAATAGGTTTTTTGCGTAATAATCTCTTTAGTCTTTTTGCTGAAATCAATCGTTCCTATTTTGCTTATTACTTTCTCTTTTTCACAATATCCCTTTTCATCAACTTAGGATCTTCTTCATGATAAACTTGATTTAACACACCACTCATTGGATTAGTTTCCGTGTATTTTAATGTTTACTACTATCCATCTTAATCAAATATTTGATCATCTGGTTTTAATTGTTATTGTTCTTAATCTGGAAGATATTTTTGATGATCTGAATTCATTTCTTGAGCAGCCATTTAATTAATTAAATAATTTCAGAAATATGAAAGGCATAGATAAGTATTGGTAAAATTATTACTGAAATCTTATTATTACTTCTACATTGTTTATTTCTACATAGATTTTATTTATAAAAGAGTGAAAGTATATTATAATAAAAATAGATATGATAAAATAAGAGATGTATCAAGTATAAAATCCATTTTTTTCAGAATTATAATTAGAAATAAAATATATTCAAACAATTTAATTTTTATTTTCTTTTTTAACATTATTATAATCAGTTAAATTACTTCTAAATTAGGTTATTCATAATAATCTTTTAGTTAATTTAAAAGATAATCTTAGGTATATGATTGTTCTTTTAACTATATTAATATTTTACAATAATATCATACAGTTTTAATATGTTTTTTTAAATTTATTGATAAATACATATTTAATTATATTTGAATATAATTAAAACTGAAATAAATTAATCATAATTTTTATAATTAAAAATTTTAGATAATTTATTCATAAATAAATATGATTAGAATTATTATCATTTTAGGGATAAAAGCTTATAATTTAATGATTTTAAAGAAATATTGATTTAAAATAAATATTTACATAAATTAAGATTACATATGTTAAATTTAAGTGAATCAATATACACTAAACATTAATAATCATATAATTAGTATTAAAATAAATATAAATCACTTTTACCCCTACCACCATGATGGCATCAAATGTTTTAATGGTTGTCTTCCAAAAATATTCTCTTCCTCTGGTGTAAATTACCAAAATATATCTGGTATTTCCTCATTTTTTATTTCCCTCAAATCATTAAAGAATGGATGCATTAAAGCAATAAATGGTTTAATCCTTTACTATGGTTAATAACTATTTTAAGATTATTACATAATTACGTAAGCATCTTTTTAATCAAATCAATAAATTATGGATCCGGTTTATATTTAAGGAAAACTTTTGACCAAGGATGTCCTTTAACTTAAGGAAATTTAAATTCAGTATTAGAAACATTAAATTCAGCAATATCAGCTGCTGTAGGTGTTCCCAAAACCTTCATTATTTCAACTAATTAATCCACTGAACTTTCGCCTGGAAATAGAGGTTCCAATAAAATCAACTCAGCAAAAACACAACCCAATGACCATATATCAATACTAGTTGAATAATCAGTGGCTCCAAAGATAAGTTCAGGAGCTCGATAATTTCTGGAACATAAATAGGAAGTATTGATTTATCCTCCTGAAATAATCTTTGATGAACCAAAATCACAATATTTAACAATCATTCTATCTATAAGAATATTCTATGGTTTAATATCACGATGAGCCATTCCTTTTCCATGAATAAAAGCCAATCCTCTAAGTAATTAATAAGTTATGCATTATAATTGAATTTATGTAAATTGCTTCTTTTATTTCTTCAAATTCTTGATGTAATCTGATAAATTCTCAGGAATGAACTCCATAACATAATTTATGTAAACCTCCTCACTTAATTCATAATAAATACGTTATACTTTTAACCAACTACATAAAAGGCATCCCTGAGGGATATAATATTTGGATGATCTCCAAGTAACTTCAGGTTGGCAAGTTCTCTATTTTTATATTTCTTGTCAAGAGGTGCCTTTTTAATTGCAACTCTTTCCCCTGACTCCTAAACCGTTGCTAAAAAACTAATATTAATATAAAGATTCTATACACAACAGCAAAGGCTCCTTCTCCAATCCTTTTTTCTACAGCATAACTTGAAAGATTCTCGTTATTTTTCATTATATTTATATAAAAGGAAAAAGAGAATTTAATAAATAATAAATAGCTATTATTATGTTATATTATCATAATTTTTAACAATATAATTACGCATTATTGGGTAATGAGCTTAAAAATTAGAATAATCAAGAATTTGAAAATTAATGAATATTTATTTGGTTGTGTGAGAGAATAAATAAATTGCAATTTTAATATTAGATTTTCGATTTTATTTTATTTAAAATATAACTAACAGTTTTAAGCGCTTAAGTTTATTAATAGAGCTAAACATTTGTAATTATTATTTTGGTTAGAACTTTATAAAAATTATTACTATTTTATATATTTTCAATATTATATTTATTATTGGAATTTTAAATAGGATTAGTATTATATTATAAAATCATACAAAAATACTATTAATTTGAATATTAAATGCCTGCTTATTTATGAGAAACTATGAAAATTTGACGCTATTAAATATCCACTAGGGTAATGATAAAATATTTTAAAACTATTTATGAATGAAAATCTTGATAAAATAAAAAATTCTTTTTATCAATAATCTAAAATCATAAGAATATCTAAAAAGGTAATAAGGATAAATTTTCATAATTAAAATAAGAATTTTTTATTTTTTATTTCAAATAGAGAGATAAATTAGAATTATAACATGTAAAATTATGTTTGTTCTAATAAGTATATAGAATTTTTGTTTTATAAAAAATTTTATTATTTTGCAGCTAATAAAAGCTTAAAAAAAGAATAACATAAATAAAATAATAACATGGTAATCCCTTCATAAACTAATTTTAATCCAATACTTTATGTTCTTACAAATTGGCCGTTATGAATATTTAATAGGTATTTAGTAACTATAGGCTTAGAAAAAGATAATTCTAAGCTAATAGGAGTTATATGATTACTAAAAGAGTTACAGAGGCTGAGGACAAGCTCTATGATAATGTTAGAAAATTAAAGTATTAAAATTATAATTAATTAATTGAAATCTATATGCGCTATAAATTGCTAATAATCAATCAAAGCCCTTTTTAAATAATAAAAATAATAACAATAAATTTGAGAATTGAATTTTCCTTACACTACTTAAAAAAAAGTCTGCTATTTTTAAAACTAGAAATTTTAAATCTAGCTTTTTCAAAGTGAGATGCGATGCTCTAATACTGAATAGCAAAAAATATTTTGATAAGATTAATATTCAGATTTCAAATAATAATTATTATTTTTATTCACCATTCTTTCTTGAAATATCGTATCTGTTTATTTTGATTCATAGGGCTAAGTAGTTTCTACATTTTTTGTTTGAAAGGCCCTAATTCTTTATTAATTTTATCTGTCTCCTATTTTTGGTAATAAACTTGTATCCTTATTAATTAATTTCTATCTGGTCATTTGAATCTCTATATCTTCCGATTATTAATTCAATTAAAATAAATCTTTATAGATTTTTACAGTTGTATTTGAAGATTTTATATTCTTTAAAAATCTATTACTCAACTTTATACCTCCATAGTTATCAGAAACTAAGCTGGAATCATTTATTGTAAATAACACATTTGTTGGTTACTTTTTATCAGGTGATTTTATTATGTAATTCTGACTTTAATTATTCTTTTTATCCTAGAGCTTTTTACTTATTAAAAGTGTATTTTTGCAAACATTTCTANTATTTATTATTGGAATTTTAAATAGGATTAGTATTATATTATAAAATCATACAAAAATACTATTAATTTGAATATTAAATGCCTGCTTATTTATGAGAAACTATGAAAATTTGACGCTATTAAATATCCACTAGGGTAATGATAAAATATTTTAAAACTATTTATGAATGAAAATCTTGATAAAATAAAAAATTCTTTTTATCAATAATCTAAAATCATAAGAATATCTAAAAAGGTAATAAGGATAAATTTTCATAATTAAAATAAGAATTTTTTATTTTTTATTTCAAATAGAGAGATAAATTAGAATTATAACATGTAAAATTATGTTTGTTCTAATAAGTATATAGAATTTTTGTTTTATAAAAAATTTTATTATTTTGCAGCTAATAAAAGCTTAAAAAAAGAATAACATAAATAAAATAATAACATGGTAATCCCTTCATAAACTAATTTTAATCCAATACTTTATGTTCTTACAAATTGGCCGTTATGAATATTTAATAGGTATTTAGTAACTATAGGCTTAGAAAAAGATAATTCTAAGCTAATAGGAGTTATATGATTACTAAAAGAGTTACAGAGGCTGAGGACAAGCTCTATGATAATGTTAGAAAATTAAAGTATTAAAATTATAATTAATTAATTGAAATCTATATGCGCTATAAATTGCTAATAATCAATCAAAGCCCTTTTTAAATAATAAAAATAATAACAATAAATTTGAGAATTGAATTTTCCTTACACTACTTAAAAAAAAGTCTGCTATTTTTAAAACTAGAAATTTTAAATCTAGCTTTTTCAAAGTGAGATGCGATGCTCTAATACTGAATAGCAAAAAATATTTTGATAAGATTAATATTCAGATTTCAAATAATAATTATTATTTTTATTCACCATTCTTTCTTGAAATATCGTATCTGTTTATTTTGATTCATAGGGCTAAGTAGTTTCTACATTTTTTGTTTGAAAGGCCCTAATTCTTTATTAATTTTATCTGTCTCCTATTTTTGGTAATAAACTTGTATCCTTATTAATTAATTTCTATCTGGTCATTTGAATCTCTATATCTTCCGATTATTAATTCAATTAAAATAAATCTTTATAGATTTTTACAGTTGTATTTGAAGATTTTATATTCTTTAAAAATCTATTACTCAACTTTATACCTCCATAGTTATCAGAAACTAAGCTGGAATCATTTATTGTAAATAACACATTTGTTGGTTACTTTTTATCAGGTGATTTTATTATGTAATTCTGACTTTAATTATTCTTTTTATCCTAGAGCTTTTTACTTATTAAAAGTGTATTTTTGCAAACATTTCTAAATAATTAACCTATTACCCTTTCTCTTTTTCGATTCTAAGTATCTTCACAACCCGACACTTAAAAAATACGCACTTATAATAATTAAAGACATCAAATCTGGCATACAGCAATGACTTTAAATAAATGCTACATGCATATATTATTCACCTGCAACATGTTAGTTCCTTTATTTATGTAATGACCTAAAATAATTAAAATAATTATAAATCCATTTTGCATAAAATGATCGAAAATTATTTCAAAGCCAAAATAATTGTGTATACTATTCTTGAGAGAGGTTTTCAGTAAAAATTATTGGTTTTCTGAATTATTAATTAAAGAAATCAGCAAAAAATAAAAAGAAAAAAATATTTCAAATTCAAAATAACATATATTAAATCAGTTAAAAGTATA